TGGAAAGAAATATGTTCAAGCACATTCAGCGTCATTATCTGTTTAAAGGCTGTTATCAGTTTTCCAGAATTAAAATCGACAATCCACCCAAAACAATGGATTCAACCCATGCCGCTTCACTCACATATCTTCGCTAAATCCAAAGACGTCGAGTTGAATTGTGTAGCTGTGTTTTCAGTTTAGAGCTAGGGTACTAGCATTAAATTGAATTTAGAACCGAATGCGCAGCTTGAAAACACAGTGCCTTCCTCTCCCACATGGATCCCCCACAAAGTAGCAAAAGAGATATTAGTAGGTTTATCTTAATCATTGTAGCTCACTTGTTCCTTGGCGGTCTCAGTTTTGATGATTCATTATGACCGTGGACCTTTTCTGTTCGAGGCAAGCCCCCTTCGTGTCCCTAATTAATCAGTGGAAGGGAATTAGCTATTTGACTGTTATTCGTCGATGTCAGATCATCGATATACCTAAAGCTATAGTCTATATTTTGTTGTGACTTCGCCTACCCGAGCAGAAAGTCCGAATCATAAGTATAAAGACACAGATCCAGAAGGAGTGCACCATTGGTGCCTATGGGGATACCTACGTCTTGCCTAAATGTCTTACCCCCAAGTTGTAAAATGTTACCAATGAGGAAGGCCAGCATTTCCTCTGTTGTCTTCTCGGTAAACTTCAGATGACTTCTGTTTTCATTTTTGACAAATTGTCCTGAACCCCTGAAGATAGAACTGTTACTGTATCTGTGGTCTCCACGTTTTCTAACAAAAGTTCCATGGATCAAGAATTGGGGGTTTCTCTATTTGTCATGTTGGAAAATACTGAACATAAAAAGTTAAAAAATCAAACCCTTTTGAGAGAATGGACTTGTCTCAAATACGTTTTGTGAATACATGTACAAAGCAAGTCCATACTTGATTGTATTAAGGATTGTGGTTAATCTTTGTGATAGGGTCGTGGTGGTACATTTCCTGGACCCAAAGAAAAGACAAGACACGATCCGTATATGTTGAAACCATGCAAGAGGGATTTGTATCATACGTTAACAAAACAGCGGGGTTCTTATATATGCCATACTTCCATGTTATCTTCATGGTGATAGCATCGGCAGTTTGGTCATTGTTTAATGTGCACATTACTCGTTATCTATTCAACGGCATTGGCAGATGTTTGACTGGATTATGCCCGTGACGTAATGATATCAGTAGGAAATGTTGGCCACAATTACGGTTGTACAAAGTACAGTGATTTAGGATTATGAACGACAGTTATCTACTTCTTATCAGACCAAGCAGTACACTTTTTTTGTTAACGTAGCAAACTATCTTGCAAAACAAAACACAACACGTATTGTCATAAAATACTAAAAAACAGTATTGCCATGATCGAATGATAATATTTTACTCACAGTATTTTGTAAGTTGGACAGGTGTTTCTTATTCACCTGGGATCACGGGTGGCCCAGTCGTCTAAGGTGTCGTAATTCGCTGTCCCTGGTGTCGTGGTAAACGTCTGAGACCAGCATCACGGTCTTTTCTCCCAAATTAAGCAGACACGCCATGCTGTGACTGCAATAGTGAACAAAGCGGCGTTAAACCCAATTCATTCACTTACTCATTCTTGTTTATTGGTCAGATGTGTCTCACGTATCATCAAATGATAGTTTGATAATGTAGTTTAGTGAGAAAAAAAATAAATATATAGAATCAAATAAGCATGTGTAAAAGCTGAGGGGGTGAAATTGGGTTTTATTTCGCGTTACAAAAATTTCGCTCATAGATGAGTGTGTGTGGCGATTGTCGGTTGTCGTAGCATATATTGCTTTCTGGGGAAAAACGGGTGTATGAGACGTGAACAACACATTTTGGGCTATATCCCAGGGGCGACGGGGTAGCCTTGTGATTAAAGCGTTCGCTGATCACACCGAAGGCCCGGGTTCGATTCCCCATATGGGATCTGGTAACCTTGCAAGAATTTTGTCACTCGTATAGCGATGGGCTTGCACGTGTGTGTGTGAGGTGCTTGTACTATTTCGGACTTGTGCAGGTTAATTGGTAAACCTTCCAGATTCCAAGTTTTAATATAGGTACTCTATTCAGATACATAGTATCGATTACGAGATGACCAGTCCTCTTTTGTCGCCTTAATGCCGAACGTCAGGCAGAGTAACAACAAGTACCATTATTAACGGCTTTTGGCATGACGCCGCCTGGGGCTCGAACCACGGACCTTCTGCACTCCAAAAGGCTCTTTATCTACCACAACAGGGAGGCGGTTCGAATTTATGATATACATCCAACTGAATGTACATTGAATTTCGCACTTAGCCAAACTAGTATGTGCGTGCCCTCAGCCACTACGCACAAAGGCGCTGCTGATATAACCAACGTTAATCTACGTATCCCGATAACGAGAAGCATGTGAATGTTCCCATTCATCGATGCAGAACATCGATCGGACCGACATGGCTCGCACAAAGATGCATAAAGCTCGTCCTCAGATTGCCATCACAGAAATGTCACGAGGACTAGCTACGTATACATGTGTACCTCCTGGTATCGTGTCCATTGCCCTTAACATGAGAGAATGATCATGTGTTGGTACACTCGATACCATCGGTGAACATGGGGCCCGCTGTTTCTACTTACTATTTTAAAGTGTTCTGTTTGCAGCCTTCGAAGGGTGAGACCCGTTAAAAGTGGACGGTAGGGAAAGCTGCAAACTACATCAAGGTAGGACATTAATCAACAAGATAAGAATCATTCTTTGGTTTCTTACGACTCTTGCTTAAAAGTTGTTTGATTACAGTTACAACGTTCAAGGTTTCAGTAAAGCTTTCGAAATGTGGAGGACATTTCCAAATTTGACGCATCTGTGACAATAAGTATGTCCGATGCAATTTCCTATTTGTGACTTGTACGATATGTTTCCCAATCTCATTAAAATCAAATCTTAGTTCTCGCTATCGCTAAACAAAGATATGAGGACATCCCATTAAGGGTCACGTCAGAACGAATTTTCATCCAACCAATGAGAGCGTCGCTTACCAGATCATGAAAGTGACAGTCGGAATGTGTTTTCTAATCATGCAACCACGAAATATTTAACACTGGGTATTCCGAACGACAGTTACGGGTTTTATGATTATGTCCATACAATCTAGGCCATCTATAAGCCATTCCAGAATATTCTTATCACTTTTAATTTTTTTTAATCGAGAATACTTCAAAATATGTTTCGAAGCGTAGTCACCAGTTTGAAACTAGTGTCGTAAAGCTCAAGAAAGCTGCCTTCTGATTGGCTAAGGTAGATTTCTTGTCGGTCATTTCATTGGTCGGTCAAAATTCGCGAAAGGTCGTTCTGACGTGACCCGTAATGGGATGTCCTCAGATCTTTGTTTAGCGGTAGCGAAAACTAAGATATGATTTTAAAGAGATTGATATGTTTCCGTGTCTGTTTCAGGTGAACACTTAACTTGGGGATTAACATTGTCAATAGCACATCAAGTGTGTGAGAAGTAATATATTCCGCTGGGCACCATCCTCCATCGTCCAGGGTATGACATTTCAGTTCAGTTCAGTGAAGAAATAAGTGACGAATGGGAGTTGTTTATCGTACAACAAAACACTCCAGGGAGAATAAACCACGAGTGACGCAGTCTTGTCTCCTAATACCGATTTTTATATCTCGCCCACTTTTGGATGCAATCGTTCAGCAACTGCGCTTATTTACGAAGCCCAGCTGCATTAATGGGGAGCAACTTACTAAACACTTCCCTCTCAAAAATAACGTCGTCAAATGAATGACGTCATTAAGTTGCGAGTGCATATCTGGATCTCCAGAAATGACTATCGTGAAATAAACCACGCTTGATTTATCGCGTAATTTCATGATAACAGGGCACCATCGCAATCTTTTCAATCAGGAAATTCCCACGGATTTCTCTCGCTGATGGTGTATTGTGATCGGGGGGTTATTTTAGCATCGCGTATTTCGAATCGCAAAAAGGAAGCCATAGCTGCTTATGGGCCAGAACATTTAACTGTATCAGAATAGAATGGAGAAATAAACCCTGGATAATCGAGAATGTCCGCACACTTTATATAATGAACTCCTTACAGGTAGTGAATTAGGAATCCTTTGAAATGTATGAAGATATAAGTTTTGCTATGTACATACTGTTTTCATTTACGTTGAAGTCAAATGAAACGAAATGATTGATTATAAAACAAGGACTTTCTGGAGGGGGTGGGTCGTGCTCGGAAATACTCGGTAATTACCCTCTGCATGCTATTGATGAAATGTGACTTTAAAAATGAGAATAATTACTTCAAGAGACTAAACTTGTTTGTGTTTCTGATGTTGGCTTTGTTAGACTAACTCGGACGTTATGCTGTTGCAGAGACTGTCTGCAGACCAAAACAACCCGCAATGGGTCTCAGTGATATCCTGACCTGGCTGATACTCCTACCCGTAGTATTTGCTGGTAAGACCCTTATCAACGTGTATGTCAATAATAAAAAAACGATACTGACTAGACGGTAGTAAGTAAATATAAAACGTCAACGCCAGGGAAGAACCAGTCTCGATAATCCACCGAAACAGTATCCACTTATAGGCAAAATATCTGTGAAAATTAAGTTTCACTGAAAATAACAGATCACACCAGGTTTTCTCGAAAAGTAGCTCTGTCATATGAAAAATCGAAAAAAATTCAAGAATATACAGAAACAGATAACTGTAAATTCCTAGAGATATTCGTGAATAGGTTGAAGACGTACCACACTCACAACACAACTTGGCCAAGAAAGATATATTCGACCATAATTGATGACGACATATTGAGAGTATGCTAAGAAATGTGGTTAAATGGTGTGTTTTTAGTGATATGCACGGAGTTCCCAGTCCTCTTGTGGTGTTAATATCCACTAAGTAGAAGTGTCATAGGCAATAAAGTTATCAGCAATATTATTTTCATCTTCATAACAGGTAAATGGACGTATATGGATGTGGACTATGACTACTTGGAGGCATACAACAAAGGCCTTGGTCCCATCGACAAGTCGTACATCAGAGGAGAAGTGAAGGCTTGTGAAAGTCTGGAGGTTTATCTCAATGAGGATTCTGACAAAAACAACTATGTCCTCTACCAGATTTACTACTCCTATTCCTACACAGCCATGTTGGATGGAGGTTCCTACGTCACCTGGGACTATGGCACGCTTTTGGACTGCAATACCTGGAAACCCTTTTGGTTTTCTTGGGAAGGGAATGTCCATAGCATGGGGTTTGGCCTCGAGCCAGGGGTTGATACCTTTCTGACGTATGACCTTGGGAGGACGTTCTCCATCAACATGGTGCAACTGGCCACAGGACAGGATTATGTGACTGGGGAATGGAGATGGCTGACCGGTAAGTAATACCATCAATTTAGCCTCCTCTTCTCCTCGGGGACACCGGTGGCCGAGTCGCCAGTACTCTGATTGGGAATGGAGATGGCTGACCGGTATGTTTATTGTTTCTTCATGTATAACCTTAATTCATTAAATTTTGTTCGACCACCCATTCATCTACCAATCTTCTTACATGCCAAACATGACCATTGATACATGTCCGAGGAACTTCAGAGAACAGCTTTTAGCAAATTCCTGACACACAGCAGTGTATGCTCGATGGTATGTTTGTAGACCTAGAATCGTGTAACCACGGTTTACAAAATGTTGATTTCGTATAATTTTGACCGGTAAGTAATGCCATCAATTTAGCCTCTTCTACTCCTCGGGGACACCGGTGGCCGAGTCGCCCATGCGCCAAAGTTGTTGCAATTACCTATGCAGCTCTGCGTCTCTTAGGTCTGCAAGAAACCTAGGATGATTGTTCGAATTTCAGATTCGCCATGATTATGTGTATAGCATATTCATCATCATTGTCGTGGTAGTGGTTTTCACCAAGGTGGTAAATGTCTGAGACGTGAATCACCTCGAGCTTTCGTCTAACATGAAGCTCACGCCGCGGTATCACTAAACCACTGCCCAAAGCGACCATACATTATTCACGCACTCGCTCCTCAGCCCCTCTTTCTGTCTCTGTGTTACAATAGCCACCGTTCTGTCACTATATCCACTCAGTAATTTAGATCATGTACAACGATTCCTGTAGTCTCCACGGGAAGCGGAGATATTGATTTGGATGGGCAGTGATCCATTTGGTAGACATATGATGCACCCCACATTGTGGTGTAGAATTCTTCGCTTGATGGGACCTCTAATTATTGATTGTTGATAGTCAAAATAGTGACAAATATATAACAACGTTTGACGTAAAACAACATTCACTCCGGTTTCCGATAGAATACTATTTTTGTGGTTCCAGACGAACCTCCCCTGTTCAACACACCTGCACCTGGCGGATATCAGATCCTCGAGATACCTGAGAATACCGCCCAGTACACAGCAGTCTACGCCCCCGCAGCAACAGATCCAGAGGGAGATACAATTACCCTGTCCTCTGCAGGCGACAATATAAACATGTTTGAGATTTATAGTGGATATGTGTACACAATGCAGTCCTTGGACTACGAAACAGAAAACTTCTATGTCGTCACATTTCAGTACGTAAGACAGTTGTATACGCATAGTCATTGTAAAGGCATTATAAATACCTTTTCTAAACATTTGTATTGTGCTGAACTGGAGCCGAAGATTGGCCCCCTGCAGGATTTGTTTCCTGAAGATTCTTATTTTGTATGTCTGAAATGTATGTCGTGCATCTACCTTTTGTTCTTATTTATGCTCATTTTGTCCTTGCATTCCTTTAATTTACCTATGTCTCCTTCATGATCGTTATAACCCTTCTATATTATCCTTATGTCCTCCTCTTTGTGCCTTGTGTACTTCGTCATGGTCTTTGTCTTTCTTTATTATCCCTGTTATCTTTTACGTTCCCTATGATCCTTATGTCCTTCTTTATTATCCTTATGTCCTTCTTTATTATCCTTATGTCCTTCTTTATTATCTCTGTCCTCCTCTATGCTCCCTGTCTCCTTTATGCTCCGTATGTCCCCCTTCATTTTCCTCATCCTCTTTTAGGATTCTTAAGCCTTTTATGATGCTTATCCTGCTTTATAATCTTTATGTCCACCTTCATGTTCGTTAAGTCCTCCTTTATGCATTGTTTATAGTGCTAGCCTACTGAGATACCATGCCGCAGTTAAACATGGATATCCCATATTGTACTGAGCCATCCGAGCCGACCAATCCTTGTTTTATACACGTAATGCAGAACGCCAGGCAGGGTAACAAACATTATCATCTGTAAACGTCTTCCGGTATGTCGCGGCCGGGGATCGAGCCACCGACCTTCCGCTCATCGGGCAGACGCTCTATCCACCAGACCACGGAGGCGGTCACATTGGAGTACGATCATACTCGTTCACTCACTCACTCACTCACTCACTATGAAGGGATACAATAAAACATCATAGTGCACACAGGAAACATCAGCTGCTCTGTCTACATATTCTAAGACCGATGTTTGTTTCAAGTTACAAGTGTACATATATGAACATAAGAAGAATAACTGTAAAAGTATCTCGGGAGTTACCTCCCATTCCATTCCTTGCATTTTGCGAAAACAGCCCCAAACGTATCCACATAGCTTTCTGTATCTAAAAATAAGAATGATCCCGTTGAAATGTCCTCTATTACGCTCCGTATGTCCACGTTTATGATCCTTGTCCCCCTTTATGATACTTATGTCTTAATTTAGGATCTGGATGTCCTTCTTTATGATCCTCATGCCCTTCTTCATACTCCTTATGTCCTCCTTTATGCTCTTCATGTCCTCTTTTACGCTTCTTACCTTCTCATTTTTGATCCATATGTCCTCCTTAATGATCCTTGTCCTCCTTAATTATCCTTGTCCCTTTTTATGATCTTTATGTCCTTCTTAATGTTCCTCATTCTCTTTAAGGATTTCTAAGTCTTTTAATATGTTTGTCCTCCTGCATAATCTTTATGTCCACCTTAATGTTGATTGTCCGACTTTGTGATCCTTATGTTATCTTTTACGCTCCTTATGTCCACCTTCATGAGTCTTATGACCTTCTTTATGTTCATGGTCCTCATAATTTCCTAATCAGTATGTCCTCCTTTATGACCCTTATCCTCATTTATGCTCTTTGTGTCCATATTTATGATCCTTATGACTTTTATAATCCTCATATCCACCTTTATGATCCTTGTCACTCTTTATAATCCTTATATCCACCTTTATGATCCTTGTCACTCTTTATAATCTTTATATCCACCTTTATGATCCTTGTCACTCTTTATAATCCTTATATCCACCTTTATGATCCTTGTCACTCTTTATAATCTTTATATCCACCTTTATGATCCTTGTCACTCTTTATAATCCTTATATCCACCTTTATAATCCTTGTCACTTTTTATAATCCTTATATCCACCTTTATGATCCTTGTCACTCTTTATAATCCTTATATCCACCTTTATGATCTTTGTCACTCTTTATAATCCTTATATCCACCTTTATGATCCTTGTCACTCTTTATAATCTTTATATCCACCTTTATGATCTTTGTCACTCTTTCTAATCCTTATATCCACCTTTATAATCCTTGTCACTTTTTATAATCCTTATATCCACTTTTATGATCTTTGTCACTTTTTACAATCCTTATATCCACCTTCATGCTCCTTATTCCCTGTTTAATGATACTTGTCCTCCGTTATTATGTCTTCTTTAATGATCCTTGTCCCCTTTTATGCTCCTTATTTCCTCCTTAATTTTCCTTGTCCTGGATTATGATCATTGTCCACATACATGTACCTTTCTTTATGATCCTTATGTCCTCCTTTATTATCATTATATCCTCCTTTATGGTACTTATTGCCTCCAATGATATCCTATTTCCGTATAACGACGAGTTATTGAGGTGTAAATGTACCTGTTTTCGTATGTCGGCGACAAAATTCAGTTCCTAATTGATGGGATTTAACGTTCAAGATTAATGCACGTATATAGTGACATGCATGCGCGCGCGTATGTGTATGTGCAAGCCGAGACGAATGCATGTTTAATAATGCTAGGCCTCTGAGATACCATGCCGCAGTTTAACAAGGACACCCCACTCAGACACATTATAATGACTCCGAGCCGACAAAGGAACCATCAGCTGCTCAGTCCACATATTCTAAAACCGCTTTTGTGCTTAAGTTTCAAGTGTACATGTATGAACAGAGGACATAATAAGTGTCAAATTATCTCGGCGGAGTTACCTCCAATTCCATTCCTTGCATTTTGAGAAGTCAGCAGAACGCCTGTTAAAATGTATTATTATATTGTGTTTAATTGTTACCAGAGGTGATGATGGAAGGAACAAGGAAAAGACGTCCATGATCTTCAAGGTGACAAACGTCATTGACGTCGCTCCAGTAGTTACCATTCATGCAATCTCCATCCCAGAAGAGTTACCCGTAGGTACAGACATCGGCAAAGCCTTCTCGTTCACAGATAACGAGGAGGATGATTCGTGGACCTTGTCCTTTTCTGGTAAGTGCAGATCTAACAATTAATCGTTTGTCACCATCATGCCTAAATGTCATTGTATTGTTTTTTTAACAATCAAGATAATTAAAAACAAGGATCGAATGTCAAGACTTTTAATTAGATTGACAACCTAAATTGTACAGTCAAAACATTTTTTTAGTTATTTCAGTATTGGAATCGTTTGTAGATAGTTTGATAATATTGAGATTGTCTTAATATTAAATTAATCATAATGCGACAAATCAACGAACTAAATTGTACCCAAAGCGTTACATTATTGTCTCGGTCAATAGATCAGTGTACACTCGACTTTCATTCTCACCTCTGTGAGGTGCTAGAAGGTTAACATTCACAAACTATTTTAATCATACCGGGTATACATTGCTGAGTGATCAGCGGCACATTGCGAACAAATGACTTGCCCGAGGAGACACCATATGTGATGCATGTTCAAGTTCAAGAGGTTTTATTGTACTTAAGGCCTCTGGCCCATATGCAAAACAAGAGTACAAGAGATAATAGCCGCGAGAACAACACAGCTGAAGGGATGTGCTGTATACAATACATATGTGGAGATAATGTTACAAAGTGGGTGTACACAATTACTTTACGAAGTGACTTAACAATACTACAAGATTCTTGCGCCGAAAAAGTGCATGCTGAACAAAAAGTGCTAACCTCAGACTTTTGCATGTGCTTCAGTGTTGGTAAAGACCGAAGGCCTAGAAGTTCCCGGGAGTTACGCTTCCGTCCGTATAAGATACAATAGGATGTTCACGACTGTCATAATATCAATATCATGTAAGGAGATTTCTTTTGCTATCACAGATTAAAACAATGACCTCTACCTTCCAGGAACAAATGCAGAATATCTGAGTGTGGATAGTGCGTCCGTTGTCACAATGAAGCAGGTTCTTGACATCGACACGACGTCTGTTGACTTCAGCGGCCTCAACATAGTGGTGATGGACTCTGCCTCCAACTATGACACCAAAGTTTTAGACATCACCATCATCGACATCAACGACAACGCACCGACGTTCACATCTGATTACTATACCGCTGTCGTTGACGATGGCACTGGTTCAGGTGAGTGGTTAGACAAACAGGTTACTGGGGAAATGATTTCACTTATTGGTGTATTTCATCATTAATTAGGCACTTCTGAAAAGTCAGACTTCTTCATTTCAACGAGTCAAAGTGTGCCGCACAAACGATTAAAATTGTGTTATCGATAAAGCCATGAAGATATCACTGTTAAAGTTTAAGGTTTTCGAGATTTAGTAGCCCTCTTCACAGTTTAATCTCCGAGCCGCCCCATTATTTTGGTATGGCGTGGAAGTCTCCATTGTGTTATTAAGAAATGTTTATAAGATGGTTATTCTAATTTCCAGGTCAAACAGTCGTCACTGTGGGTGTCGACGATGCCGACATCTCCAACGCTGGTCTGACAACATCAATCCTATCCCAGAATGGAGCTACGTCTGGTTTTGACTTCACCATGAGTGGCAACGACATCAACACTGCCAACACCATGGACTACGAAGCTCTGGAAGATGTAAACTTCCAGTATGTCCTGGTGCTGTTGGTAGTCGACAGTCCTGCAATAGGTGACCCCCTCACTGGAACTGCCGTCGTCCGCATCACGGTGAGGAATAGCACCATTGTCTACAGAATGCAATATATGTATTTCAAGGAGTGAGTGATTTCAATAGTTTTTAGTTAGATTACAGCGTGTGAAGGGAAAGCCCGTAGTGATATAGGTATTAGACGTTTACGATTTGGGGAACCCACGAGTACTGATATAGTACTGAGATACCTAGAAACATAATCAGGTGTGAACCATGATATTAGGTTTTTTGGCACGCCTAAGGGACGCAACACTGCTCAGCGTATCGCGGCATCTTAGACGTGTGTGTTAACCGTGTCTCCAGTTTGGATTTCAACTTTTACATGCTATTTTGAAACTTTAAAAACTGGCTTCAGGTTTAGGTAAGTACTACACTAGTTAAATTTTCCTCTCTATTATGACCTATGTTGTCCCTATAACAGATTAGCAACGCCTGGTACATCGATATACACCCTTTAAATAAACAAGCTGACATTAAAAACAGATGTCTGATAATCGTACCATATCACGTTTATTGGTTATAATACATAACTCGAGAAAGGCGAGAGTATTTTGAGTATATCTGTTCTGTACAAATATTTACTTTGGGCATCACTTTCTTTCGTAATGATGAATTGATAATTGAAGTCGACAACAAGTATATGTTCATTATGTTCAGGGATAGTTGTATAAAGGTTGGAAAAATCAAAAGTGTTTCAGCTTATTTGTTTTGTCCTGGTCTGAGATTGTATAAGTTAATGAAGTAAAATTTCTTTGACCAATATGTGATTACCTTTCACATAATCTGTGACAGTATTTAATTAGATCTTTATTGTGAGAATGATTGTCCGTAGTTTCGACAAGGCTTTAGTGGTACATTTGCTGGTCACTGCAATAGATCTATCTTTATAAAGATTCTTATAAATCAGTATTTTCTGCATGAAAACCTGGAATGGATTTATTCTAAGATGTTATAGAAATTCTACGTGTACGTAAAAATAGTTCATGATTGTCACACATATTTGCTTTGGACTGGGCATGTTGGATCAGCAGATATCTCATCAATGCCAAGTTTCTTGTATAGACAGTTCATATAATGTTTTGCTGGTAAAGCTGTTATTGTTTGACGCGTTGGTAGTTGAACAATGAAACATATTTGACACAATTCTGACAGATTTATAACAACTGGAACTTGTGAACTGAGTTCTATGTCGTGCCATGAAATATGAACTCCTTAACTTCTTTTGAGTAGTACAGTTTGGTGAAAGCACTTTACATATACTAATATACATGTAGGTTAGCGCAAGGACGTTTTCTGTATTTGTCTGTTCATTTTCACTTAACAACTCGCTAGCCTGGCTTTAATATGGTGATGGAATTTTTTAAAAGAAGCGTAAATTCATACACACACATTGTAGAAATAAACCGACTTTGATGTCTCTTAATCCTGGCATAAGAAGAGTGAGTGAGTGAGTGAGGTTTTACGCATTATTCCAGCAACATGACGGCATTCGGCGTGACGAGCGAACACTTTAGCCACAAGGCTACCCCACCGCCCCTCACACAATTAGAATATATACATATATATAATGACAATGTTTCTGTTCATCAGATCAATCCAGTAAATGACAACTCCCCGGCCTGGAGCGGCACAGGGTCTTATTCCGCCACAGTCCCAGAGGACACCGCCGTGACCACGGTCCTCACAACACTGCAAGCTTCCGACACCGACCTGGGGCCGGACGGAGAAGTGACTTACGCGATAACAGGCGTTGCACCGTGTAAGATTGGCGTGTTGTGCGCTTCAGGTTTCAAACGAGTTTTGTGTTACTCTTTCCATGTATATATGTGCGTGTGCGTGTGCGTGTGCGTGTGCATGTGCGTGTGCGTGTGCGTGTGCGTGTGCATGTGCGTGTAATTTAATCCATAATGAACCCTACAAAACTGATCTCAGGTGTAGGAAAACTTGTGTTGTTGTTTGACACCACACTCAGCAATATTCCAGCTATATGACGAGACCAGACAATCCAGTGATTGACATCATGAGCATCGATCCACGCAAATGGGATACAATGATATACACAAACCAAGTCAGCGACCCTGACCAACCGATCATGTTGGTCGCCTTTTACGGCAAGCATGGGTTGCTGAAGACCAAGTCTAACCCGGAATCTTCACAAGTCTATAAGAAAACAAAGAAGTTTGGTTATGCACTCTTTTGTGTTTCTGGTGAAGATTAAAAATATCAACAAGGTGTGTTTAATGCTTGATATTTGTATAAAACTGTTCAACTTCCAAGGTAAGCCAACTGCTCAGAATTGCGACTTGGTAGACGTTCTGGTTTACTGTGCAAGGATAGTTGAACCAGAACCAGTTGCCCTGTTTTGTTATCCACTTTTCAAATCTTTTCGAAGTTTCAAAACTACTAACGATCTGTTGTTTTCTTTCATATCTAACGATCCTCATTAATAATTTAATATAAGAATTTACATTTTACATGACTGGTGAGAATACAAAACGGTTCTTTGGTAACGTATTAACTATACATCATCATAATTTAGTGAGTAAGTTGGGTTTAACGCCGCTTTTAACAGTATTGCAGTTACATCAAGGCGTGTCAGCTTAATGTGGGAGGAAAGCATGAAGTGATGCAGGTCTCAGACGTTTACCACTTCGGTGAAACCCACGAGCACGGATATGGTGCTGACAAACCTAGAAACACAATCGGGGCGAACCGGGGATTCCAACCAACAATCATAGGTTTCTGGCGTGCCCAAGGGACGCAACTCCTTATTTATGGTATCATCGGCTAATGTATACACAGGCAGCACTGTAGTCCATGTGCGTGTAATATCTCATATTTGGTGATGTACGTAAATGATTGTAAGTTAATAGAGTGTAAATAAAAGAATAAAAACGTTTCCATTTTCATAAGAACTTTAATAGAGTTCATTGTACGCTTCCGAAAGTACCTGAACCATGTGTTTATGAATCACTTAAGTCTATCAAATAGTGATTTTTTAAAGAATGTATATAATGTCATAAACAAAATATTAGCAGGATATAAATATAAGAAATAAGGGAGCGATACATTTTATATTCAGGGGATAGGTGGGCTTGGGATTTTGTGAATAATGTTTCAGAAAAAACTGGATTTTTACCATAAATATCTTTTTACATGCTGGAGGTTTCAATAAAACTACGTTGTCAATTAATTGTTTGGCGTATTTTGAAGCCGTGATCCAGAACATATCATCTCTCTAACAAAATCCCACCCTACCCCTAGGCATTTTAATTGTTGGTCCGAAATCAAATAATGTATTCAATTTTCTGAAATTGATTTGAAGGGATAAAAAAAAAATAAGATTGAGTTTTCATTTTTCTCTTTTGTTAAAAACAGCTTCGGGAACAGGTCTTTTTACGGTCGATTCAACAACTGGTGACGTGAAAGTTGGGGGAGTGCTTGACGCGGACGTCGGCACCGGCGGGGTGAGCAGCTTCTCCATCAGTGTCAGGGCCTGGGACAAGGGAGCCAGTCCAAAATACGTCGACGGTAGCGTCAGTGTAACGCTGACGGGGACCAACGACAATGCTCCCCATTTCGACAACACCGTCATCCAAGCATCCCTGCCCGAGGACAGTACCTTGAACTCCGTCGTCACGCAGATCATCGTCAACGACCACGACGGCGACTCCGTCACACTTTCTATAGACAGTGGCGGGGACGGTCATTTCACGATGGATGGGGATTCCTTGAAGTTTACATCGGCCGTCGACTATGAGACCAAGGACACGCATCTGCTCGTAATAAAGTAATGCGAATTTAATTTCCCAATCTTAGTATCGATTTTGTCATCTCATATGTGTATTGTGAATGGTCAGTTGAATTTTAGAAAACTACCAAGAGTGCATGAATGAGGTTGAAGCATCATTGAGCAGTTTTTCAGATAAATGAAAAAATGCCAGCTCTATGTTGGACTGGTGGGGGATTTTCGCCCCTTTAAGTAATATTCAAGCAAAGTCACGACGGTGATCACCAGAAACGGGCTTCACACTTTGTATCCATATGGGGAATGGAATCTGAACTTCGGCTTGACGAGCGAACGCTTTAACCACAAGGCTACCCTACTGTCCTGCTTATGTTGAAATGATGCGGGTCTCTGACGTATCTCTCAACCTTTATAAAACCAAGAGCACCTTACGGTGCTCAGAAGCCGTAAATCACAATGTCGGTGGGCCCCAAGTGATCCTGTATCTAGAAAAGTATACATTTATATTTGATATATACTACTCACAAAAAGTTAAATAACCCCGACTCTTAAACATTACTGTAGTTAATCCGTCATGACATAAGGTAAACAATAAAATTTAGTTCTGAGGAAGAATCGGGTGTTCTTTGATATATTTTGAGCAGTGTATAATCGTTTCAGCCTAAGATCCCAAATATTCATTCCATTCCAAATTAGAAATCCTGTTTGACTTTTGTAAGTACTGTAAAATTGCAATTTCCATGTTATCTGCAATATAAACTGTCACCTGAATAATTAACGTGATTGTCACTTCCGGGTCCCCGATAACATAAAGATAATATAACAGCCTCAGTCTCTACCCTCACCCTCCCTAATGGATGAAGAGTGACATCCTTTAGAGTATTATTCTCGTGTCTCAGGGCTGCAGATGGAGCACATGAAAGCTATGCATCGGTTGAGGTCAACGTTGTGGATGTCGTGGACGAGCCTCCGGTAATCTCCGTTGTGTCCAGCAGCACCATGGCAGAGGAACAGGCTGTCCGGTCAGCCGTGCATGGAGGATACGTCGTCACGGACCCCGACCAGGGAGACACGCTCTCATATGCTCTGAGTGGTAAGCATTAATGTAGGATGTAGTAGCTGAATTGTTGGTGCGTTGACTCGTCACGCCGAGGATCTGGGTTCTATTCTCACATGGTTGTAATCTGTGGAGGCAATTGCTATTGTTTCTAGCCAAAGTGGAGATTTCGGGTCAGATTAGGTCCATATTTACTCATTTGCCAGAACTGACTGAAATGAGGTTCGGATGGCCGTCGTGTGTGGAGCGTTGTTCATGCTACGAGTCATTTGTTTTTCTGGTCCTGACATAATTATGTAAAGACAGCGCTGATAGCTTTCATATTGCTGAATGTTGCGTAAAACAACATTCATACACTTGTAGATATTGCTGAATGCAACCAGTGTGAAATGATTTTTACGAAGAAGCGATAGAAATTATACATCCATGTTTCATGGTGACCAATAATGAAACAAACAAGAAATGGTTATTCGATGGTTGTTTATTTGATGCGGGTACCATAGGCAATATTACATGCATCATATCAATGAGTATCTCACAACAGTTCAGGGGCGATCGGGCAGTCTAGTGGTTAAAGCGTTCGCTCGTCACGCCGAAGACCCGGGTTCGATTCCCCACATGGATACAATGAGTGGAGCCCATTTCTGGTGTCTCCCGCCGTGATATTGCTTGAATATTGCTAAAAGCGGCTTAAAACCATACTCACTCACTCACAACAGGTCAACCTTGTAACGTATTGATAATGTTTGTAACATCTTGGTCAAATCCAAGTTTCAAGTGTATATTTTTTCTATCCCCGGCAGTTTATGTGCGTCATCACAATTTAGCAAACGCAGAGTACCAATAGTGGACACGATAATCAGATATCATAGCTACATTGTATCTACAGTGAGAGAAAAACGTGAAAATAATGCACATGACTATGTTTTTAATGTCTTATATTTCTATTTGTTGAATCTTTCATGCACATTATACGAATGGTAACATATTAATATATCACCTGAATATTTCCTGAGGTTATATTTTGCAGGGACCCATGCCTCGTACATCAGTATAGACTCTGGTACTGGTGAACTAACAGTTTCTCAGAACATTGACCTGGAGAGTGGACTGACTCAACTTGACCTGGCTGTGACAGTCACTGATTCTACAGGACTCTCGGCAACACAAGCCTTCTCCATCACAGTCGACGACATCAACGACCTGCCTCCAGTCTTCGGCACTTCCCTATATTCGGTTGAAATTACAGAAAATACGGCAGGAGGTATCGTAGGTTCTTCAGTCATGTTGTAAAGGATGAAAACCGACTCTGAAGTCTTGACTGAAAATGTAAGCCCAGGAATTCTGGAAATAGGGAATGGCCTAGTGCTTACATTCTCAGTAACGTCAGAAGAGGAGGGTTTTTTATCCAACTTATAAAACGAAAGAAAAATCTGAAAGGTTTATTAACAATGATATGTTTCCAACACCCTTTCCATTAACCTTTGGAAACGGATGTAAAATATCCCTTGATGTACTTTGGGGGGAAATACATTCTTAAAAGCATTGCGTTTTATCAGCGCCTCTGTATCCTGATGTACAGACACACAATGGAAATGCATAATTTTACAAACATCAGACATGTTGTGCTTTTGTGCTCAAGTCCATCTCAAAACACATCAAATGAGATTCGCAAGGGAACATTGTTGCGTTTGATTACCTCATGCCTAAATACCCAGAACAAACTTTCTTTGATTTTGTGGCCTTTTAGTCAAATACTACAAAAAATAGAATATGCGTTTTGAATTAAAAGTGTATCAGTATAGCTCAGTCACGAGGCTACAAATACGAAGGTTGCAGGTTCGATCCATATGACATATAATTACCATTTGTCGTATGATTTTACACCATTCCCCACATTTCCTGAAGAATGAATTGTAATGTGTGTTGTATGGTTTGTGTTCAAATACAACTCAATCACAGGACCGTAGAATATACCTGGGCCCCTGCTGAAATGGTATTCTTCTAACAGAAGGCCCCGTAAAACAATAGGATGAGGTCACAAGAGGTTTATAAGTCATGTTATGGCGAGTTATCGCTACATGTATTATAATACTTACGGTACTGCAGATAAATAACAACACATTTTGTACCATTTTACTGTTTGAAGATGTATGTGTCATCAGTCCCGTGGGGATTCCGTCAAATAAGTGTTCCCCAGTATCCCATGCTTGTCTAAAGATCCCCCTGAAGGGGATCTGGTGATCAGTCTCGGTGACTTGCGCATCATCGTTTCCCAGACCGCCTCTGTGGTCTAGTGGTAGAGCGTCCGCCAGGAGAGCGGAAGGTCCGGGTTTCGACCCCCGGCCGCGTCATACCAAACGACGTTAAAAGGTGGTACTTGTTGTTACCCTCTCTGGCGGTCGGCATTAAAGGGCTAAAACAAGGACTGGTCGGCTCGGAGTAGGTATACTGTGTCTGAGTTGGGTATTCATGTTAAACTGCGGCATGGTATCTCAGTGTGCTAGCACTATAAATCGGCATCAGTCCGGACTAGTACAAGCAGCCATACACACGTGCATGCACGTCGCTATATAAGTGCAATTATCTTGGACGCGACGTTAAACCCAATTTCACTTCACCTCACCATCATCGTTTCCTATGATACAGCTGAACTGCCACTGACTGCTCTGTGCAACAAGATTCACTCATTCAATAACTACTTCTGTGTTACTATCTGTGCTGATTTGAATTATTCATTTTGATATTAGATACATCGCTGGCTGATCTGACCTGCTCTGATGGAGACATGGGTAACAACGCCTTGTTTGACGTCACGGTTGCCAGTGGAGATGGTGGAGCAGGTATCTTCAAGATGTCCGGACTTCAGCTCCTCACGGACTCTACCCCTGCTGACTATGAGGCTGTAGCAGCATCAGGCTACATGTACACCCTGGTCATCACAGCAGTGGACACACCAGACCAGGGGGAGGCCAACACGGGGACAGCGATAGTGAAGGTGACGGTCAAACCAGAGAACGAGTTCGACCCTGTGTGGAGTAGTCCAGTTCCTGATGGCGGCGGTAACTTTGCAGGAACTACAGTCAGTGAAGGTGATGCTCTAGGGACTGTCGTCACATCCTTCACTGCAACTGATGCTGATCTCGGCGATGACGGTGATGTCAGCTACAACATAGTGTCTGTCACTGCTGGTGAGTAGAATGTGATACATTTCTAATCAAAATATGAGATAACGTCACTACCTCGATAACGACATCATCATTGGAAACGGTTTAAAAAGGTCATCGAAATATATTTGTAGAGCCCACAGACGCCAAAGGCGTACTCTTAAGGTGGAGCGAGAAACACTTGCGACTTTCATTGACAAAGTGTCACGCGTCCGCAATTATCTTTTGAAATTAACTGAACTCATGGACTATGAACATAATGTGTACCTTTTTTCTGTTATTTCATCAAATAATTTTGTGCAAAATGAGAGTGAATCACGTTGTCACGTTCTAGATCAGGTATTTGTAATAATATTGATAAATCATGTCTTGTAATTTGACAGCGTCGGGAGCTTCAGCCTCAGACAAATTCGCCATAACCCCAACAACAGGAGAACTGATGGTGGCAGGAGTGTTGGATGTGGACGTAGGGACAAACGGAGAAAGTAGCTACACTATTGTAGTCAGGGCATCAGACAACGGAGCAACAGCCAGGACCGTGGATGGTAACATTGTTGTTACATTGACAAACGTCAACGACAACGCCCCGACCTTTGACCAGACTGACTACACGGCCAGTGTGAGTGAAGCTAGTGTTGCTGGGACAGGGGTGATCACCCTCATCACCGATGACTATGATGGGGATGCAGTGACTCTGTCTGTAGCCAGCGGACGGGATGACCTGTTTGAGTGTGTGGGAAATGAGGTCAAGGTCAAGGCCCCTTTAGACTACGAAACTGACACGTACCATACCATAATTATAAGGTGAGTCGTTCATAATGGTTCCACCTGTTCTTTTGGAAATTGAAATCCAACTAATTTTATCTTGGTTGGTGTCATTGGATATGCAAGACCTAAAAGGATTTGATAATGACATTTTTAGAAAATTTAACCTGAAACATACCATCCAACTTCAGAGCCAGTGACGGTGTCTTTGAGACGGATGTTCCTGTCCAAGTTAACGTACAGGACGTCAGTGATGAAGATCCTGTCATTACCATGGTAACAACTGCCACCATGGCAGAAGAACAGGCACCAGGAACCGGAGTGTATGGGGGATATCTTGTCACTGACCCTGATGCTGGAGACAATCTGACATTTGTTCTCTCTGGTATGTAGAACGATTCATAGAGCACATGATCATGATCATGTTATAATCGGAATTGTACAGTGGATTCTGCTTGAAGTAGAGATTTCTAATGATTATGGAAACGACTTAGTCGCTTTCATTTATTGCACTACAATACATGCCAGCTAGTATGGTCATTGTACCCGTGCAGTATTTATATACTGTACAGTGACACACACAACAAACGTATCAAACCGATACATGTTAATTGGAACCTTTGGTGACCCTCGGTTTCGTCTATGAACGGAAGAGCCTAGCAGTTTGTGGGAGGATGTAATGTGTGCCCATCAACACATTGTTATTCGAAATTCCATCGAACAATTTTGTATGTGTAAAACCTGAGACTCCAGTATTTTCAAGAACATATGATTAATGTATAGTTGTCGGTCCTCGAGGGACGTGTATGCTAAATATGGTAGAAGGGGACTCACTTTAATCCTTCACTCTTTATAACAGGAGCTGACAACGGTTACCTTGGTATTGATTCTGCCACTGGGGCGTTGTCAGTAGCTCAGAATGTCAACCGAGAAGGAAGCAGTGGCAAGACACAACTGGACCTCACTTTGACCGTCACTGACCAGGGTGGTCAACAGGCCACTCAGGCTTTCTCCATCACAGTAGAGGACATCAATGATTTGCCACCGGTCTTTAGTCCTTCAGAGTTCACTGCTGAAATTACTGAGAATTCGGCAGCAGGTATGCATCCTTTCGTACAGTCACGATACCAAACAGGCCAGGACAACATAATTCATTTTTAAGAGGGGGTTTAGATATCCCAGTGGTTAAAACGTCCGTTGTCACTACGAGGACCCGGGTTCGATTCCCTACATTGTTACATTTATCAAACACATATGTGGTGATCACCGAAGCTTCACTTCAAGTGAATGATAAGTCTGATTTGTGCAAGCAAGTTAACGAAATAGGGTCAATACCCCATGTCCACTTTAATTAACAGCAGTTGTAGATTATACTCCCTTTGGGGTAACCTGTCTGGTTCTAATACCTTCCTCATATCCATTAATTATCATCACAGATGTGTCGCTACTGGATCTAACATGCTCTGATGGAGACATGGGTAACAACGCCTTGTTTGACGTCACGGTTGCCAGTGGAGATGGTGGAGCAGGTATCTTCAAGATGTCCGGACTTCAGCTCCTCACGGACTCCACCCCTGCTGACTATGAGGCTGTAGCAGCATCAGGCTACATGTACACCCTGGTCATAACAGCAGTGGACAAGCCGGCCGATGGTGTACCTAACACGGGAACAGCAATCGTGAGGGTAACAGTAACACATGAGAACGAGTTCGACCCTGTGTGGGCAGGACCTGCTTCAGATGGAAGTGGAACATTTACAGGAACTACAGTCAGTGAAGGGGAAGCTCCGGGATACGTGATCACAACGTTCCAGGCGACTGATGCTGATCTTGGAGTGGATGGGGAGATCACATACACCATTGTGTCCGTGTCTGCAGGTACATGGGAAACAACCACTGATGACATATGTCGTCCATACAAGTACTCAAACATACATGCACGAATATTCGCACACACACATTGTTATTAAGGAAGGATCAACAAGTACACTCGACACGTTGTTGGGGCACGGGTGGCCCAGTGGCACAGATTCGCTGTGCAGAGTTGCGTCCCTTGGGCACGCCAGAAACCTATGATTGTGGGTTCGAATCCCGGTTCGCCAAGACTATATTTCCAGGTTTGTCAGCACCATATCAGTGCTCGTGGGTTTCATCGAAGCGGTAAACGTCTGAGACCTGCATCACTTCGGGCTTTCCTCCCACATTAAACTGACACACCGTGATATAACTGGAATACTGTTAAAAGCGGCGTTAAACCCAACTCACTCACTCAAAACGCTGTATACATCGATTGCAGAAGTTGAAATGGATACTTTCTGTGTCTCTATACACTACAAACATATTTCTGTCTATCTAATACCACAAAGAGATTTGTATTTAGTATTGGATATCTACAGTCAAACCGATCTGATGCAAGTTGCATGTCTATGTACGAAAAACCTGTTTATATAAATATAGGAGACCAGTTTCCTTGTCCTTTGTTTTCATATTACAATGGCGTAACTTACATTCTATAACTTCTACAGTCAATCATGTGCATTGTGGTAGATATACGGATGATAACTAATGTTTTACTTATGGAGCTATAGTCGTTTGAGGCATGTTCTTCTCGTGGGTTCGAATTCCGGTTCGACCAGAGTATGCTTCTAGGTATGTCAAAACCATACCCGTGCTGGTGGGTTTCGCCAAAGTGGTAAACGTCTAAAATGTGCTTCATTTCGGGACCTTACTTCCATATCGCCGCGATAGAACAGAAATACTGTTTAAAGCAGTTGAACGCCCAACTAACTTCTGATAATTACATTACAATCCAACATTATATATATATAATCAATTCTGCGAATAATGTTGGATTGTAATGTAATTATCATAAGCTAGTTGGGTTATATATTAATCAGTGTACCCAACACCTTTCCTGGTATAAATACATTATATTGTGTTCTCACAGCATCGGGAGCTTCATCACCAGACACATTCTCCATAGCCCCCACAACAGGAGAATTGATGGTGGCAGGAGTGTTGGATGTGGACGTAGGGACAAACGGAGAAAGTAGCTACACTATTGTAGTCAGGGCATCAGACAACGGAGCAACGGCCCGGACCGTGGATGGTAACATTGTTGTTACATTGACAAACGTCAACGACAACGCCCCGACCTTTGACCAGACTGACTACACGGCTAGTGTGAGTGAGGCTATTGTTGCTGGGACAGGGGTGATCACCCTCATCACTGATGACTATGATGGCGATGCGGTAACTCTGTCTGTAGCCAGCGGACGGGATGACCTGTTTGAGTGTGTGGGAAATGAACTCAAGATTAAAAATGGATTGGATTATGAGTCGAACACATTCCATGTGCTCATTATAAGGTTAGTACATAAATGTGGAACTAAGGTGGCTTATTCTGAAATAAATATAAATATACAAATGCTTCATGAATGGAATGTGTATATATAAATATTTTTTTCAGTGATTGTTTGTTTGTTGTTTAACGCCGCACTCAGCAATATTGCAGCTATATGACGGCGGTCTGTAAATAATCGAGTCTGGACCAGACAATCGAGTGCAGACATTATCTGCAGCGATCTAAGCAATTGGGATACGATGACATGCATCAACCAAGTCAGCTAGCCTGACCACCTGTTCCCGTTAGTCACCCTTTACAACAAGCATGGGTTGCTGAAGACCCGGATCTTCACGGGACTGTTTTCAGTGAAATGTATTTTGAATGGTTGAAACAATTATTAACAGGTAACTAATATATGCAATACCCACAAATCCTTACAAACAATAAAATAGCTAAAAGCGTTGTAGTTGCATTTGCGACAGTTTTATATTATAAAGAATGAACTTAATCACGGATTATCTTTCACGGATCATGTTTTATGTCCAATTTGTAACATGTTTTTTTTGTATAGAGCGAGTGATGGCGTCTTTGAGACCGATGTTCCCGTGCAAGTCAACGTCCAAGACGCCAGTGATGAGGTTCCCGTCATCGCCATGGTTACAGCGGCCACCATGTCAGAAGAACAGGCATTTGGAACAGGAGTGTATGGTGGATATGTCGTTACTGATGGTGACGATGGAGACACCCTCGCGTACTCTGTTAGTGGTAGGAAGGCCTTATGGCATGTTCAAAAGATATATATTTACCTGAACTAATATCGACACAAAAATGTAAAAAATGTAAAAGACACGTTAAGACCAAACGTAGAATAACATTCAATTACTGCATTTCAAGTATCTAGATATGAAATATAATTTTCAGGTATTCTGAAGACGTATATGGTACGCTTTCGTTTTCTATTAAGGGTAATTAATAAATGTATTAAGAGGCATTCTACTATGAAGAATGCTTGATTCTGATTCAGTATGCTACCTCTAAATTTCACACATAACACGCTTAATTATGCTGCGTTACCAACGTTCAAGTGCTCTTGGGTTCTCCCTCAATACTCAGCCGGAACGCTGAAATACTGCTTCACAACATTAAACTCACGTTTTCGCTTGTAAAGCAGTGAGAAAACAAAATGATAATTGTCCTTTACATGATTCCTGTTCAACTGGTCTGAAATGGTTCATGGTAAAGACTAGTGTCCTCCACCTGACCAAGCTGAATGAAAGCCCCACTCTCTCTGCAGGTGTTGATAGCGGCTACTTGACGATAGACTCATCTTCGGGAGAGCTGTCCATCGCTCAGAACGTTGACAGAGAATCTGGGATGCCCCATCTGTCCCTCACACTGACCGTCACTGACCAGGCTGGACTCCAGGCCACCCAGGACTTCACCATCACAGTTGAGGACATCAACGATCTCCCGCCAACGTTCAACCCTTCTGATTATACAGCAGAGGTCACGGAAAACATGGCTGCAGGCATGTCATGAGACGTGCTTTTTTTTATACTTTCCGACTTAAATATTGCTTAGGATATTTCTTTTATTCCCTACTTCAATATTGTGGGACGGCGTGGTAGCCGGGTTAGATTCCCCACGTGGGTACAAGCCCATTTCTGGTGTCACCCGCTGGGATAATTGCTTGAATATTGCTAAAAGCGGCTTAAAACCATACTTATTCATACTTATAATATGCCAAAATATTTTAAAAAAAATTAAAATACGGGCTTGTGTGAACTGAGCATCTTGTTTTGCATCGCGAATCAAGCTTAGATCCATTAACAAGGACAAAAAACCCTTAAATTATAACTCCATTTTGATTTTAGTTTAATGTTGAGTGCAGGCACATTAATGGATATATATAGTTCGTCTGTATTGATTTGAGGTTTCAAGGATGTAAGGTGTGCTGAATCTGAATCCTTAATCTTGGCCAGAATGGCCCAGTGGGCTTAAGAGAATGGTATCCACAGCTTCCAAGATTTGATAGATGCAGATTCGAATCCAAGAATCACTTCGATTATGATACAAATGACTCTCCTCTTATATTCGATGAACCGCCATGATATCACTACCAACTCACTCACTATTAATCTCTTGACTCGGCGAATATCATGACCGAGATGCTATGTTTCCATAACGATGTATAGTCACTGTTGATGTTGTGCTCCAGATACATCCCTCCTTGATCTGACGCTGTCTGACGGGGACGACGGTAACAACGCTGCGTTTACCCTGAGTGTTACAAGTGGAGATGGCGGAGCAGGCATCTTCAAGATGTCCGGGCAGCAGCTTCAGACGGCTGCTACTACCGCTGACTACGAGGCTATGGAAGCGGCAGGCTTTGTATATACCCTTGTCATCACAGCTGTGGATACGCCGGATGAGGGAGAGGCTCTCACGGGGACAGCTGTTGTCAAGGTGACCGTGAAGCCAGAGAATGAGTTCGATCCTGTTTGGACAACACCTGGAAGCGGAAGTGGAACCTTTGCTGGTGTGAGTGTCGAGGAGGATGGAGAGCCTGGATTTGTGATCACGACTTTCGGTGCAAGTGATGATGATACTGGGATTGACGGGACAATTGCATACAGTATCGTTTCGGTCACTGGCGGTGAGTCTGATTATTACCTTGCTTTGTGAGGTAACTTGCCTACATTTTGCACATGAACATTATACCGAGTTCCTAAGCTGATTGGCCTCTTTATGCAATAGGACGCCATACTGGTGCATTGTTAATAGAAGTAGGACATGACGCCATCGATTGTCTGAAACTGGTCAGGGGCGGTTGGGTAGCCTAGTGGTTAAAGCGTCCGCTCGTCACGCAGAAGACCCGGGTTCGATTCCCGACATGGGTACAAAGCGGCGTAAAACCATACTCACTCACTTACACTCACTCAAACTGGTCAGTTTCCTCACATGTGTTTCAAGTTGACTTAGATTTCTTTCTCATACCTCCATGTCAGAATGATGAGATCATGATAGAATACTGTGTATCCCGCCTTGGAGGGGAATGAATTTCTCAGCGGGGGAATAATCTCTTATACCCCGCCACGAGCAAGTAAGGCTGCACGTGGATTTCTTAGAGGCAGAATATATACCATATACCCCTCGTGATCCTACTACAACTTATATTGTCGGTCTCATATTGTCTTCATTTCGTCTTAGTATGAACACTAGTTATATATATATTCAAATGTCAACGTCATATAGCATTTGTCTCGAATACTGTTTGTGAATCACTATCAAATAATGGTGATATCAAGTGTTCGCGAAAAGGTGAGCGTATCCTGCCCAACCGTCACAAACAAATGCAAAGGCAAAGAATTCATTCATGTGTGCTTCCACCTGTGGACAACCAGGATGTATGGTGACAGATATATTCAGTTGATACATTTTACTTTAAGCAAAACGGGGCGCAGACTAGCCTTGTGGTTATAACGTTCCCTTGCCTTATCGAAGGACGTTCGATCCCCCCAAATCAGTGAATTCCTACTTGGTGCCTAACTCTATGTAGCTGCTGGAGTAGTGGGATGAAAATCACTTATCCACTTCACGGTACATATTTGTGTGTTCAATTTTTATTTTTGTCAGCTTCCGGGGCAACATCGTCAGACAAGTTTACTATAGACACCACGACAGGGGAATTAAAAATAGCCACAAGACTTGACGGAGACACTGGAACCAACGGAGAATCAAGCTACACCATTGTAATCAGGGCATCAGACAGTGGAACATCCCCTCGCTCAGTTGACGGAACAATCGTCATATCTCTGACGAACGTCAACGACAACGCCCCTGTGTTTGATCAGACTGATTACCAGGCCAATGTCAACGAGGACAGTACCCTGGACACAGTCGTGGTACACTTCACGCCCGTTGACCATGACGGCGATGCCGTGACTCTGTCTATTGTAAGTGGCCGCGATGACCTGTTCGGATATGATGGACATGATATTAAAGTGAAGGGAACGCTGAATTATGAGAATGAAACAACATATGTCCTGATTATGAGGTGGGTATGCATTAAGCATTGCTGTTAGATGACTTTAAGCGTTATCGCTTTATCGCTTGTGTACATTTACAATGAAACCCCAATTATCAATTAAAATGTACCCAATTAACGCATCTTTATAACGGAGTCATTTGTATATATGCAGTGTACATAAGAAATCCTTCATAAAGGTAAAAAATGTACTTGTTTTCACTGTATATTGACATTTATACAATATTCAACGGTAAACGAATATATCGCAGGCACCGAAACTGGGAGTCAGAATTGATGATTGGGGTGTATGGGTGTTAAACGTTTCCATACATTTCAACATTGATCTAGTATTTGATGTTTTAGCCAATGTCTACATAAACAATGGATGAAACAAAAGATGTGATGTAATGTATAGAACATATAGTATACTTACTCTCATCCATGACTCATCCAATATGTACCGTCAACAAGCGACGTTCTTGTAGTTGTGATATCAATCTACGTTTGATAGCTCTACCATAAATGTTCCCTTTGAGTTCGGATTCTAGAGTTTTATTTTAGAGAAGTGGGCGAGTGAGTTTGCTTTAACGCCGCTCTGAACAGTATTTCAGGTTTTTAACGGCGTGTCAACTTGATGAGGGGGCGATACCCGAAGTGATGCAGGTAATGGTACTGACAAACCTAGAAACATAATCAGGAGGACGCAAGTATTCGAACCGAATTAATATGTTTTGGCCTACCAAGAGAGGAACCTCGGCACAGCGGATTGCGACCCCTTAACCCGTCTCCCCTTATCATGGAATGGAGAATAGTTGGAATATTTGTTAGTTCATTATTTAGCACATGCACTAATTTAACCGACTGGTAATGGACCCAAACACACCTTTAGTACTATCACAGGCCCCCGCATGTCCTGTTGCCGATGACTTGAAATATTTGACTTTCGGAATCGTTGTAGGGCAAGTGATGGAGTGTTTGAGACCGACGTCTCTCTTCAAGTAAATGTTGTCGACGTCATCGACGAGGTTCCAGTGATAACCAAGATAACCAACAGCTCGATGGCGGAAGAACAGGCAATAGGAACAGGAGTGTATGGAGGATATTTGGTCACTGATGCTGATGCTTCAGACAATCTCACATACACTGTCAGTGGTGAGTCAGTTACGTCCCTTTGTCGTGAAAGGATCCGCAATGGTGGGTTCGAATCTATTATTCACGTTGAGTGTGATGATTGGCTGATGATTCGTGGGTTGTGCCTTCCTCCTAAATAAGACGCGTCATGCATAAAACTTAAAGCCAACTTATTTACTCACTCACGTCATGAAACATGACTTTCTAGATATGTCACAGGCAATAACCTGCTATGAATAAATGCCAGGTCCCTGCAATTCTACTGACCAATTCAGTTAGGGTCAATAACATTCAGGACACTTTGGTTCAATCCAGTAACAACTTGCCATTCTGGTGAGATATTCACAATGTTTGAATTTCACAAAAGGTACAAAGAACTAATGTACTTAAACTAGTAATGAACAGCTGCCTGTTTATCCGAGAAATAACAATCACGTTACCCTTGCATTTCTGTAACATAAAAGTAATAATACATTCCCCGCATCTAAACAAGAGGAGTGAGTGAGTGAGTTGGGTTTAACGCCGCTTTTAACAGTATTCCAGTTACTAAACAAGAGGAGGTCAAGGACTTTGTATTGCATGATCATTCGGGTGTGACGTTCCAAGTTAATAATATCATTTCATTCCGTTGACTTTATATTTGAAAATGCTCAATGATCAATAATGTCTTGTGTTCATTTTGTATCAGGATGCAATGATTAATGATTTCATAAGCTCATGTTTTACCAAGATACAGTGATTAATGATGTCATAAGCTCATATCTATGAAGATGGATGATTTTATCAGTACTTGTTTTACCAAGATGCAGTGATTAAAGATTTCATGTATCAATCCTAGGTGCTGACAGCGCGTATATCAGTGTCGACTCTACCAAGGGGGATCTAACAGTGGGTCAGAATGTGGACAGGGATGGAGGGACAACGGAGCTGCATTTGACCGTGACCGTCACTGACCAGGCTGGACTCCAGGCCACCCAGGACTTCACCATCGTAGTTGAGGACATCAACGATCTTCCTCCAACATTTAGTCAATCCATATACGAGGTCGAAGTAACTGAAAATACTGCAGTTGGTAGGTCAAACACTGACTAATGTACTTTATGATCCTACGATTGCTTTAACCTATTAGGAGCACGATTCGTTGTGCAGATTTGTGTCCCTTGGGCACTCCATTAACCTATGATTGTGGGTTCGAATCCCGGTTGCCCCGATTATGTTTCTAGGTTTGTCAGCACCATACCCGTGCTCGTTGGTTTCACCGAAGTGGTAAACGTCTGAGACCTGTATCACTTCGGGCTTTCCTCCCACAATAAGCTGACACGCCGCGATATAACTTGAATAATGTTCAAAGCGGCGTTAAACCCAACTCACTCACTCACTATAACCCATTACATTAAGTTGGCAGGACTCTTTACCGGACACAAAATGTAACTCTCAAAGTTAAGGGTATTCGTTGCGCTCAGATTGATTTGTGGAAGAGAATGAGTATGAACGTGAACAGCTTACATCCCACAATAATATCACTTCAACGATCGTAAATGGTTAAATTGAGTTGAAATAGTGTTTAACTTTGACTAAAGATCATGTCATTCTTATTTGGATGTGCATGCGCCGGTTGTTTTTACTATTCCAGACTGATGCCGGTTTTATAGTGCTAGCCCAATGAGATACCATGCCAGAGTTTAATTTGGATACCCAATTCAATTCAGACACATTATATACCAACTCCGAAGCTTCCAGTTTTTTGTATTTTCCCCTCAATGCCGATCGTCAGGCAGGGTAACAACAATTACCATACTTTATGTATTTTGTTATTACTCGGCGAGTCATTACATGATACACCAAAAGAAGGAAACGACTTCATTAATCCATATTATTGTTTATCTAATGCAGTTCCTGAATGTATCACAGACCAAAACAGAATTCAGGAACAATCTAGAGGCCGATTACCATATTATCATATTTTCCTCCCATACTTACTGTTTGGGGGCACGTGTGGCCCAATGGTCTAGGTCGCCGTGCTGTGGATACGTATCCCGGTTTGCCTTGAATATGTTTCTAGGTTTGCCAGCACTATAACTATATGTTCTTGGGTTTCACTAAAGTGGTAAATGTCTGAGACCTTCATCAATGCGGGCTTTCATTCCATATTAACCTGACACGCCCTGATATAACTGACATACTATTTCACGCGGCGTTTAACCAACTTCACCAACTGTTTTACCGTTTGCTTTCAGATACATCTCTACTGGACCTCACATGTTCTGATGGCGACAGTGGGAACAATGCCATCTTTACATTTGCCTCTATAGGAGGAGACGACACCGTCACTAAATTCAAGATGGACGGTCATCAGCTTCAGACAGATGCCAATGGAATCGATTACGAGTCTGGTGAGATGTACACGTTGACCATCATGGCAGTGGACACACCAGACGAAGGCGCACCCAAGACAGGAACAGCCGTTGTCAAGGTCACGGTCAAGCCAGAGAATGAGTTCGACCCTGCATGGTCTTCACCAGCTATTGACGGGAGTGGTAACTTTGACGGTGTTACTATCGACGAGGACACAACGTCGGGGACTGTCATGGTATCGCTAGTGGCAACAGATGACGACGATGGGACAGACGGGGATCTCAGTTACAGCATTGTGACAGTCACTGCAGGTACATGTATACATTTGGTAGATCCACAACTAATCATTTTAGCCAGAGATATTATCAACGAGACAGTTAAAAAAACCAAGAAATATTGACAGGTTTGTATGATTAGTTGTTAAATGGTTTAATCTAAAACCAGCCTTAATGACAGAAATCTGTGAAACCAAGAGTGAAACGTAGATGATATTTACCACGGACCGTTTCACAAGCATCAGTACCGGATTTGCGAGTACAAGATATGGAAATGGATAAATGTAGAAGCTCGGATGGTGGGGTGAAGTGGTTTCAGTGTAGTGTGTTTTCGTGAACACAAGAATGTGTGACCTTCATGATGATGCTTTGTAGGTTTGAAAGGAACATACTGGCCATCATTTGAATCCATTGTCTTGAGTTTTCGGTCCATGAGTAGAGATTATATGGTAGCCAGTTGTTAAAGCGTTTACTGGTTAAGGTCCAACATTTTTTAATAATTTAAAAATATTTTTTTGAACGTCCGCCGTTATAGTATCATTGCTGAAAATCATCGTCCAACATCAATCAGTGCCCAGCCGGTTTTACAGTGACAGTTCAGAAACTGAATGTAACACAATATTTGGTGTCTCATTTCAGCCTCAGGGTCCGTAGCAGACAACATGTTTTCCATTGATGAACAAACCGGGGAGGTGACGGTGGCAGGAGATCTAGATGCAGACACGAACACTAATGGTGAAGGTAGTTACACCCTTACCGTTCGAGCCACGGACAAAGGGCAGACTCCACGCACTGTAGACGCTGGGTTCGCGGTGACACTCACCAACGTAAACGACAACGCCCCTGTGTTTGATCAGACGGCGTACCAGACAGCCATCAACGAAGACAGCGCTGTGGACACGGTTGCCATCACCTTCAACGTCCAGGACCATGACGGTGACGCCGTGACGTTGTCTATCGCAAGTGGACGCGATGATCTGTTCACGTGTGACGGATATGACGTCAAGGTCAAGGCTGCGCTGGATTATGAAACAGACAAGTTTTATGTTCTCGTAGTGAGGTAATTTTTCAGTCATTGATTTCAGTATTCTTGGACCTGTTAATACTTTCATACTCTGAATAGTTGTCACTCGAACGCCCGATTGTATGTAATTAGAAACCTTATATATTCTATTTTACATTTTGTCATATTGCTCCCCACGTATGGGTTCTTGTTTGTCGCATTATTTTCCACTATATAATCCATATCAATACAGAGCATCAGACGGCAAATTCGACACAGATGTATCCCTCCAGGTGAACGTAAGCGATGTTATAGATGAGAATCCCGTCATCACCATGGCAACCACAACTTCCATGGCGGAGGAGCAGACAGTTGGGACTCCTGTAGAAGGAGGATACGTCGTTACAGATGCTGATGAGATGGATGTTCTCACATATGCTCTTTCTGGTACATATCTGAATTTCTTAATATTAGTACTTAGGCACCAGTGAATTGGGAACACTGTTGAGTGAGTGAGTGAGTGAGTGAGTGAGTGAGTAAAACCCACGAGCATTGGCCTGGTGCCGACAAACCTAGACACATTAATGCCGATCAGGGATTGGAACCTACCATCATAGATTTCGGGTGTGCCCAAGGTCTGCACAGCGATTTGCGGCGCCTTCGACGACTGGGCCACCTATCTCTGCCTCCACCCCCTATCGCTGGACCAGCCTATGACTTTATTCGTTGGTATATAATAGCGACTACACCCCGTCTACAAGGCGTCCGGTTGTATTCACGGGTGATAGGGGATCGTAGTGTATACAGACCCGTGACGTATTCACGTCATATCCTCCACATGCGTTCTTGTCTTCCAATTACTTCCTGTTCGTATTTATGTGATCGGTTTTCTCTCGATAAGCTGTAATTTCAAGCGTCAGACTTTTGAAGGAAATTGGTTGCCCTGTTAAGACGCCACGCTAAACTGGCCGATCCCTAAAAGAAATGTGTTTTCTACATGTGATAAAATTATAGACAGGTAATTGATTTCAACGTGTAGGTGTGGATAGTGGCTTCCTAAACATCGACCCAAGTACCGGACAGTTAACAGTGACCCAGAATGTCAACAGAGAAGGTGCGTCTGATAAACAGCAATTGTCCCTGACCTTGACCGTCACTGACCAGGCTGGACTCCAGGCCACCCAGGATTTCACCATCTCAGTGGAGGACATCAACGACCTTCCTCCAACATTCAGTCCATCTACGTATGCTGTAGAGGTGACAGAAAACACCGCAGCAGGTAGGTAACTCGATCACTAAAGATTGTCCAGAACATGTAGACACCAACCGGATGTGTATCCCTGGGTGTTTATACCCTGATAGTGTTTGGGTCTCTTCATTGTGTACATAAATATGCTTGTGAAATGCATGTTGCTGACCAAGACGCGACCCTTGAACTTCCCGAAAGAGTCAAGATTGTAAACAATCTGTTCCAATTTGATGGCTAGGGTTGTTTTGTCTCTTCACTTGCAACAATGGTTAGGTAACTCACACGGCATCTTTGGCAGACGCAATGTCTTGCTGTTAAGAAACATCAGAATACAATCATCAGTGCTTCACCAAGTTAAGCTTCAACATATTCATCAAAGGATAGAACTTTATTTAATATGAAACGAGTGAGTGAGTTTGGTTTTACGCCGCTTTTAGCAATATTTCAGCAATATCACGGCGGGAGACACCAGAAATGGGCTTCACACATTGTACCCATGTAGGGAATCGAACCCGGGTCTTCGGCGTGTCGAGCTAACGCTTTAACCACTAGGCTACCCGACCGCCCCACACATTATTGAATACACTTATAGAACATCACATTTAAGTTCTAGATTGGACCTTATATTTTCGTCCTTGTAGACACATCTCTGCTGGATCTCACATGCACCGACGATGACGACGGCAACAACGCCGTGTTTGCCGTCACTGTCGCAGATGGAGATGACGCTTTAACAAAATTCAAGCTGTCTGGCCAACAACTCAAGACGGACGTTAACCTCGTTGACTTCGATAGTCTAGAAGCATCAGGCTACATGTACACCCTGGTCATCACAGCAGTGGACACACCAGATCAGGGGGAGGCCAACACGGGGACAGCCGTAGTGAAGGTGACGGTCAAACCAGAGAACGAGTTCGACCCTGTGTGGACGTCACCTGCAATAGACGCTGGTAGTAACTTCGACGCTATTACCATCAGTGAGGACACAGCGCTTGGAACTGTCGTGGCATCAGTGGTTGCAACAGATGATGACAGCGGCGATGACGGCGACGTCAGTTACAGCATTACGGATGTCACTGCAGGTACATCTCCAACTGTTCCTCTTTAAGTGGTTACAATAGTTGGGAATAGTTGGTACAATAGACACGTGAGTTCAACAATATGAAGCCCTAAAATAAAATTGCTCATCACAATCTAAATTCGTGAGTTGCTGAAATTAATAAGTGAATGTTTCGCGATACGCAAATTCTTCCCGTCACCGTTTCTTGAAACGCCATTGATGGTGCCGATCCAAATGAGATACGTACTGGTGAAAAATATTTCGAATTATAATCACGTACTAAAGACTCTTAAGACTCGAGTTTTAATACATCACTTAAAGCACAGGTGAGGTCAACATAGCAACTTTGCAGGATTAAATACTTTAGGGGATGCCCAATGACAAATGGTTGACCAAAATGAAATTTGAAAAAGGGAAATACCGCAAAACGGACGGAAAAAAACGACAGGCAAAATCGTCCCCCAAACGGAAAAATCCTTCACTGAAGGGAATCCCCTTCGTGGATGTTAAAACAGGTTATCGGTGTTGGATGCGCTGCGCAATTTCAACGATCGGGCCGGCGCCCAGTCTGCCCTGGTGGTTTCTTACGGTTCTACCTACTTGTCCAGCATCTTTTGTTATGGGTACAAATAATAAGGGATTAAGCGGGGCATCTCACATAAGACAAGTACTTGGTGAATATCTCACAAAATATAACGACACAACTACTTGGTGAACTGTATTCACACTCACATTCATTGAGTGAGTGAACATATTAATATGTATTTGGACTATAAAAGGAATTACAGACAAGAAACCGTATTCCACTGTGACAAATGCGTGGGTTGATTTACATATTTGTCCCAATGCTAGGAGGGATCGGCACTTGGGTTTTTGCCGGATACCAGTTTAGGAATAAGACCAGTCGTCAAGCTTCCATTCATTGGAAATGTTCCTAAAGATGATGCCCAGCCATCAGTAACAGCAAAGATGACTTTGTCACGAAGCACAATTATATGTCTGAGCAGTGGGACGACGCCACAAATCATCTCGAGGGGTGGTAAAGAATATGTACAAACTCATTAAGATGTAAATGGAAATGTTGATTGTGAAAATGGACAAAAAAGACAATATGTTATACAGTATTAATTCTTTTTATCAACTGTTTATTTTATATTTTAAAGTAAACGAATGCTGGATGTACGGATGTACGTATATTGCTAAAACAAACACTTGCCAAGAACGGAAGTCACCGTTTATGGAAACCTAAACAGGATGTTAGTAGTAAAAGGCTCGTTAGCGACATTAATTTTTATTTCAAGTCTTCACAATGTCAAGATCAAAGGTCGTTTAACACACTCAACAACTTTTGTGTGTTATTTTTGTAGAAATAACAGAATAGCAACAGTTTCAGCTAATCATCACAAATCTATATATCAGCCAATGAAAACATTTGTCACATAGCTTTAGGCCACGCCCCCAATAGTTTTGTTTTAGAATCCTATTAAGGAGCGTGTGATTTCAGCACTTTCACTTGGACGTTTAAATACTTTCTACGAATATTATGATATTAAGTCTCTCGGGGATTGACTTAATATATCTAGGACAATTGATATTCGCAACAAAATCGCCATCAATCTTTTACACTTAACATGTCCTTTAAAAGCAGAAATTCTGTATTGGTTTACATTGGCTAATTTGTATTGCAAACTATACTATATTTGTAGCATCGGGGTCAGCGGCCAACGACATGTTCTCAGTAAACGCCCGGACAGGGAGCGTGATGGTCGCCGGAGCTCTGGATGTTGACGTCGGTACCAACGGTGTAGACAGCTACACGGTTGTCGTAACAGCATCCGACAACGGACAAACCCCCCGATCTGTTGACGGCACTATCGCCATTTTTCTCTCAAATGTCAACGACAACCCCCCTGTTTTCGACCAGCCTACTTACCAGGCAGATATCAGCGAGGACAGTGCAGTTGACACAGTTGTCATAACGCTCAACACCGTCGACCATGACGGTGATGCTGTGACGTTGTCTGTTGTTAATGGAAGGAGTGATCTGTTCACGTGTGACGGAAATGACGTCAAGGTCAAGGCTGGTCTGGATTTTGAAGACGAGGGAGTCTTTGTGGTCATTATTAAGTAAGATTAACGGCTATTTACAGTATGAACACACAATGATTTCGGCCATGGGAGCCGTGCCAATTTACGCTCGTCAGAGGGGTACACCAAAGTACATGATCTAAACAACCAGTTGTCGGACTTTCATTTTTGTGGAAGCCTCAGGGGCTGAGTGGGGACTTTTCCAAATTTGACGCATCAGTGACAAAAATAATGTCCGATGCAATTCTCTATTTTGACTTGTACCATATGTTCCCATGTTTTTTCAGGTGAACAACTGACTTGCCTTTGCATGTGTTTGTAACGGATGTCACCTTTTCGCGAACACCTGGTATCATTACCATTTGACAGTGATTCATAAACACATGTTCATGATATAGCAGGAATTGTACAATTGACACTGTTTTTTAGGCGTTTTGATCGAATCATGTTTTACGATAAATCAGACGATACTCAATCAGAAAATAAGTTCTGTGAAATGTTTTATGGAGAAAGAGCTTATATGCTGCTTTGGTTAATACAATTGCCAGCATTTCAGGAAGACTTTACCTGCACATCATACGAAGTACATATAACGTAATCAAAATCTAAACATAATTTTTTTTTATAAACTCCTGGGCGAAAGAAAGTGTACCTCCAGGTTTGATGGAGGCTAAAAATGAAACAAACAAGAAATAATTATTCGATGGTGATAGTTATGTTTTGGACCTTAAGTTTATGTTTTCGGCGACTGTTTTCGGTCCAGTATCATTTTGATTTTATAAAATCCACTTTTCAAGTGAACGCTTTCTTTTGCCCGGCAGTTCTTTAAATGCTGCATAACTTTGACCGAAATACGACTGATGGCGTGTATCTCTTACAACACGTACCTTCATTGCAGTGCAACAGATGGGAAGTTCCAAACAGAGGTTACATTGCAAATAGACCTCATTGACGTCATTGACGAGGCACCTGTTATCACCATGGCAACCACTAGTTCGGTCGCTGAGGAACAAACAACAGGAACTGGAGTGTATGGAGGATACATCGTCACGGATGCTGATAAACAAGATGTCCTCGTCTACACTCTGACCGGTTGGTGACTTTAAAGAGTTAATCATTCTAAATGTGAGATATATCATATAATGGGAGGCGATGGGTTAGCCCTGTGGTTAACGCGCTCGTTCATCAAGCCAGTCCCTGATTGGTACTGTATAAATCCAATTCGTTGTGTTCCTTGATTAAAGCCATTATTAGTGTTATTAGGATAAAAAAAACAAATGTCCTCGGAGACGCATCAGTGATTTGTTCTTTCAATCAATAAGTGTAAAAATATATGTTATCAGCACAGAAAGTGAGGTGGGCTGAAATGGCGTTTATCCCTTCAATGCCGAGACGCCAGGCAGGGTTACAACAAGTACCTTCTTAAACATCTGATTGTTTAACCTGTTCACCACAGGAGCTGACAGCGCCTACCTCAGCATTGATTCAGCAACAGGCGAGCTGACAGTAGCCCAGCATATCAACAGGGAAGGGACCAATGCTAAGTCAGCCCTGTCCCTCACACTGACTGTCACTGACCAGGCTGGACTCCAGGCCACCAAGGACTTCACCATCACAGTTGAGGTCATCAACGATCTCCCGCCAGTATTCAACCCATCTATGTTCGAGATAGAGGTCACAGAAAACACTGTTGCTGGTAATATAACATACTCCTTTTTCAGAATGTTTTGACATTTACCAGTACTGATAAAAGGAGGTGTAAGAAACAAGCATCACATTTAGACATTCATTATGTAGGTTATAAGAAGAGTTCACTAAACTGAGAGTGCTTTCATCAGTATGGTTTCTATGGTATTCCTTTGATACACTCGTCCAAGAATTCATGGGGGCACGGGTGACCTAGTCGTCTAAGGCGCCGCGATTCACTGTGCAGAAATGCGTCCCTTGGGCACGCAAGAAACCTATGATTGTGGGTTCGAATCCCGGTTCGCCCAGATTATGTTTCTAGGTTTGTCAGCACCATACCTATGCTCGTGGGTTTCACGAAGTGATATACGCCTGAGATCCGCATCAATTCGGACTTTCCTCCCACATTAAGCTGTGACACGCCGTGATATGACTGGAATACTGATAAAAGCGGCGTTAAACACAACTCACTCACTCACTCACTCACTCACTCACTCCAAGAATTCACAGAAATCGGAATATGTCATCCACGAAGAATCTAGTTGTAAAAGAAAATGAATGGCATTAGGAAGATAACAAGGATTATTTGATTTGGGCTAAAATGGGTATTATTGGTCTTTTCACGCATTTTCACTATATCTGTGTTTTTTCATGCCATAAGTCTAAAACTTGCAAATGGTGGAAAGAATAAAGGCTAGCTGTCATTCATATACATGTCAGTTTATTCTCTTGGCAATGTTTGTCGATACAATTAGTCTTTAACATACTTGGGCATCCTCGCTAGATTATTGTTATTAATTGATAGTTGCAATTGGGTTCGTGTTCAACCGAATCTATTACATGGATAAAACTAAATACAAATAAACTCTTGCAGACACCTCCTTATTGGACTTTATACTGACGATGACGACGGCAACAATACCGTGTTTGCCGTCGCTGTCGCAGTTGGAGATGACTCTCTTACAAAATTCAAGCTGTCTGGCCAACCACTCCACAGGCTTATTTACTCATTTAGTCATTCTATAACTATTTCTGTGTTTCTTTCTTGGTTGATTTGAATTATTTCTTTTGATATTAGATACATCGCTGGCTGATCTGACCTGCTCTGATGGAGATACGGGTAACAACGCTCTGTATGACGTCACGGTTGCCAGTGGAGATGGTGGAGCAGGTATCTTCAAGATGTCCGGACTTCAGCTCCTCACGGACTCCACCCCTGCTGACTACGAGGCTGTAGCAGCATCAGGCTACATGTACACCCTGGTCATCACAGCAGTGGACACACCAGACCAGGGGGAGGCCAACACGGGGACAGCGATAGTGAAGGTGACGGTCAAACCAGAGAACGAGTTCGACCCTGTGTGGACAGGACCTGCTTCGGATGGAACAGGAACATTCGTTGGACTGAGTATAAGCGAGGCCGAGGCACCAGGTTATGTTGCAACAACATTTGTGGCTTCAGATGATGACAGTGGAGAAGATGGGACGCTTACCTACAGCATTGTGTCCATCACAGCAGGTATGTAATATCCAGAGCTTATGGATGTACGATGAATACATACCTAGGTTTGACTGAAGCGAATTGAAATAGCATCTTTCTGGTAGAAGACGGCAATTGGGAATATTCAAGAAAATAATGAATTAATGATTTTGTGAGTAAATGGAGTGGGACTGACGTTAAAGGACATACTTTCATGGATATCACGGCTCAAATAAGAACGTTCCAAAGCGACGCATATTGTAAAGTTAAGCGAAACCAAGGATAGGTGCTGACAAGCCAACATTAAGTCTTGTTGGAACTGAGATTGTTAAACGTGTTCATATGTAATTAGAGATGTAGTATCTTTTGTTTTTGCTTCCTGGCTCTTTCCTTATAGTTCCCAAATGATTTCATAAATAATCTATAATGTTTCTGGAGTCCATCTAAAACATCACATTTTATACTTGCTGTTACAACGTAGAGTTCTATCATATATGTTGTGGGCTGTTATTAATCTGAATTCAAGATAAGGCATCATCAGATATTGCATTACAGGTTCGACGTATTCCATAAATACATCTCTGACACTTAGGCATCTGCTGAAATAGGTATGAATCTGTCAGTCAATAAAACGTCTCATGATGCCAACTGAGCGAATTGTTTTGGGATGATTTACAGCTTTGGTAATATCCGGAAATACCCCGTCTTAGATATTAATTAGATGGTTAAAATAGAAGACTTGCTAGAGTGGGTAAGTGAGTTATAGCAATATTCCATTCATATCAATGTGGTATCAATGCGAAGATTATAGAGAGCGTCGTGATCGTTTGATGAGGGTTGCAGCATCCAAGGCTCCAGTAAAGCTAAATTTGACGCAACAGTGATGTCCGATGCAATTCCGTTTTTTGACTTGTACCATGATTCCCGTGTTTTGTTTTGTCAGATGAGCATTTGACTTGCCCTTGCGTGTGTTTATGATGGACGACACCGGTATCATCACTATTTGATAGTGATTCATGTTTTGATATTGTCGAATCGTTCAACAGATATGTCTTATGACTATTACAAAAATATTATTTTTGTCAGTTTCTTTTTTAACGACTATGGGAAATGACTTTTGTCGAGTTTACGTGCAATACAAGTAAATTAGCGATAATATCAATGATTTATTTTATCCAACAGCCTCTGGCGCAACTGCCTCCGATCTGTTCGCAATTGGCGAACACTCTGGAGAGTTCACTGTAGCCCATACACTGGACACAGACTTGGAAACAGGGGGAGAAGGAAGCTACATTGTTGTAGTGCGAGCTGCGGATGCTGGGACATCCCCCCGCTCAGTGGAAGGAACAATCACTGTGTCCCTGGATGACGCCAACGACAACGCCCCATCCTTCGACCTCACCGAGTACAAGGCTGACGTTGATGAAGACAAGGACACAGGGGCTGTTGTTCTTACGATGAACACTCATGATAATGACGATAGCGATGTTGTGTCGTTGTCAATAGTTAACGGAAACGTGGACTTGTTTGAAGTTGACGGAAATGATGTGAAGATAAAGTCTGCTTTAGACTTTGAGACCGATGACTCGCATGTGTTGATCATCAAGTAAGTGATGACATGTTAACGCCTGACGATCCGCCTTTTGATGAATTAATCGAAAGTGCGTTAAGCCATCGATCCACACGTTCGGTTTATGAAGACATACGATTATCTGTGTCGACCTCAACGTAAACACATGATTGCACATAGACATGTTTGTATGTACACTTGAAGCGAAGCATCCGAGGGAAAATCCGATTATATATTAAAGGTATCATTTTTTTTCCTGATAAGGGGCACTACACAGCTACAAGTTCCGTGTACTATACTTTTTAATGTCCCGTGTCACTCACCCATAATCATTGAGGTCACAAAGCAGCCTCATCATCTGTGTGTATCAGTATCCAAATGATAGTAATTGTATTGTGACAAAATAAGGTCACTGCTCGAAAAAAGATTTCTGTTCGAAAATTCCAAACGGGGACTGCATATTGCATATTGCGATATCTTTGCTGAATGTTGAGATGGGTTAATTAGGAGATAACATACTGTGTTTTCAATGTAGAGATACATGTAGGTTACCTGTAGATTTAACCCCGATAAATTGAATTTGGAACCGAACGCGCGTTCGGTTTCAAATTCAATTTAGCGCGGTTAAATCTACAGGTAACCTAGCTCTACATTGAAAACACAGTATGTTATCTCCTAATTCTTGTCAGATGAATCGGTGTTCCTGGAGCCAGGCTGTGTTGCGACATACGTCAAATAATGAGATATAACCATATAAGGCCACTCACTCCTCGATTCCAGCGCTACGGATGGGAAACATGACACGAGCGTCACTCTACAAGTAACTGTGCTGGACGCCATTGACGAAGCCCCAGTCATCACGCTGACGTCAACAAGCACCATGTCAGAAGAAGAAGCCGTTGGAACTGGAGTCCTTGGAGGATATGACGTCACTGAAGCTGATGCTGGAGATACATTGACATATTCCCTCACTGGTAATTAGCCCTGACCCTTTTGTAGTAAGCAATAATTATAGTAATGTTTAATGTTACGAGTTTGGTGAAACCCAAGAGCACGGGTATGGTGCTGACAAACACAGAAACACAATCGGGGCGATTCGAGCCAACGAACATAGCTTTCTTGCGTGCCCAGGGGACGCAGGTTTGCACAGCGAATTGCGACCTCTTGGAAGACTGGACCATCCGTGCCCCTGCCAAGTCATTGAGCCTGACAACCCAATTCTCTTTTGTTAGGTGAGGTGAAATGGGGTTAAACGTCGCGTTCTGTAGGATGGCTACACTGATAAAGCCGGCGACGTGTATGCGTGCGTGCGTGCGTGCGTGTGTGCATGCGCGCGTGCGTGTGTGCGTGCTTGTACTTGTCCGGACTAATGCCAATTTTATAGTGCCAGCCCACTGTGATACCATGCCGCAGTTTAACATGAATACCCTAGCATACTGACTCCTAGCCGACGAGTCCTTGTCTTCGCCCCTTTATGCCGAGCGCCAAGCAAAGTAACAAGAAGTAACATCTGTTAACGTTCTTTTCATATGACGCAGCCATGGATCGAAGCCCGGACCTTCCGCTCTCCGGGTGGACGCTCTACCACCACATCACGGAGACGGTCTCCCTTTTGTTAACTCTTTATACATGCATTGGTTACTGGGAACGAATTACAGTAAACTACGGTTATAGCGAACACGCTAATAACGAACTGACGGATATAACGAACTTACTTTTTTGGTCCCGACTATTTGCTGTAGTTATGCTGTATATATGCTTATAGCGAACTACGGTTATAACGAACTAAAAGTAGTAGTCCCTTTGAGTTCGTTATAACCGTAGTTTACTGTATACCCCGTGTTCTCCTCGGCAGGGATTGGCAGTATATAGAGGTTATCACGCGAGTGTGTTTGGGGATGGTAAATATCCTGCATTAGGAATAAACATTGTATTTAGCGAGCCTTGGCGAGCTAAATACATAGTGTTTATTCCTAATACAGGATATTTACCATCCCTAAACACACAAGCGTGATAACCTCTTTATCATATAATGTCATTCTTTAATTCTGTGCTTAAAAATCGCTTTCCCTCTCTCACAAACATAAATGAAATATTGTGAGTTTCCCCGCAATGCGCGCATTAATATCTATTACGTCAGAGGGTAAGTGACGTGTCAGTCGGACAGTGACAGTAGCCAATATAGTTCCAACTGAAATCTGTTTCTTATACAGTGGCGAAGCAACATAAACGCAAAACAACAATTGTTTTTAATTGCCTTTTGCGGCAATCCATCGGTCTGTTCGCTGGAGTAACTGCCCTTTGTCAAAGGGAAGCTACTCTAACCCTGTCTCTGAGACGTCACGGCCACGGTCAGACCTTGTTGACAGTCGGTCTGTCCTGTCATAACGTTACGAAGTGTAGTCAGATGTACACACAGCGACAAAACGCAACAAGGTAACAATTCACATACATTTCGGCCAAATCCAACTATTTTAATTTGTGGAGAAGGTTTCAAGCCGCAGAGGTCTACAAGCACAGATATGGCTACTGATCCCGCTTGGCTAGGCCTCGTGCCCTCGTAAAATTGTTTCGAAATTTATATCTCCAAAGTTGCCAAAACTTATAAAATGCCTTATGTACGTCACAGTTAGACATTGATTTTCAGTATATAAGACTGTTCTTAATAATGATAGCAATTATCCCTGTAGTTTATCCAGATTGCTGATGGTTAATTCTGACTCGATCCCCGAATGACGAGGGCGACGCCATGTTTGTTTATAAACAGTGAAAGTAGTCCCTACTTGACCTTTGATATCTCTATCCGCATATGACCCCAAAGGATATCGTTTTTATCCGTTGACTTTATCCTGCCGAGAAACCTACCCATTATATGATAATAAGGGTTATTATGTCATTCTGTGGCCAGCGGGGTTTGTTGGACCTGACATGACAACAGGCCAAGTATCATTTCTTTCTTTTTATACTCTTCTAGGTGCAGACAGTCACTATCTCAGCATTGACTCGGCTACAGGCGACCTATCAGTGGCCGAGAATGTGAACAGAGACGGGACCAGTGGCCGCACCGAGTTGACCGGTCTGTTACTAACTGTCACTGACCAGGCTGGACTCCAGGCCACTGAAGCTTTTACTATCACAATCAAGGACATAAATGACGTCACGCCCATGTTTGACCCAGATGTCATCACAGCCGAGGTAACAGAAAATTCTGCTGCCGGTAAGTGGCAATTCAACCTGCATCCCTGTGTGTGTGAGTGTGTGTTTGGTATGTCGTATCTGATGTGTGTGCCTAGCTTCAATGTCGGAGCCAATGGTACCCGTAGGATAAGATGATTACATGGATGCAAATCATCTGGCAAGTCAGGTAGCTTAGGTTGTATACTCCCCGGGGAGCTGAGAATGTAATTTCAGTGCACATTGATATATAAATGTGTATATCTCCACGGTCATGTTTTAAGGCATGGAAACGTACATTATAGATATTCACTTTTTTTATATATTATTGATATAGCGTAAGAATGCTTACATACATACATGGATTCTGCGTTGTCCCTTGCGTTGAATCCTTAGTACATGTATATAACTCCATGTCACACATTTTTACACTCAAAATACAAATAAAACCTTTTCCATATTCAATGGTCCACTGTACGATTCCGACTCTATTATGAGCATCTGTTTCTGAATCACTATCAACCAATGATGATACCAGGTTTTCGCTAAAAGGTGAGGGCACCCCTCACAAACACATGCACAGGCAAGTCACTTGTTCACCCAAGACAAAAACACGAAGAGACATGGTACAAGTAAAAACAGTCCTGTGGACACCAATACATACGTATGTTTGATTTTTATTACTCGTTAAAACTTCTGGTCATCTAATTAGCCAGTTGCCGTCTTCTGAAACACATACAAGTTGACTGGTCGGACTGTACGAATATCATGATGTCATGTTTGATGCGTGACGTCACTTGCTTGCTACGTCTCAATTGTGTCCGCACTTTATATTACCATCCCGAGAGTTGGACGGTCGTCAAAAGAAAGATTTTTCGTCACACACAAATATTTCACATAAAATATTTCTGTGTAGCCTGTGAACTCTCAAGGATAGATACTTCATTTAGAAATGTCATTAGCGGAGTGTAAGGCCACGAGGTGTATAGTCCATTGAGCTGGTAAAATGCCACTACACCGCGCTATCGACATGTAGCACATATTATGACAGCTTGGATAATTGTGGTCCAGGGCAGCGTAGCCCTTGCTATCAAGCACATACTTGCCCAGTTAACATAGACAGGATGACGTCCACACTACCATGATACTAGTATAAACGTAGCATTTCTGCTTTGCTCGCCGCAAATAGCTGCAAGATTGATGATACGGCATTAAGCAATAATCACTCACTTTCTGATTTATGACGTACAAATGTAAGCAAAACATGACATTCACTCAGTGTTTGGCGTTCGATTTCCAAACTGTGCACGACCTAGATGAACCCGTGTTGACCAAGGTCTGACCAATGTTAGCACCTGTTCAATCATGATTTACGTCACACTTGATTTACCGTGCCCATTGCCTCTGAACCCCTTTAGGGCGGTACTGGTGAACAGCCTTCAGTTGACGTAATCATTAAAGCTACTTAGTTTCATTTATTGATACAATCATGAAAAATAACATTTAAATTAATATGATTAACTAGATATTGATAGTATATATTTATTTCTGATACGCATCTAATAACTTTCGATTGTTCATATATACAGTAAACTACGTTTATAACGAACACGCTTGTAACGAACTGACGGATATAACGAACTTATTTTTTGGTCGCGTCCATTGCTCTATATATGGTGTATATACATGTATACTCATATAACGAATAACGGACATAACAAACTAAAATTGCTTGTCCCTTTGAGTTCGTTATATCCGTAGTTTACTGTATGTATATATATATATCCTTACTTTAGAAACAGTAATGCAACTTTGATAATTTGGACGCGTTATTATGAACTTTCTTGTCTTTTACGTGCGTTTAATGGTAAAGGTAAAAAGGCAGCTTTACCACGCTATTAAACACTTAACCTCTCATTGTTGTGTGTTATAGCCACACACACATGTATACTTCTTCTTGCAGCCCTTTGCATTGTATCTAATGGCGCATTCTCTGCGTTATATTTCGGGTACTGCCCTACGTTATTCTTCATTAACACTGGTTGAATCTAGTCAACCCTGGTTGCCAAACTTGGATGAACCCCGGTTGAATCAGGTCGCTGATATTTTAATAATCAAACGCAACAGAAGGCAACCCTACGTGTACTGGACGAGCTCGTGTAATGAGGTTATGTATGTTGTGAACTGAATAACGTTAATCTTTTACAGGTACCGTTGTGCTTGACTTTAATTGTAAGGACGATGACAGTGGCAACAATGCCGTCTTCAGTCTTGCACTAAGTAGCGGTGACGACACGGATGCCAAATTCACAGTATCAGGTACTCAGCTTCTCACTGCCGCCAACATCTTGGACTACGAAGCTGCGACTTTAGAAGCGTCAGGCTACATGTACACCCTGGTCATCACAGCAGTGGACACACCAGACCAGGGGGAGGCCAACACGGGGACAGCGATAGTGAAGGTGACGGTCAAACCAGAGAACGAGTTCGACCCAGTGTGGACAGGACCTGCTTCAGATGGGAGTGGAACATTTACTGGAGAGAGCGTTGGCGAAGACGCATCTCTAGGGCATGTAATTACAACGTTTGCTGCAACCGATGACGACTTTGGAGAGGATGGAAGAGTTACCTTCAGTATCGTGTCAATCACAGGGGGTAAGAATTCCATGTTCTTGATATACATCGTTCTCCAATCACCTCTGACTTTCCATTATTCAACATCTCACATGAACTATATATTTGATATCAGAAGATGAAAGTTTGCTGCGTTCTTGCTGGTCCGCCTGGGTACTGAATCAACGTTAGACCATGAATCTGCTGATGACCGCGTCACATCGACCGAAACTTACATGTATTTGAAAGCACTTATTCAAATACTTTGTTACGTGTCGATTCCCAAGTTGAAATGTGAAGGCTAACCCAAAAATAAGTACGTACAAAACCAAAATGTGAATCAGTAAATAACCACACAAGATCAATAAATAATTATGTTGAAAGTATATCCAAACACACGGGATTAGTTTTATTTACAATCCTAAATTAATACATACATTCAAATATGCAGTAGCAGCAATTATAGAAGACAGACCTTCTACAAAAAGCAGAGTCGATTGTACGATTCCGACTATATCATGAACATGTGTTTATAAAGCACTATCAAATAGTAATGATACCAGTTCGCGAAAAGGTGAGCATAACCTGTCCCACCGGTGGCACCCGTCACAAACACATGCAAAGCCAAGTCAATTGTTCACCTGAAAACAAAACACGGGAACAAATGGTACAAGTCAAAATAGAGAATTGCATCGGACATCATTTTGTCACTGATGCGTCAAATTTACAAATGTCCTCCACTTTTTGAAGGCTTTACTGAGGCCTTGAATGTTGTAACCTTGAGCAAATAACTTCTGAGCAGGAATCGTATGACGTTCTTTGAAATCTTGAAAAAAAGATCATGCTCGATTGTATCTCAAAAATTGTGAAATGTAAACACCAAAGGTTATACACTCATAGTTGGGTGCAGCTACTGAATGAGGCACAGCACTGTTCTTGATTCCAGGAACGGTGTTCCCGCAGGAAGCAGACAATATATCAATGTTTTCCGATATGTATCCCGTCCGCACTAGGGCAAGTATATGTTGCAATCCAGGTATGAGACGAAACACCCGAGTCGCCCTCGTCTCGCTCTGGACACATATTAAACCGTGTAGTCAACCCAGAAGTGATACCAGTGAACAAACATGTGAACACGCTCCTTACAGCGGAGCCTCGTTACACCAGGTGGGTAATTAAGATGTCAAGCGATGGGACGGAGTTTGGACAATGAATTACTAAGGGAAGTCACTCTATGTTACAGACTACCCTGAGCATGCCACTAAACAGATAACGACATTCTAGATCTAGAGTGTTGTTAACGCCAACAATCATCTGAAATATATTTATAATATATTTATAATATATAATATTTATAATATATATTGCCACAACTTATCCAGGAAGGACAGTTTGAACAGTGCTAACAAAGCGTCTGCGCTATGAGATGTTATTGTCTCATATTGAACAAAGTTAAATGTTATGCTAAACATTATGCTTTATATGAAAGCAAACATACTGGGCTGAAAACCATTGATCTTTGATCACTGTATTCGACCAAACTAATTATTGACATATTAGACTGCAACATCACTCATCATTATTCGGCTATTGCCGAGGTTATCTGGCTTTGTCGCGGAAGAATTAAGTAAAAGGAGGCCTTTAGAACTCAAAACCAGTATTTATTTTCATATTGGAACCGAACGCGTACAGGTACAGGTATTAAATCTGTATGATATCTCCTAATTTTGCACAATACAGTTGATCTTTTAATGGAAGGTGGTTCAAGCTTCAAGTGATCGCACTTGCTAAATAAAAATTATTTACAGATTAAATTTAAAAATGCAGCAAAGAGGGTTTGGGTGATCCTGGCACAGTCAGGCTGGTTAGGCTCATCATCAGCTCAGGGCCCTTGCTCCCTCTACACGCAGCCCAGACAGCGAATGGGACTTCTCCCAGGAAGCGCTGCCTAGTCAAACCCACCCAGAACTTTTGGGTGAATGTGAAGACTCCCCAACACTGAGCCTTCTGCATTACCCAGATTGTAAGAAGGGCTGTATTCCTGGTAGCAAACCCGGGTACTCTCTCAATGTCAGTCAACAGATTGGGAGGTACCAAACCTAAGACACCGAGAGCAATGGGGAGTCGGACATTTCGAAAGCGAGGTCCGCATATTTGCCATGTTTTTCCTCAATCTTTTCAATTACATTAGTGTCAAAGGGGACAGAAAATTCAATGATATAAATAATTTCATTGGATTTATCAAGAAGAGCAAGATCAGGTGCGTTGGCCTGGATACGTCTAAGGCTGTAAATGGGTCTATTCCAAAGAATTTTGTATTTATCATTTTCCATGACGCCCTCTACATATTACGGGTCGTACCATGGGCGGACCTCTGTGTCAAAACCACAAGCATGGCGAAGACGGTAATAAAATGATTGAGCTACACCATCATGTCGTTTAAGATACTGTGTTTGTGCCAAAGCTGGGCATCCACTGACAATGTGTTGGACAGTCTCATTAAACTCATTACATAATCTACATTTCATATTTACATTTTGATGCAAAATCACACATTGACGGTTTCGAGTGGCAAGTGACTGGTCCTGAGCAGCAAACAGAAAGCCTTCTGTTTCACTTTTCAGGCCAGACGACTTCATCCAAGCGAAGGACTCTGCAGGATTGCTAATCTTCTCAACACACTGCATATAAATTCGATGCAGTGGTCGTTCAGATAGCCTCTCCTTGAAAAACTGAGTCTGGGCCGACTTGATATGGCACTTCGCTTGGTTGTACCGTCAAGTAATACAGAACCATCATCATCATCATTATTATTAATATTATTATTTCAGCTTCTGGGACGACAGCTCCGGGTACATTTTCCATTGATGCATCAGCAGGAGACTTGATAGTAGCAAGCGAGCTGGACACTGACTCGGGAACAAACGGCGAGGCGAGTTACACCATTGTAGTGAAGGCATCGGACAACGGAGCCACGGCACGCTCTGTAGAAGGAACCATCACTGTCTCTCTGGACAACGTCAACGACAACGCCCCTGTGTTTGATCAGACAGAGTACCAGGCAGACCTCAGTGAAGACAGTGCTGTGGACACAGTTGTCATTACGCTAAATTCTGAGGATTATGACGGGGATGCTGTGACGCTGTCCATCATCAGCGGACGGGATGATCTATTTCTCTGTGACGGGAATGACGTCAAGGTCAAGGCTGCTGTAGATTTCGAGGATGCCAGTCACCATGTTCTCGTGATCAAGTAAACTTTCTAAGTTTTGTTTAGCTGGACTTGGGTACAAGTTATTTGTTTTGTGTGTGGTGTATTAGTCCCCAACATTGTTTCTATAACATTTGTGGCATTAGTTTTAGATCAGGAACTATGTTGGCTAAAATACGAATTTATCACTTTTGATAGACATTATTTCCGGGAACCAGGTTTTATAGATGGCAACTTCTTTGCTGTTAATAGTTACACAAAATATCCCTCTCGAAAGAATAAATATACGTAAAAAGGGATAAACCGTTATCTCGTCACAGACAATGAAGCCTTTAGATAAAGTAAGTGTTTTTTTAACATCCTTTCCTTTTCAGTATGAGAAGTTGCAGTCAATGCCTCTGACGTGATCATTAACACTTATTAAAACGAAGAGATTATATTTCGTTTCAGGGCAAACGACGGCACATTTGACGCCGAGGTCTCACTTTTAATCAACATTGTTGACGTCATTGATGAAACACCAGTTATCACCATGGTGACCACAGCATCCATGGCTGAGGGCCAAACTATTGGCACTGGTGTTACAGGAGGTTACCATGTTACAGATGCGGACGGACACGATGTTTTCAATTATAGCTTATCAGGTGAAATGAACATGTTTGCCTATTTCATTAAACTATTCAAATATATATCTTTTTAAAAAGTTTGAGGTAAGCTTATTGTGGATTAGATTATTCTTATTTTAATTTGAAACCGAGCGCAGTTTACCTTGAAAAAATAAACGTAAATTCTTTGGTGTCAGCGACGCTATTAATTGAGTACAATGTTTTGAGTGGGTTTTCTATCTGACATGAGGAAATAGAAAATAACATTTAATCAAATTTACTCACACGTATCACACACTTTGAAAGAGCAGGGATTGTCATGTGGATTATGATTGAAACTAGACATCTGTTTTTAGGTTTGGGCAGCGACATGTTTTAAGGATGTCTAGAATAAGCATTTTAACCCGAGTTAATATCATAAGAAATTATGTCGAGTATCATAAAACTCTTTAAGATAAATACATATAAACGTACATAAACCAATTTGCATTTGCTTCAGACGTTTGACGAAATATAACAGCATATACGTGTCCACTTTCACCACACGCTAAATATGCTAACATGGTATCGCCACTGCCGACACTGAACCGCTGGTGCATCACTGACAATGGTGACTGTGATTGGCGCGAGACCATCATTGTGTCCAGAACATTCAATGGTACTCAAAGGCCTTTGTCCGCAGTGCAAAACCATAACAATTCACATCTGGTTATAGTTGATAATAGGATCCTAGGTCCAAACACCTAGTTATTGGTGTGGCAGGCATGACATCAAGTTGCCTCGTGTACGTTTTAACTGAGTATGGCGTCAATATAGTATTTCTATCTACAGGAGCTGATAGTGGCTACCTGGCTATAGATTCTGTTACTGGCGAGTTGTCCGTGGCACAGGACATTGACAGGGAGGCAGGGACTGTTCAGCTGTCCCTCACACTGACCGTCACTGACCAGGCTGGACTCCAGGCCACCGACGATTTCACCATCACAGTCGAGGACGTCAATGATTCCCCACCCACCTGCTCTCCTGCTGTATTCAGCGCTGAAGTGACGGAAAACTCCATTGAAGGTTTGTACAATGTCGTGTTTAGGAACCATGTCCTGATGTGTGCACGTATGTGAATAACACCTTATTACATGTGCACGCCCCTTGAAGATCCGGGTTAGAATTGGTCTTCAGCAACCAATGCTTGCCGTAAGAGGCGAATAACGGGATCAAGTGGTCCGGCTCGCTGACTTGGTCGATGTATGTCATCGTAACGCAATTGCGTAGATTGATGCTTATTATGTCAACCACTGGATTGTCTGCTTCAGACTTGATCATATACAGATCGCTGCAACATAGCTGGCATATTGCTGAGTGCGGCGTTAAACCACAAACAAACAAACAAACACAAACATACACAAATCTAGTTATCGTTAGAGGATTGATCACCTGAAGTACTAATAAATTGTTTATGAAATAAATATGAAATATCATATATAAAAAGCATGAGTACTATAGAGGTGACAAAATAGTGTCTTCTACTTTACACAGGTGAAATTTTTATATACAATACCGCTTAAATACCCAAACAGAGGCATAGCAATAGTGAATATGTTCCCAATGGCATCACCTAGTTGAGAAACAGCGCCATGGAATGGGTTTTGGAATAGCCTACAGAAGACATAGACCTCAAAATATATTTGTGAAGCCTACACATACTTTTTGCCCTTTTTCCAGATCTTGGCCTGGTCACCCTCACCTGTATTGACTCAGACGAAGGCAACAATGCTTTGTTCAGTGTCAGCATTGGGAGTGGTGACGATGCCTCCAGTCCTAAATTCAAAATGTCAGGTTTGGAACTTCTAACAAATTCGAACCCACTTAACTACGAGTCGCTGAAGGATGAAGGTTACATGTACACCCTGATCATCACAGCAGTTGACACACCAGACCAGGGGGAGGCCAACACGGGGACAGCGATAGTGAAGGTGACGGTCCTACCAGAGAACGAGTTCGACCCGGTATGGAGTGACCCGGGACCTGACGTCAATGGTTACTTAAATGATGTCACAGTGGACGAAGACGCTGCTCCCGGGACGGCAATAACGACAGTGACGGCGACAGATGACGACCAGGCCGACGACGGAAGGATCACCTATGAAATCACATCAATTAAATTAGGTGTGTTCACCGATGTAGAGGAAGAACTTGCTCCAGTACTTAATTGCTTGATTGTTGTACACAATATATACTAGTATACACCGATGAAGGAATTGTTGATAAAGGGTGTTTTGCGTGCATTTAACCCCATTGAAATATTTATGTGCAACCGACTGACATGTTGCTTAGGATGAAATAGTTGGAAGTATCCGTGTTTTAGAAATAGAATTATGGCAAATAGATACCTTTGGCTCCGTCCTCATGGTCATAACAAGGAATCGACTGTGCTCTCTGTGATCTATTAGTTTAATGCAATATTATATTAAATTAATTTTTCTTGCACAGACGACGGTACCGACGCAGCAGGAACGTTCGTCATCGGTGCACGAACAGGAGACCTTCTTGTGAAGTCTGAGTTGGACGCCGAGGGTGGTATCAGCTTCTACGACATTGCCCTTCGCGCTGTCGATGGCGGCAGTACGCCACGCGAAGCCACTGCCTCCATCAAGGTCTTCGTCAACAACGCCAACGACCTTCCGCCAGTGTTTGCCGAGACAATGTACCAGACGGACGTATTTGAGAACGTCACTGTTGGGTCCGCCATCTTCACGTTTGATGCGACCGATCCTGACGGGGACGAAGTGACATACAGCGTTGACGCTGACAGCAGCGACGTTTTCGTATGTGATGGAGATGAAATAAAGTTGCTGAAAAAACTGGATTTTGAAACCAGCAGATATCATTCTGTTATTGTCAGGTATACTTAATATATAATTGTGAATGATACAGTGATTAGGCCAAACTACAATGCATTTTAGCCGTTTTCTAATGTAAAGACGTGTTTTTATATCAATATGTGGAGAAACATTCAGAGATGGTTAATGATGCACGACATACCTCTCCAGCTTTGTCGTTTAACATTATTAAATTGTATACACTTCTAATGACTGACACCAAGCTGAGCAGTGGTGAAATATAAACTATAAGGCAGACTACCCTTCCTCCGACCGATCCGTTGGTGTAATATGGGCCCAGCTGTCCCAGTTAGTTTGCATTTTAGTGATTGGTACCGATCGTAGTCGGGCTGGATTTTTCTTTTTTAGTGACTTCAGAAGTTAAAGCAGTGTCAATTTTGGGAGTTTTAGAAGTCCAGGGAAGGTGTAACCCTTTTGGATTGGCTTTCTGGAGGCTGAATCTCATCACAATTGTTACTTCGGATGAGTTCACGTACTAATATCCCAAATGATTTAAGCGGGGGATTTTTCGGAGCTAGAGCTTCATCTCGGGTGTTTTTTGTCTTGCTATATCCTTTTCCATATCCATATCAAAGGGTTTGATATTCGTTTTCAACGATATTATTGCCTGCACTCTTCTTAGTTTAAATGGGAGTTCTTCTGTTTCTACTTGTAGTGCTTCCAGTGAAGGACATGTTTCTGAATCTTTGGCTAGCATTAGGGCGTTGTATTGTATTTTGTCGAGGCGGCTCAAACAGTATTTGATGCTGAGTGAAAGGCCTCACAACCATAGTCTGTTTTTGATCTGATTAGTGATTTGTAGAGGTGCAGCTGAGTGTCCCCAAAGGTGCGCAAAGAAACCCCAAGAATTGCCCGCAATACGTTCAGGTTTTTATGGCATCTGTTTTCAACATATTCTACATGTTTTCAAGTCAGGTGTTGACCTAGGATCACGAATTTTTGCGGATTTTCATATTTTATTGGTTTGCCTTTATGGAGAGACGGGGTATCATAGCATCTTTCTCCCTACGTTTGAACAGACTTCCCACAGTTTTTCTTACTTGAAAGAGTAAAGTCCCATTCAGACTGGAGATTTTTCGGATTTGTAAAATATATATGCCGTTGTCCAGTGACATGGGATCAGATTGATTGTTCCCCATTTTAACTGATAGCGAACTGTCTTGCAGGTAGCTGTGTATGAAGTATGATCTAGACATGAGTGTCCCTTCCTGGAGCCGCTTTGGTCAGTTTTGAAGTGGTTGCCAGTTTTAAGGTGATACATGAGCCTTTTAGTAACCAAGGCTTCCATAGCTTTGCACATGTTTGAAATGACTTTGGTAGGGCTTCGTCTTTCCCTTGCTTTCGAAGCGAGACAACTGCAGCATGTTTCCATGCTTTTGGGACTTCTCCTTTGGACCATATCGTGCTCTCCAACTCGATGAGTAAGCTTTCAGTATGATTAGGCAGGATTGTCAATATCTCGTAACTGGTTATGTCAAGACCAGGTGCAGTGCTCGCACGTTCCTATGTAAATGAAATAATCTTGAACGCGACGTTAAACCGCACCTCTCCTCACCTCACGTCACCTCATCCCACCCCATCGTGCCTCCATGCATGTAGCTTTAACAAACAATCTCTGCTTTATGACCATCAGCGCCTCCGATGGCAAGCACACAGCCTACGTCTCCTTCATCGTCAACGTCGGGGACGTCATTGATGAACCTCCTTCAATTATTGTAGCGGATTACTCCATTGCGGAGGAGCAGGTGTCCGGTACCGTCATCGGCAACGTCTTTACTGTAACTGACCTCGACGTTGGGGACGTGTTCCTCTATGAACTCTCTGGTTAGTTTTAGTCGAAATATTGTCATGATTATCGAAAGTGTGTGTTTCCCTTCTGTTTCTAATGACTGTTGAATGCTTCGATATACATGAAAACAAATAGTTGTTATATACTGAGTCAAATTAAAAGTAATCCAATATATGATATACAACGGACAAATGTATCAGAGAAGGTAATTTTTAATCATTAATGTCCAAAGAAGGATTTTGATTAACGGTGGTAACCATAATTTGTTCCAAGCACCTACGGTATTCGGTAATAACATCAACAGTTTAAAGTCCCAAGCACGAGAATCTGATAGCACACAAGTTCAGTAGCGTGTATGGCCGCCATGTGCGTTGACAACTGCCACACAACGTCTCCGTATGGACTGTGATGCTTGTGAACACATGATTGGGAAGACGACGCCATTGTTGCTGCAAAATGGTGCCAAGATCTTGCAAATTCTGTGGTTGGTTCTGGAGAGTGCGCAGACTTCTGCCAAGAGCATCCCAGACGTGTTCGATGGGAATGAGGTCGGGAGACCTTGACGGCCAGTCCATGACGTTGACTCCCGCATTCTGAAGGAAATGCCTTGTCAAAATTGCTGTGTGGGGTCTGGCATTGTCGTGTTGGAAGATCAAACCGGGTCCATGTGCTGCCATAAAAGTTCTGGTGCCAGTACCTGGTCGCGGTAAGCAGCAGCGTTGAGGTTGCCACGGATGACAAGAAGCCTGGAACGTGCATTGCCACAGAAAGCACCCCACACCATGACACTTCCGCCTCGAAATCTGTCAACTTCCTGTACACAACACTGGGCGTAACGTTCATGACGGCGCCTCCACATCCTCGCCCTACCATCAGCAAATCGAAGATTAAATCGGGATTCATCACTGAAGACGACTTGATTCCAATTCCTCTGAGTCCATCGTAAGTGTCGCTGTGCCCACAATTGACGTTGACGTCTGTGTAATTGAGTCAGAATCGGCCCACAGTATGGCCGTCGTGCTTGAAGGTGAGCAGTTCTCAGACGGTTTCGAACAGTTTGCGCACTCAGTCTACCCCTAAACAGTTCATTTCTGGTTGATGTAGCCGTTACGGTTACGGAGGTGACGTAAGACAATCTGACGATCCTCTACATGTGACGTCACACGTGGTCGACCTGGCCGAGGGCGATCAGCGGTGGTACCCGTTTGCTGTAGACGCGTCTGTAAATCATAAACAGTCCGTCGACTACAACCCATCGTCCTTGCGACTTCAGCTACGGACGTTCCCGTCTGCAACATGCCGATGGCACGTTTACTTTGCACATTTGAAAGGCGTGGCATGACAAATGGCCGTAAAGACTTTTGTATTCTTGTGTGTTTTTGTTGTTGTTAATGACTGCTAACAAGTATGGCTGAAAACACGTGCGGTATTATGGCCATGTGACAAGTTGCACGTGAAAAAACACTTTTGCCACTATAGTGCTGTGCACATGATTTTGATCGATTCACCTGCACAAAAAAACGGGTGTTATCTGAAGACAATACGTGGCCATTACTGTTTAAATACACAATAAGTGCCCACAATGATAACTGCTCAAAATTTTAAACTTTTAGGATTGTGAAGTTTTTAATTTGGTTCAGTATATTTAGTTATTCATATAACAGTCGGCAGAGTCACTTGGCAGAGTTGCGTCCCTTGGACAAGCTGGAAACCTATGATTGTGGGTTCGAATACCGGTTCGCCAAAATTATGTTTCTACGTTTGTCGGCACCATACCCATGCTTGTTGCTTTCACCAAGGAGGTAAACGTCTGAGACCTGCATCACTTCGGACTTTCCCCCACATTAAGCTGACACGCCGCTATATAACTGGAATTCTGTTAAAAGCGGCGTTAAACCCAACTCTTTCACTCACAAATCTGTTAAAATAAATATTGTTTCTCAAGCTTTTACAAAACACTCACTCACTCGTTTATTCAAATACCGCAGGGGACAGCTTTAGTTTTAAAATGTGATATAAAGATTATTTATCACGAGTCTAGGGTGATCGTTCATAAAGATGGTTTTGCCTTTGTCATGAATAGCATGTACCCATCGGGTTTCCAATTAACGTAGGCCTAAGATGCATGTACATGGATACAAGTAAAACCATTGACAGCGCGGGTACAGCGTAAGTGCAGAAAGATGTACAATGCGTATCTGCTCTGTAGATGATATGTCACGAGGGCATGGAAACGTAAACCTACCTCGTTCTGAAGCATCCGTTAGTGGATGAATGAAAACACAAATCAATGAGTTATGTACGAATGCCGATGAACCAAAACAAAAGTTAACGAACAAAGATGTGTGTTTTCAGCTTCATGTCACTAAATGTTCAACAGTTTCTCTGTTCCAGTCGTTCTAGCAATGCATTATTAAAATACAGTTTAGCATTGACGGTATCACTCATATAATCTTATCGCTCAATTGCACATGTTTTCGTTGAAGGTGCAAATGCGGATATATTTGCCATCAATGACACAACGGGGACGCTGTCGTTGAAGGATCGGGTGGACAATGATGCTGGAATTCACACACTGGATCAGCTGACCTTGACCGTCACAGATAGCGGGGCACAGGTGTCAAGCGTTGAGCTGAGCTTCAACATCCTTGACATCAACGACAACCCACCGACATTTAGCAAAGCGTCGTACATGGCAACTGCCCAAGAAGCTGGCGCTAACGGTATGGTTTTATTGATATGTCAAACATGTATTCCTATTATTCCTACGGTCTGATGGAGTGCCCTTTCGTATTCCAGACTCAGTGGGGGGCACGGCTGGCCCAGTCGTCTAAGGCGCCGCGATTTGCTGTGCAGAGTTGCGTCCCTTGGACAGGCCAGAAACCTATGATTGTGGGTTCGAATCCCGGTTCGCTCCGATTATGTTTCGAGGTTTGTCAGCACCATACCCGTGCTCGTGGGTTTCACCGAAGTGGTAAACGTCTGAGACCTGCATCACTTCGGGCTTTCCTTCCACATTAAGCTGACACGCCGTGATATAACTTGAATACTGTTAAAAGCGGCGTTAAACCCAACTCGATCACTCACTCACTCCAGAAGATGAAATCAAATTTAACTCAATAACCTTTCTACACGCGTTAACCGTCTAACATGACAACTGGCGTGTTGTTCACACAGTATATGTATATTCTTGAAATTATAAATGTCTCAGTTATGTTCACTCACAGCACTATCCTTGATGGATTTCTTGGTCACTGACGCCGACATAGGTGTCAACGCCGACTTTGACCTCGCCGTCTCTGCAGGCGACGATATTGACCCGAAGTTCAGCATTACAGGAACAACACTTTACGTTGACTCGTCCAACATCAACTACGAGGACATGGTTGACGTCAACTTCAAGTACACACTCACTGTGACGGCCATCGACAAGCCAGTAGAGGGACAGCCGTTGACTGGGATTACCATGGTTACCGTAATGGTATGTAGTTCTGTTCTGTCGGTTGAGAAACTGGAAACATGGTTGTAGTGTTAACTTGTAGAGATAACTTAGAAAATGTAAATTTCGGCGGATAATCAAGACTGGTTACTCTCTTGCATTGACATTTTTATGTTTCTTTGAATTGGTTGAATAATGTTGAGGTGTTGTTTGGAGATGTTTGAGAGTTGAATGGACATCCAGTTGATTGTTGTCATATGAATGTTTTTGGTCTGCAGTTTTATGCTAGCATTATTAACGAATACTAGTTTTATGTTTTATCAAATTCCTAGACAATACGCATCAAAACAATATGAATATTCCACTAGATCATCTTCAACTTTATGTGAGACTGACACGGAGGCTTTTACCACTCCAATGAGTGAGTGAGTGAGTTGGGTTTGACGCCGCTTTTAACATTATTCCAGTTATATCACGGCGTGTCAGCTTAATGTGGGAGGAAAGCCCGAAGTGATGCAGGTCTCAGACGTTTACCACTTCGGTGAAACCCACGATCACGGGTATGGTGCTGACAAACCTAGAAACATAATCGGGGCGAACCGGGATTCGAACCAACAATCATAGGTTTCTGACGTGTCCAAGGGACGCAACTCTGCACAGCGAATCGCGGCGCCTTAGACGACTTGGACTACTCAAAAGAAGTTAAGGTCCATGGCAAGACATATTAACAAGAGTATTATGAAAGAATCGGGTGGTTTTAAACTTCTTGTGAGTAGAGTATAACTGTTAATGTGCCATTAATAGGTAACATCGAAAAATGAATTTATCCCGGAATGGGAAAGTCCGGCTTTTGAGCTCGGCGACGTCTTCCCTGCCATTACCTTGCCGGAGACCTTGCCAATAGGCAGCGACATCGCCAACTACACTGCTACAGACGCCGACGAAGGGGATGATGGACGTCTGGATTACGAGGTGCTATCAATCACTGGAAGTGAGTGCCCCAGTCAAACTAAAACTACAAGTGATATCTCACGTGTGACGATTCCCCCACAGGTATGCGTTGGACAATGTCCCGTTTCATGGAACTTGTTCTTACAAGACACACATTATGATTGTTAAAATTTTCTTGTTAATAAATGCTGTCGCAGGATTGCTGCTGTGTGGCATCGGGCAACCAACAAACACTTACTATATATGCAAATTGTGTGAATAACGTCATAACGGTAGGGCAGGACATGCTTGCCAATTACGCAAACAACTGGTGTCATCACTGATTTTTCATTAATTCATTCATTTAATTTTCAACGCTATTGTGCCTTTTCGCTCAATGGAAACTCTTTTGGGAGACTATTCTCTGGCGTTGACATTCTATAATATATTTGCTCGTGCAACCAACCACTTCTCAGAGTATCAAATACAGCTGAATATTTGAGACTGATACGATTTGTGGTGGCTCCAAAGCTTACATGTACATCTCCCTTCACCAGCAATGGTGTCTGGTAGTTATGTTCATAAAATAAGAATACTTTCAGCTGGTTTGTTTGCGGTTTAACGCCGCACTCAGCAATATCCCAGCTATATGACGGCGGTCTGTACAAAATAGAGTCTGGACCATACAAACCAGGGATTGACATCATGCGCATCAATCTACACAATTGGGATACGATGACATGCATCAACCAAATCAGCGAGCCTAACCACCCGATCCCGTTAGTCGCCCTTTACGACATGCATGGGTTGCTGAAGACCAATAATTATTCTATCCCGGAACCTTCACGGGACACTTTCAGCTGGTATAATCACATACGGCAGCGTGCAACTTTTCTTCCAGCTTTTTAAATATTTACGTTCATATGACGCACCTTTGCGGGGACACTGGTCAGATGAACCAGTAACCCTTGGGTAACTAAATGGATCAGGTACCCAGGCTCGGTCACTTGGTTGATGGCGTGCCATTGTACACTCGTATTATCAATCACTGGTTTGTCTGGTTCAGATTCAATTATTTAAAGGATGCTATGGCGTAAAACAATATTCATTAGTTATGTCATACATGTATCGCATGGTTGTGTAACAAGTATGTTAGTCTGAAAATCTTTTTGGACGAAATTCGTTTTGGTGATGGCCTCAATCTGGCCACTGGGGTTTCGCACTATGTGTTAGTATCGAAACAGTTTGTTTACAATAAAAGAATTATTTTTAAGGTGATGACCGGGAGTTCTCTTCTGAGTTCACAATGATAACTTCCGATGGTGTGGGTACGCTAGTTGTGTCGTCGGCGTTGGATGCAGACAGTGCATCAGGGGGAGTTGACCACTACATCGTCGTCATCGGCGCTTCAGATCTCGGTGCCGAAATCAGAACTGTCACCGGAACGGTCACCATATCCCTGACAAACGAAGACGATCCAAGTATGTCCAAAATTAAAACAAGTTGTAATCGTTGTTTATTTATATATTTCTGGTGCTTATCTTAATTCTATTGATCAACTATATGTTTGAAAACGTGTTGCAACATTAATATTAGCAAAACTTTACTGTTGTTCAACAATATACATTCACGAACAGATTGTTTAAATCCCGGTATACAGTTAGCCTAGTAGTCAAAGGCGATGCAAGTCGATGTAAAGAGTTGCGTCGCATAGTCGTGCCAGAATCATGTGGTCTGGGTTTGAATCCCAGATGTCCCCTGTTAATGATTCTTCTTGATCATCACAGTATCCGTCGATTTCACCAAAATGGAATTTTTTCTAAGATCTTTATTATTTAGGGTGTCAATGTTTTAATTACAATCCTTCATATCTGCCACTAAAACATTTCCCAGAGTTGGAAATAAATTACATCAAATGTAAAAGCGCGCGAGAATTGGGAGAAAAATGGTTAATGACATTCGAGGGCTGTGAAATATTCAGGACAAATCGTAGCAAATTAATATTTAAATTCTTCCAAAAAGGCATTTTCCACACATTTTTTTATATAGTAGTTGGTCTTGAATATGAAGTCCTCCGATCAAGAAAAGTTCTTTATACTAAATATTCAAGAGGATGCGTAAATCTGAAAACACATTACACTATAACAATGTTTGGCATTAAAGCTAACTTCGCCTTGTTTCTGTAGTTACTGTTGATGCCTCGGCGACGGGAACCAATTCCACAGAGAAATGGGCACTACGGGGAGCATTGATGGCCACGGGTGCAGGGCTAGGAGTACTGGCTCTCCTGTTTGCAAGGATAATTATCAAAAAGTAAGCATCACATCAACACTGTTTATATGTAAAACGACATACTTTTTGGATTGATCAGAGTTTAAGCTTTCAAGGCATGTAGGACGAGTGTAGAGGACGTTTCCAAAACTGCCGTATTGATCAGTGACCAAACTTGTGTTCTTGTGCACTATTTTCCCTACTGAGCTACCGGGGCACGTGATGAAAAGTTGTTAAGTTTATCTTGCCATGACTCCAGCTCATCCATGCTGCACGTTGTTTTACTCCCTCCGCTTTTAGCGAATTCCTTTTATACCGCGATACATTGTATTGTTTCACTATAAAGTATATCAATGTTTTCTTAATTTTTCTGGTATTTCTTGCATTTAGATGGTTCAAAAGTTATATAAACACGCCTCCTCAGTTTTGGTTGAACATGTAAAAACCTTGACCTCGGGGAAAGCCGTCGGGCTTTTCCCTCGCTCGCGGTTTTACATTTTCAATTAAAACCTATGAGGCGTGCTTTATCATAAACTAGTACCATTTGGTCACGTGTATGTTCAGGTAAAGATTTGCCTTTTGCTTGACTGTTTGTGAGGTGAGGTGAAATGTGGCTTAAAGTCGCGTCCAAGATTATTGCACTTATATAGCGACATGCATGCACGTGGATGGGTGGACAACAAGTACCATATTTTAACGTCTTTTGGTATGAGTGGGCGGGGATGGAACCCCGGACCTTCCCCTCTTAGGGCGGACGCTTTGTCACTAGACCACGGAGGCGGTCGACTTTGTTATTGATCGATGCCACCTTTTCGCGAAAAACTGGTATGATCACGATATGATAGTGATATATAAACTTATAACAAATCGTACAATTTTTTAAGCAGCGGTTTCTTATGATTATGGAAATGTTTTTGTCGGCTTTAAGATGATGGAGTTATACATCTGTTATGTTGAATGTGTGATTTTATCGACAATAAGTGTCACAAGCTGTCAATCTAGGTCCAAACATATCAGTTTATATGGAGCATATATCACTTACCTTAATATTCCCGAAGTATTTATGAACTTAAACTAACAGTACACCATGCCACTATTGATGATAACAATGATGATAATAATGATGATGGCTATTTTATGAGAGCTTCAGGTGGATCAGATTTTTTCAGTTTTCATTTAATTAATCAGTTAGTTAACCTCGGAAGGGTAAAAATAGTTCAGTAGAAGTATGATTTCACCAAGGTGGTGATAATCATTATCTGCATAGTTCGTTCTTGTCATCAACTATTTCGAAAATAGTCTAAGCTGTGTTTTTAAAATGGACTTTGACATACTGAAGTTCAGGCTTATTAGTAACATCTTCTGGCCAAATTTATGAACTGTCTAACTGTTACATTGTATTCTTATTTGCAGGTTAATTAGGAAACCAGGTAAGTATAGGTTCTTATACAAAGTCGAACTAACTCAATAATTTACAGACCCGTGAAGATCCGGGGTAGAGTAGGTCTTCAGCAACCCTCGCTTGCCGTAAAAGGTGACTGATCTTGTCATAAGAGGCGGCTAACGGGATCGGGTGGTCAGGCTCGCTGACTTGGTTGATGAATGTCATCGTATCCCAATTGCGTGGATCGATGCTCCTGATGTCAATCAATGGATTGTCTGGTCCAGACTCGATTATTTACATGCAGACCGCCGTCATATAGCTGGAATATTGCCGAGTGCGTCGATAAAGAAACAAAACTATGGCATCCCAAACGAGAGTATTGTACGTCAATGCATAGTTTGTAACCAGTCCTGCTTATACAACTTCGTTGTTGTTTTCAGTGTCTCCTCTGCCAAACCTGTTTGAGCGACCCCAGTCTGTCGATGACGTATTTCGTGTGAAAGGTGTAAGTACATGCTAATCCGTGTTTCACATTAAAGGATTACCGTACCCATTCCACGTGGCAGTGACGGGTGTTATTTTTACTCTTCAGTACAGAACCCGTGAAGACCCAGGGTAGAGTAGGTCTTCAGCAACCCATGCTGGCCGTAAAGGCCACTATGCTTGTCGTAAGAGGCGACTAACGGGATTGGATGGTCAGGCTCGCTGACTTGGTTGATGCATGTGATCGTATCCCAATTGCGTTGATCGATGCTCATGTTGTCAATCACTGGATTGTCTGGTCAAGACGCAAATATTTACAGACCGCCGTCTTATAGCTGGAATATTGCTGAGTGCGGCGTTTAACAACAAACAAACAAAATCTTCAGTACGGTAAATGACATAGCATATTATCGCAAATAGCCACAGCTTTGTGTTGAAATACATGTTTTCAGGAGTTTGGGTAGTTCAGTGGTTAATGCGTTCGCCCGTCACACCGACATGGTACGATTCATGGGGTTCGATTCCCGACATGGGTACAATGTGTGAATCCCATTGCTGGTGTCCCCCGCCCTTATATTTCTGGAGTATTGCTAAAGGCGGCGTAAAACCTCACTTACTCACTGAAATGTTAACTATGCTACTATAAAGAAAAGGACCCTCCGATTCTTTCATATTGCCATAGTCAATCTGTCATGACATGTACATTTCCAACACTGACGTATCAGTGACCATAACACAACAGCCTATTTCTGATGTCCCCCGCCAGGATGTTGCTGGAATATTGTCTAATCCGGCGTAAAATTAAGTTTACGGGTCGGCATTTGCTGAGCATCTTGGGCCGTAATCATTGCAATTAGGTACATATTATTTGTAAGGGAAATTTAAATGAAGGGAAAATTAAGAAGTTCAATGAATTCTGTTCTCACTAATAATCTTTCTTATGTATTTACCTGTTGTTGTTTTTTTTTGTATTTCAGGAACAATAGAGCAGCGATCGCAATGGATGGTCAATCTTCAAAATGGTGTTTTTCAACCTAAATCATACGAAAATATTACTGCCATACGGTCATCACCGATCTAATCAAACTATTGTACTGACTGACAAAACTCTCATAGCACCCTTCTTGAAGACTGAACATATTAAACGCTCCGACTTAATTACTTCAAATCACAGATCAACACGTGAGATATTTGCAGTGAAAGTATATGAAATATTACCAACTTGATTTGTAAGGGAAACACCTTCGTTCTATTTCCAATTCTAATTTGGAACCAATCGTCTATATACAACCACCAAAGAGCCATGAAATCAACAAACGTGCTCCAACCACGTGCTACCAAAGGTGCAAGGCAGCATTATATTATACACACGTATATGTAATCATACTGCAACTCTGCTCCCTATGATGAAAGACGGACGTTGTAGATGACGTTGAATTGACGTTGTATTGACGTTGTAAATGACGTTGGGTTATATAATGTATGACATGTATACTATAATGTCTAGTCTAGCTGTTTGCCAGGTTGTAAAATGTATAATGTTTAATTAAGTGGCAGCCATATTATTATTCCAAATTGTAAACGGTGACTGGGTATGTCTCCATACCAGTAAAGGGAGTGTTTATGTAAACGATCTATGTTTCCGGGTGAAAAGTTTCGGGAGGAAAGAGTAATTTACTATTCATATTGGACAATATTCCCTTGTTTGTAAGATGCTGGCCGTGGAGGTTCTATCCTTGGTAAAACATTTCCACTGGAAATTTGTACCTGGGATATAGCTTCTTTTGGAAAGAATCTCCAGGAGGAATAAATATCCTATTACATTTATCTGTATATATTTTAAAGGTTTGTTTCAATATTGACATGTATGACTATTTCGTTACAAAATAAACTACATGTATATTTATTCGAGCAATGGAATTTATTGTCTGCAATCGCAACAACAAACCCCTAACATGTATTTGCAAGGTTTGGGTCAGTAAACAAACCTGGACTACACAAACCAGGTGATAGCATGAACATCGACTAACGCCTTCACGGGCACGATGACACACTCAGCAATGTACAAGACATTTTGTTAACTCAAATAAGCATCATATAACAGTAATCTGTTCTGCCCATGTTTAGTTTGTTGCGGTCTGTAAATAATCGAGTCGAGACAATCAGTGATTGATATCATGAGCATCGATCTGCGCAATTGGGCAACGGTCTCTTGCATCAACCAAGTCAGCGAGTCTGACCACCCTATCCCGTTAGTCGCCTCTTACGACAAGCATAGTCGCCTTTCACGGCAAGCATGGTTGCTGAAGGCCTATTCTACCCCGGATCTTCACGGGTCTTTCTGCCCATGGCTTCACACAGAGAAACACTTGGTATCATCACTATTTGATACTGATTCATAAACACATACTTACACATATAGTCGAAATGGTACAATCGACTCAGCTTTCAGATTGCTTATGGAAAGGGTTTTTTGGCTTTTATTTACCGTGAAGCACGTAAAACAATAAGACATTGCCAAATCATACGGTACCTTTGAATCGCCCTGCTAAATATAATTATCCTTCTTAATTGTTGAATATCAAGAAAAGTGATTCCTTTCCAAGATATTTTCTTGTCTGTTTGAGCAAAAGTAAAAACTGGGACCAAGTGGTGAACAGTATGTTACAGACAGATGGACACCAACCCGGAGGTATTTGTGGCCAAATGGCTGTCTTTTATACGTCGTGAGTGTATCAACTTTCAGTATCAGATCTAGACTGCCTCCGTGGTTTAGTTGATAGAGCGTCTGCCCGAAGAGCTGAATATCGGTGGTTTCATGCCTGCAGCGTCATTCCAAAATACGTTACAAGATGGATCTTTGTGTTACCTTGCCTGGCGCTCGGCATTAAAGGGATAACAAGGAGGGGTCGGCTCCGAGTCTGTGGGGTATTCATGTTAAACTACGGCATGGTATTTCAGTGAGCTTGCACTATAAAACCCGCGTAAGTCCGGATTAGTACAATCTAAAACGCACGCAAGCACGCAAGCACGCAAGCACGCACGCACGCATTATACGTACATGTCACAGGTGCAATAATCTTGAACGCGACGTTAAACTCCATTTCACCTCATCTCTTAATATCGATAAATATATATACATAACAAGAGCCCTTTATTATAATTAATTGATACATAACAAGAGCCCTTTATTATAATTAATTGATACATAACAAGAGCCCTTTATTATAATTAATTGATACATAACAAGAGCCCTTTATTATAATTAATTGATACATAACAAGAGCCCTTTATTATAATTAATTGATAAATAACAACAGACCTTTATTACAATTAATTGATACATAACAACAGCCCTTTACTATAATTAATTGATACATAACAACAGCCCTTTATTATAATTAATTGATACATAACAACAGCCCTTTATTATAATTAATTGATACATAACAACAGCCCTTTATTATAATTAATTGATACATAACAACAGCCCTTTACTATAATTAATTGGTGAGTAGCACAGCGGTTAAAGCATTCGCTCGTCATTTACGAATTCGTCGGTACGAAGTGTGTGTTTCCCCCGCCGTCCTATCTCTGGCATATTGCTTGAAAGTTTGTAAACCCATACCTTCTAACTCACCTTCAGACATGTAATATGTAAAGCTGTTCATGCTCAACGCCGGGAAAGGTTTAACGGATTAACTGATGAGCAAAAGAAACTATACCTCGCAGTTGATTTTATCATATGTTTGAGTTTCAATTGAAAACATCTAGTTAGCGATATTACATCCAAAATATGAACTTTACTGGCGCATAGGCAGACTCAAAGAATAGCCATCCAATGGTTGTATGTTTATTAAGTAAAAAATGTTATGGATGAGCAACTTCTTTATTACAATTGGGCGACGTTTCGGTGTATATTTTAACACCGTTATCAAGCAAATGATGTTGAAACTAGGTTACTTACTTACTTATATTGGAGATTTTACGTGCGCTTTCCGACTGAAGCGTATTTCGCACACTAGGTATGAAGGTGAGGTGAAATTGGGTTTAACGTCGCGTCCAAGATTATTGCACTTATATAGCGACGTGCATGCACGTGTATGTGTGTGTGTGGCTGCTTGTACTAGTCCGGACTGATGCCGATTTATAGTGCTAGCTCACTGAGATACCATGCCGCAGTTTAACATGAATACCCCACTCAGACACAGTATACTGACTCCGAGCCGACCAGTCCTTGTTTTAGCCCCTTAATGCCGAGCGCCAGACAGGGTAACAACAAGTACAATCTTTTAACGTCTTTTTGTATGACGCGGCCCGGGATCGAACCCTGGACCTTCCGCTCTCCGGGCGGACGCTCTACCACAAGACCACGGAGGCGGTCCTAGGTATGAGCATGATATATATATATATAACAATAGATAGATATTTATATAACAGATAAGGTTGAAGTACACTGATTGATTAGGTAGTTATGATAAGACAAGTTTATACAAGAGATAGGGTTGATGTACAGAAATTGATTGGTATGGGATTGACACAAGGATTACTAAGAAGGATTGTATGGGAAGCCAGTGGGGAGATAATAGTTCAGTGTTGTGTTGGCAAACTGATGAGATCATGGTAAGCTGGAGGGATGTAGTATCCTTGATCTCTGTTTATGGCTGGCTGAATCTTTTGATGCAAATGGCTTCTCTAAATTTTCTGAGCTTGAAGTTCTTTCATTTACATATAAACAAATTCGGTATACTTTCGTTTGCCCCTCAGTTTAAATGGAACAGTAAGTAAATCAAGCCTATATCTACATTCCCAAAAACAAGTTTACAAATGCATCAACAATTCGTAAAATACTCCCGAAAACCCAATCACAACAGTGCTTGTCACGCGTGCGTAAATATGGGATACACAACGAGTTATCTTTTACTTTTTCCCAAAATCTAAAGGTTTTGGTAGTACATTTTACATCCGTTCAGGCTTTTTTCTCGTCATAAGGAAAACCCGTGCGCGGTATCACACATTAGGTCAACGCATTGATCCCGAAATGAACCATACTTTTCCTTATACTCCGATAACTGTCACGACAAATGACATATATATCTATATCAACACAACGTGTATTGTATGAGTGTTGAAATCTGTTCCACTTAGTTGGACGCTACAGAGCTTCCTACTATCGGGTGCCGATAACGCACAACGTTAATATTTATTTTAACTTTAACTGAATCCGATTATTTGTAAATATAAAAATTGAGGAAGCAGTTTGAGTTGGGAAATGGAGGATGTATCAGTGTTGTGATCTGTATTCGAAAACATACAAGGAAGTGACGCTTTTTGTAAAAAATATCCGCGTAAAGTATGGTTATTTGCCTTTACTTTGTTACTGTCTTTTGTTTCGGGTAAATACGCGGATCACCACCGCATTGTGTAACTCATACTGTTAGAATGACGAGCCCTCTGTCTCTGAATAAAGGAAATGACTGCTCGAGTGGGAGAGGGTTTCGTTTTACTCCTGATTATCAAGGGAGGTTAGTCTAACATGCTAATGTACATAATACTTGTTTACAAAGCCATAAATTTGTAGTTAATTCCTTTGGTTCAGTAAATCTACTTGTCTTTATCATTCGCAAACGTTATGTGATATATTGGACGCATTGGACCTTCTTGTTTGGTCATAGTCGCCCTAACGCTATACATGTACAACATCCGTGCTTAAACTGACACGACACATATTTATCGTGGATTATCAAGGCGGAAATGATAATGGGAACTAGATAAGATCAAATAACATTTGTAATACTCTAAAACCACGAATGTCCACACGGACGGGGGTGAATGCGACTGAAGCAAGAGACACGTATCAGCGAATATAATCCAGAAAGAATTCGGTCATAATCTGATCTAAGGTCATCAGAATGGAGTTGCCAGTCACGGACCTGGAATTCGAACCCACACATATGATACCAATGGAGTTCTTACCCACAGGTGTATATGAAAACTACATTACCTATTTCATTGTAAATGTGTTATGTCTCCGCAAACATCCAGTACAGACATAATAAAATCGAGTCAGATATATCCATATGCCTATGTACATATCTACTTCCAGATCCAAGGCGTATGCTAATGTCACCACTTGAGACATTGAGGATGTCATCATTGTTTCCACTGAAGCATGTTATGTGACATTGTTTCTGAAATTCTTCATGGATGAAAAAACAAGTCATACGAATCCTCTGTGAAAATAAATATTTTATGGCACTATGCATCCGAAATATGGACAAATACATCTCGAAATTAAATCCAACGCTGAGTGTTCCTTTCGTTAGAAACAACAAATTACACCTTATCTAATTAAAATCGTTTCTTCAGTATAAGGGTGTTAGTACGTCGTGCATAAACTTTAAACGTATTTGGTGTTCCACCCATAAAGATAAAAGTGATAGCATTGCATATTATCGTAACTGCTTTCGGGCGTCAAGCGCGACCCTACTACAGTTACTAAATGTATTGCCGTTCCTGGGCATCATGGTCAATTACGCCATGACATTGCCACTCGCCTTGTCCGCATCGGCTCGGCTCCGTCAAGGAGTGATTGGTCTAACGACGCTAACTCCAAGTTGTCTCTATCAGCAGTCATACTCGCATAATAAAGAAACGCAACACCAGCTTTATATTCACATAGTTGTACTCACTCCCAGCCCATCTATCAATACAGGACATGATCAGACCGACCAAACTCGTCACTAAATGGGGAAAACGATCGGGATTCGACTAGATCGATTGCAAACCGCGCTCTCCTCTCCTAATGTTAAAGTATCATTTATAGTGTTCGGGCCTGGCCTGCCTTTGTCACATGTCACAATACCTCATTTTGATTCGTTAAAAGTTCGATCTGACCATGAACTCATGTGTGTCGTAATCGGAAAAATACAGGAGCCTACGTGCCAGATTGCTCATCTCTCTATTGAATTTGTGACTCGCCCTGGATGCCCCAATGAAATATATCTTGAAATTCTCTGCTTAACTAATGGACGATAACCTGGAACCAATCCAATGATAAATATGAAATGTCAAGAATACACTTGTGATAAATGGAAACGTCTTTTATCTATTGATTCCTTTCGAACTAAAAGTTCTCTGTCACACACTATATATAATGCCACTCCTCACTGCAGCTATAATGGTTTTATTTGTAACCATTTTCTATTGTTTTTGGAGACGTATTTTAAGCTTATAACAATATATATTTATCTATACAATATGTATATCAAAACAGTGCCAGTCGCGATCATGCTTCAGCGTCTGTAAGTGGGACACCTTCACCATCACTTGATCTCCAGCATCTAACTGAGCCAGTCCACCAGCATCACTCGGGTACTCCAGGTGAGCTCCGTCGTTGATACCCTCTTTACACTCAGTCACGGCATTCTCAAACAACACGACCTGTGTCTGGCTGGAAGCGCTATAGCGGACAACCTGGTGCTGGAATGTTTGGAGTGGCTTGTCGTCCTTCCTGTTGTCCTCGACGTTGAACTTGACGTGACTTGTGATGTGGTACACTCCTGCTGCTGGTACTGTGATGGAGCCGTTCTCGTAACTCATCCCGTTGTACAGGAGTTTTCTGTCTGACCCATCAGGATTGGCCCAATTCCTTAATGATCCCAACTGAGCCCCATGTCCTGAATTAATCAAAATGTTTTTTTGTAGAGTACTCGCATGTGCTTCCCCTTGAGATGCGTTGTTTATGAGATTATACATACGTATAATCGAGTGTCCTCGAAACATAACAAACGGTGCATTACAAAATTTCAGTGGTTATATCAATTGTATAGCAGAAGATAGCATACCCTTAGTCACTATATCAAAGTCAAGACCAGAGAAATGTGCCACTGGTTTCAGCAGGTTGAGAAACTGCAGATCTGGATGGACGTCCCCATTATCCTCATCTGAAGGTTGATGGAAGATGTACGTTATTAAAGCATTGTAATTGGCGAATGATACCAAATGATGATCTATTAAAGACATACTCATATTTATTTCCTCATACATTTTACGCTCAAATCTATGCAACGCTCAAATATAGAACGTATGAGCAGTAAAGGATGGTACATCATTACATCGGGTTTTATAACAGTGAAACTATAAGCTTTAATCACACTTAGGGAAGACATTAGTTTCGACAGATTTTGAAAGTAAGTGTTCCTGCTTAATAAAGTTACATGCCACGCCTTGTCCGTTTCACTATTGCTTTGAAAAATTGGAAATTCATTGATGACATGATCAATGTTTCAGAAAGAAGGACCGTGCGTGGTTGGCATTGGCCCTTTCTAAAATATTTATGATAAATTTGTGATACTCTATTAAAGTTAAATTCTTGGAGGAATATATATCGAATTTGTCAAAGGGCGTGAACTAGACATCAGATGTTGATATTTCCAGGCAATATTGTTAAGTTTGTATTCACCATGCTCCGTGTGTGTGGTCGAAACATCATTCATCAACATGCTTTCGTAGACCTAGACAACAACAGACATAAGCAAAATATCTGTCACTGATGAATATATATCGTGCAATAGGGCATTCAAGTTAACAATTTTATCTTGGGTGTACCGTTGTGATCGTGATGTTGTGAAAGTAGGCAGTGAAGTGAATGAAGACTGTCAAACCCATTTCACCTCATCTTATTGATTCGTGGATGGATATGGATAAATATCCTTATTTAATTATTATTATTAGTAGTAGTAGTAGTAGTAGTTGCAGCAGCAGCAGCAGCAGTAGTAGTAGTAGTAGTAGTAGTAGTAGTAGTAGTAGTAGTAGTAGTAGAAGTAGTAGTTACCTTATCCAATAATGACTTCCATTCTGATCCTGGGAGATTCTGGCTCTCAAGGTTTGATGACAAAGTTCGGTGTATGACGAGTGCTGCAACTACTACGACAGTGAGTATGTTCAGGATGAACAAAAGAAGACAGGTCCATTTTGTGGCTCTTTTGTTCCTCTCACTGGTGCACTTACAATGACAATCCACTAAAAAAAAGCAACAACACCCTTATAATAATCATAAGAACTCTGGTAAAAGTAACCCAAAATGTTTGTATGAAGCATGACTATGAAGAATTAAATACATTACATCGAAATACTTGGAAAGCACGTTCAACACGTGTCAAGTTTACAATACAATAATACCGGGATTAGGATCCATAACTTAATCAGTAAAATGGGGATCTGGCCAAACAGCGCGGATCTATTTCTCAGGACACCGTGATACTGGAATAGTGCTTGCGGCGTAAAAAAACAAATGAGTGAACAGATATAGCACATTGTATCAATATCATACTCTCACTTGGTTAAACACTATATATGGGGCACAGCTAAGACGACGCAGTTGAGCCAGAATCCAATAATCGTTGACTCGCCTCCCAGAATCTTTACTTGTCATCACAATACCCGTGATCATGTGTTTCACCAAAGCAGTAAATGTCAAGAACCTACAACACGCAAGGGTTTTCTCTCAAATAAGGATGAATTGCCTTGTAATATACTCACTCACCTACAAGTAGCACTTGAAACACGTTGAAACAATATGAATGAAAATCCATAATTCTTACTTCTCAGGTTTCCTGTACTTTTCTTTGACAGATTCGCAAGCATGAGTGGATAAATATGTGAAGAATACAACATACCTATTTATAAATCTGACATGTCTCTATTTCTATTATTATTATTATTGTTATTCATATGGTATTATCAAATTGCTCTATGTGTGATACTGACACCATTGATAAGCGACGTAAATATCAACCACATGCGAGCTTGGCTAAATGTTAGCGAAGAACACTATAATGTACAGAACCAAACAAATGTTAGCACGGTTAACAATCACCCATCTCACAAGGCCTGACTACCCGATCCTCATATATTTACGGTTAAGGTAAAGCGGAAGGTAAAGAGATTTGACAGTATAAAAAAAGGTTTTCATGTAAATTGTGTTCATTAAAATAATTTAAGCCTGTACTAATACTGTTTTCTTTGTATTGATTATATGTACCCTCTTTGAAATCATGCGTGGTGCAGTAAAGGGAGGTAGCACTGCCATTGGTGCCACTGTTGGTGCCACTGTTGGTACGCTCAGCTATGCACTTTTCCTGACACTGGCGTGACATCGGAAATCTTGGACCTTTGTTCCAACACCGATGAAGATTTCAATCTTCGTCAAGACCGCTTTCGAATGAATAAGTCCCAAGTGCGTGTCAGTGGTTGGTTGGTTGGTTTGTTGTTTAACGCCCCACTCAGCAATATTCCAGCTATATGACGGCGGTCTGTAAATAATCGAGTCTGGACCAAACAATCCAGTGATTGACATCATGAGCATCGATCCACGCAATAGACACAATTTATTGATAATGTAGACATCCGTCAACTTCTAAGTAATGCGTATCAAACAATTCATCCGTATCAATCGCAACGTCCAAACTTATCGTATCAAAGTCCAAACTGCGTATCAATCACTCTTAGATAATTTTGTGCAAATGGAATGATCTATGGTAATTGTACCGTTTATTGAAACAAAGATTTCTCTGTTGTGAAACGGGTGGAGACGTCCACGAATTCAATTTCTGTATAAATCAAACTATAAATAGGTAATAGGAACGGTCAAATCATCTATTATCAAGATCTTTAAGTGATGATATTATTAATGGTTATTTATGTGTGATTTGCGTGTGTTTACGCGTGTTGCGTTCATGTGCGCCTATGAGCACTTTTCTGCACGTGTTTTCATAGAGCACGTGACTGTATATTACATAAACTAATTCTTTTAGTCACATGTGTAAAAGTCCCATGAAGATCCGGGTTGGAATAGGCCTTTAGCAACCCATTCTTGTCTTTAGTTGACAAATGAAAGAATTCTATATCGTGGTTGTTAAATTGTGCACTATTTCAATGAGTCTGAAAGCAGTATGTGTAACAGGTGTTTCATCAAAGCGATATATGGTCTACTCCAAGGTAGAGGTGCCAATAGGCAGACAGTGGAGGAGGTAAAAATAAGGTCAACAAAACTGTAGATACAACTCCAGCACAGCTTTGGTATTCAGTTGTTTAAACGTGGAGAATTCGGTAGCATGCCATACGAAATGCACTATGAGTGATTATGCTTTGAAAGAGATGAAAGGATTTCAATGACATGTAAATTATCTGTTTTCTTACATCTACTGTAAAACCAAATCAGTCCGATAAATGGGTAACAGTTCGGGTAACTGTGCAATCAACTATTCCTTTTGCTCTTTCATATAATTTATGGCAACTGACACATCTGACTACAGGAAATGACCCGATATATATTGATGCTCTTTAGCTAAAAGATAGGACTACCAACAAATATGTCGATCTGAATCTCTTGACAAGTGATAAGTACTTAATTATCCTTAAATAATTTAACGTTACAAACGCATAAATATAATACTTCAATTCAAGAGAATAACCCGTCTTCATTTTCCGTTGAAACAGATGACATTAGCGTAAAGGGCAAATTAGCTGTGAAAGTTATATGAATGGACCATTGAATATCAGTGATAGCACCAGGTGGTCGCGAAGAGGATACGCATGTTTTGCCGTAGCGGTCGCACCCACCATTCACACAATTTACATGAAAAAGTATGCATTGCCTGTCACCGCACAGCTGCACTCCTGCCGTGCGATGGTGGCCTTTAGACAGATTCAGGGACGTCAAATAAACGCGATCACATTATATCTTCTTTATGATAACCCAGGGTATTCTCAAACAATACAGACTGTGTCTGGTTAGAGACGCTAAAATGGACAAAATAATGTTATGATAATGAAAGCAATTTAAAATAAATAACTATAATATACTACCACATAATCCAGTTCAATGATTACTAACTGCTACTGATTCAGTATGCGAAATGGTCTATCAACATTTCTGAAGATGAAAGTGATAAAACCTTTTCCATGGTCATCTAAAAGCAGAGTTAATTGCACATAAGCATGTGTTAATGAAGTTCTGTCTAATTGTGGTGATTTCAGCTGTTCGCAAAAAGGTCAGCGTATCCGGTGGCACCCGGAATAAACACACGCAAAGGCAAGACGATTTTCACTTGACAAATGGCACGGGAACATATAGTTCTAGTCAATATAGCTGATTTCATCAGACGTCATATGTGTCAATTTTGGAATGACCACATGTCTATAATAAAACGTTTTGAAGGCTTTACTGGGCATTGAAGTTGTAACCCCGATCAAACAACTTTTGACTCTTTACAATCTTCACAGAAGGAGCATACTTCATTGCACCTCTCAATTGACAACAAAGGCTATAGCTGGAATAGTTTTGGTTTGGTTTGTTGTTTACGCCGCACTCAGCAATATTCCAGCTATATGACGGCGGTCTCTAAATAATAGAGTCTGGACCAGACAATCTAGTGATTGACATCATGACCATCGATCCACGCAATTGGGATACGATGACATGCATCAACCAAGTCAGCGAGCCTGACCACCCGATCCCGTTAGTCGCCTTTTACGACAAGCAAAGTCGCCTTTTACGGCAAGCATAGGTTGCTGAAGACCTATTCTACCCCGGAATCTTCACGGGTCAATATAGCTTGAATACTGCTCATATAAAGAGAACGTGGACTAGTGGCTATAGTTGATTGAAACATACTCACAGCTACATGTACATGTGTCATCTTTGAAGTTCGCCCGTGTACAATTCAAACTCGACAAATGAAACAGACAAGAAGAGTCTCTCGACACAAAATGCAAACACATGGGTCTTTTTCTGTTGTGCAGTATGAATACAACCTTCCTGATTACCCAATGAGGAAATGAATTCACGATGAGGAAATTCCCGACATGCGTGACGAGCGAACGCTCCAACCACTAGGCTACCCGCCCGCCCCAAAGTCCCTACAGTTCCTTATAGGGGCGGCGTTACACATTTGGGATACCGCAAAAACAAATTCAATTTGTTTTATTTAGCTCGGACAATATGGCGACAGTAAGTATACCAACGGTGACAAATAACTGGGCTGCATATAAAGTGGTGTAAATGTTATGTTATTGAAAATAACAACATAATATTTTCATCATTCGCCTGAGGTCGCATTGAAGATACCAGATGACTGAAAACAGCCCGTGTTATGTTGTTCCAAATATCAACTAAAGATCGGTCCAACTGAGCTAGCGTTACAGGCCGGTTCTGATCCTGTCGTAGGCGTCGGGCTGACTCATCCCAGACATGTTCGTCGTAAGTTTTTAAAGAATAGACAAATGAATATGTATAATGATACAGACCCTTGAAAACATTTATAGGGCAGTTCATAAATTGGGGATGGGCACATGTGGCATTCAAACAACACATGAAACCTACACCACCACCCACATACGCATCTATTTCATTTATAAATGTATTCACAAACATACCAGAACCTACCATCAAACGTGGACATTTGAACTCATAAGGGGATTTGAGCCCCGGGAGTCATTTGGGCCTTCGAGGGCTGAGTGCTCTGAGCCTAGGCTCAAAACACTCAAGAATTATCTCTGCCTAGGCCCACGTCACTCCAGTGTGACTTGAGCCGGGAATTGAGTTGGGCCTCCCACACCGGCAATCCTAGTAAGCTCCTCAGTGCACATTGCTGTCGCCTTCGGGGACCGCTATTTGGTTACATTAAAACAACTGCGCCCGTGTTCACAAACACAAGTGTGGTTATTTATCTCACGAGTAACTCACTACCGGTTTAATTATTAAGCATGTAGTAAGATAATTGAATTGATCAGTTAACAGGTACTTTGTCCAAAGTCTAGTTGGGAATGTGCATTCACCGAAGTGAAACGTATGGATCGGGAATAATGTTACACTAAGTTATGTATTTTGATTATTGATTTTCACACATCAAACAAAAATATCTTTCATTAGGGTTTGATGTATTAATATTTCCTTAAGGGGGAGTTTTATGATCGATTTCTTTTATACTTAGTTGAAAGCTTACTTGCAAGATGAAAATAGTTTCTGTTGGTCAATGTACTGAGTGAGTGAGTATGGTTTGCGCCGCTTTTAGCAATATTCCAGCAATATCACTGCGGGGGGACACCAGAAATGGGCTTCACACAGTGTACCCATGTCGGGAGTGGAACCCGGATTCTGTTGTAATTTACACAACGCAACCCGTATCAAAACTAGGACAGTTGTTGTCTGTCTCAGCGCAGACAACATCAGGTTTCACCACAACTCTGAAACGTTAGTAATAAAGCAGAAATGACACCCACTGATATTTGATATTTGCAATCCACATTGTATAAATACTAGGGGACAGGAACAACCTCTGTTTGAAACTTAATAGTACGAGTTGTGACACAGTGCGGTTTTAGATATCACAACACATACTATCTCATGTAATGCATATGAACGTGCGCGTTTGTGCGTGCGTGCGCGTGTGTGTGTAAAAGTGAAAACTATGTAATCCTAACCACATGAATGTCACTGCTTATTGACTTCTATAACAGTGCAAGCCCTTTCGGTCATTGTGCAGAATGCATTCGGAGAACGTCCGTGTAAATATAATTCATACAGAAGAATAAAAACATGAAAGTGGCTTCTACTGCATTAACATGGGGGGGGGGGGCACGGGTTACCCAGTCGTCTAAGGCGCCGTGATTCGCTGTGCAGAGTTGCGTCCCTTGGGCACGTCAGAAACCTATGACTGTGTTCTGTGAGTCCCGGTTCGCCCCGATTATGTTTCTAGGTTTGTCAGCACCATACCCGTGCTCGTGGGTTTCACCGAAGTGGTAAACGTCTGAGACCTGCATCACTTCGGGCTTTCCTCCCACATTAAGCTGACACACCGTGAGATAACTGGAATACTGTTAAAAGCGGCGCCACACCCATCTCACTCACTCACACTCACACTCACACTCACTCTTCGTCAGTGGAGTAGTTGTGGTTAAAGCATTCGTTCATTGTGAAAAAATTAACACACATCACCCATATCCTATCATTTAATAGGTAAATTTCATAATTCGTACGATTTTCCTCGGAACGGAAGAAACGCCCATTTACTTAAACATTGAACTACAACCGACGCGCCAGTCATAGTATATGGAGTATATGTTTACCTTTCTTGTTCCGGAGATAAACTGTCAGAGATGAAAATAGGCTTTGAATTACGAGGATGACGTGGTGAAATACACTTCAGTATCAGGAGTCCGTGTGACAACGATATCAGTGGAATTGTCTCTACGTTATTGTAACTCTCCATTCCTTAAAATATTGGAGCCGAGGCCCCATAGGGGCGTCTACTGAATCGGACGCCTGGGGTCTCCCATGCAGTATGTACTTTCTGAGCGAGTGGTGAGTGGTGAGACATTAGGATTCTTTTGCAGGACACTATCTCTCAAGTTTCACAAATGAAGGATTGGAAGTAATATATACGTAACCTACGAGTGTAGGGAAAGTGTAAAGTGAATATTTAGAGAATGTATTGATCTTGAATATAAATAGTAAAGCTGTCACTGTTTAGAGTGGTGTGTAATCTCTATAATTCACTGCTAGGTTAGATGACGTATGTAGCACCACAAGGAAACTGAATATCTGGTTTATAATACACCTTCCCTGTATTGCATGTGTAAGGTTACAGCAAGGTATTTCCTGCGCTGACTATGCTGATGTTCAGATAAGCATAATGAATTTATTCAAACCTGGTTTGAGTCATGTCTACGGTAAATATGAAGGCAGTACATTAATAATATGATTTTTTAAATATTAAAATGCCGAACGTATACTGAAAAGGTTTCAAACATGGCTGTGATATTTTTGTGAATTTATAATTTCTATTGAAACACTGTTATCATAATATGGTAAAAATAAAAGATTATGTTTATCATTTATTTCTGATATCTTATTATTTGATTAAGGTTTATATTTTATCAGTTTGGAAAAAGAACTTCTGTTGAGGTTCTAAAACAAAATATAAATGAACGTTATTCCGGATCGCATAAACATGCAGATCACTCACAATGACAGGTTCAACCTTTAGTCACAGTCATGTAGTACTTTTTCAGAAAAGCGTGTCTGATTTGGTTGAAATCGGGCGATATGTTCCTACAAATTTGCTGATTGATCGTTACAATATTTCAAATGATCGTGTTATTACATGGTATACCTCTTTAAACAATCTGTGAACAGAAGAGCATTTGATATTATCTTTGTCCATATATGCAGCATAATATACAGGTAGTTGTGTGAACAGGTGTGAACAGGTAGTTGAAGGTAGGGAGCAAATTGTTAAACAAAATAGTTTGATGGTCACGGGAGGCCAATAAGTGGGCCACATTCTGATTGTAAACTTGTAAAACAATTACATCTGATAAAGTAGATGAGAGTGTCAATAAATAACACCCGAACATATCAATCTGGTTAGACGAAGACAGCGTAAGTGTACTTAAATAAGTGTACTACAATACAATGTGTACAAATAACATACTTCAACATAAAATACGCCCGTGTCAGACAGATGTAGTTTGAGACATACAATAAATGACAAATATTGCAGTAAAACAGATTTATAACAGACAGATACATATCTTATATTAATGTCATACATATGTATAAAATACTATGATATCCAGTGTCTTTTGTCTCTAATCTATAACTACCCTATACTTCTTCAGAATCACAGCTTTGTTTTAAGTCTTTTTCAGACTCCCTGATCAGAATGACACTCTCGAAAATTGTCGTACCCCCAAATTAATCTCATGTGCGAAAACGTATATTTACTGACAGAACAATAGAAATGATAACGTCACTTGCAATACGACCAATTGAGCAAATGAGGGTATTTATGGATAATATACGATACATGAAACATGCGCACCAAAATACGGCTTATGATATCAAACTAACTAAATATAGGTGCGTGTATTATAAATCCATGTTTGTTAAATTAAGATGGTGTCATCGTGACCTGCACGGTCAATATTTTCCTTTCTTCTTCACGCAACTGCTACGTGTTTCCATCTCAGGCAAGCGCCTCAAGCTGCAGCACTCATGAGCTTGATATTGCTCTTATTTACTAAAGGGGGCGGTCGGGTAGCCCAGTGGTTAAAGCGTTCGCTCGTCACGCCGAAGACCCGGGTTCGATTCCCGACATGGGTACAATGTGTGAAGCCCATTTCTGGTGTCCCCCGGCGTGATATTGCTGGAATATTGCTAAAAGCGGCGTAAAACCATACTCACTCACTCACACTATTTACTAAAGAATGTATTCCACATTCCAGCTGCCACACTATTAAAGCTGGCTTTACACTCAATAGTGCAATACTGCATATCTGATGGTGGTGGCACTCAAACTTCTCTTTATACAATATGTATATCAACATAGTGCCAGTCGCGATCATGCTTCAGCGTCTGTAAGTGGGACACCTTCACCATCACCTGGTCTCCAGCATCTAACTGAGCCAGTCCACCAGCATCACTCGGGTACTCCAGGTGAGCTCCGTCGTTGATGCCCTCTTTACACTCAGTCACGGCATGCTCAAACAACACGACCTGTGTCTGGCTGGAGGCGCTATAGCGGACAACCTGGTGCTGGAATGTTTGGAGTGGCTTGTCATCCTTCCTGTTGTCCTCGACGTAGAACTTGACATGACTTGTGATGTGGTACTCTCCTGCTGCTGGTACTGGGATGGAGCCGTTTTCGTAACTCATTCCATTGTACAGGAGCTTTCTGTCCGAACCATCAGGGTTGGCCCAATTCCTTAATGTTTTCAACTGAGTCCCATTTCCTGAATTAATCAAATTCGCGTTCGTAAGACAAAACGGCTTTTTGTATAATGACAGCTTGTGTTTACCTGTGAGATGCGTTGTTTATGAGATTATACATACGTATAATCGAGTGCCATTGAAACATTACAAACAGGACATTGCAACATTTCAGTGGTTATATCAATTGTATAGCAGAAGATAGCATACCCGTAGTCACTATATCAAAGTCAAGACCAGAGAAATGTGCCACTGGTTTCAGCAGGTTGAGAAACTGCAGATCTGGATGGACGTCCCCAATACCCTCATTATCTGAAGGTTGATGGAAAATGATATTAAAAGATTTGTAGCTCTCTAATTACACCCAATGATGATCCATTGCATAAGTATGGTTAATAACATGTATATGCAAGGGTGGAACATGGAAAGTGTGAGCAGATACAGATGGTAAATGAGTACATTAGGTTTCATAACAGTGAAAATATACACTATAATCCGAAAATAAACAAATTCTAGGCTACATTCCATTCCTAGTCCGTTTTATTATTGCTTTCAAAGACAGGTGAATATTCCGGGATAGAATAGGTCTTCAGCAACCCATGCTGGCCGTAAAAGGTGACTATGCTTGTCGTAAAAGGCGACTAACGGGATCGGGTGGTCAGGCTCGCTGACTTAGTTGATGCATGTCATCGATCCCAATTGCGTGGATCGATGCTCATGCTATTAATCACTGGATTGTCTGGTCCAGACTCGATTATTTAGAGACCGCCGTCATATAGCTGGAATATTGCTGAGTGCGGCGTTAAATAACCAACCAACCAACCAACCAACCAACCAACCAACCAACCAAGCTTCCAAAAACTCGAAATAGTTGATGACACGATGCATGTTTAAGAAAGAAGAACCGAACATGATTAGTGTTAGGATCTTTCTGAAATAAATTAAATAAACATATCTTGTGATACTCTGTTAAAATTAAATACTCGTTGGAATAAACATCGAATTCGACAACAGGCGTGAACTAGGCATTCCACAGTGATATTTCCACGTAGTATTGTAAACTTTGGTTAAATGATGCATAAACTCACCATGCTGCTCGTGTGTGGCCGAAACATCATTCATCAACAAGCTTTCGTAGACCTAGAAAACAAAATTTGGTTAGTGTTAGGATCTTTTTGAAGGGACGTTTGTGTAATGCCAACAATGTTATCTTGGGATGTGTGGTTGTCATCGTGGTTGTCGGACGAAGACTGTCAAACCCATTTCACCTCACCTTATTTATTCGTGGGTAAACTGACTGATCCTGCCCCTTCTACCTTGCTACGTTTCAGATGAAGAATGTTGCATTTGTCGAGTACAAAGGACATGCCAACATCATTAGAAAAGGATTCGACAAGGTGGAGTGGAGTCTCCTTTGGCAATAAGTTAAAGGTCAGCCATGTAAAGAAGCCAAGTAAAGGGTGTGGGGGGATCTGTGCTCATGAGGTCCAAAATGGTAACCTTCCTCTTTGCTATAAATATTATTATCATTATTTACAGATTAAAATAAAAAATGCAGAAAAAAAGGTTTGGGTGATCCTGGCACAGTCAGGCTGTTTAGGCTCATCATCACCTCAGGGCCCTTGCTCCCTCTACACGCAGCCCAGACAGCGAATGGGACTTCTCCCAGGAAGCGCTGCCTAGTCAAACCCTCCCAGAACTTTTGGAAGAATGTGAAGACTCCCCAACACTGCAGCCTTCTGCATTACCCAGATTGTCAGAAGGGCTGTATTTCTGGTAGCAAACCCGGGTACTCTCCCAATGTCAGTCAACAGATTGGGAGGTACCAAACCTGAGACATCGAGAACAATGGGAGTCCGACAACTTGGTATTTGGGATGCAAGCGTGACATTTCGAACGCGAGGTCCGCATATTTGCCATTTTTTCCTTAATCTTGTCAATCACATTAGTGTCAAAAGGGACAGAAAGTTCAATGATATAAATATAAAAAAGGACAAGATCAAGTTCGTTGGCCTGGATACGCCTGAGGCTGTCTACGGGCCTTTTCCAAAGAATTTTGTATTCATCATTTTTCATGACGTCCTCTACATATTCCGGGTCGTACCATGGATGGACTTCTGTGTCAAAACCACAAGCATGGCGAGGGCGGTAATAAAATGATCGAGCCATTCCATCATGTCGCTTTAGATACTGTGTTTGTGCCAAAGCGGGGCATCCACTGACAATGTATTGTCAGTATTATTATTACCTCTTTCAATAATGACTTCCATTCTGGTCCTGTCAGGTTCTGACTCGCACAGTTTGATGACAAAGTTGACTGTGTGACGAATACTGCAACCACTACGCCACTGATAATGTTGAGGATAACCATAATTGAAAGAAGGCAGGTCCCTTTTGTAGCACTTTTGTTCCTCTCACTTGTGCACTCACAATGGCAATCCACTTAAAAATAAAAGCGACAAACCCATTTCAAAAATCATAAGTACTCATTGCTAAAAGCGTTTACCCATAATGCTTGTATGAAGCATGACTACAAAGGATTAATACAGTCTGGACGTTTGGCGACATGAAATTACTGCGACAGGAACGTTTTGCACGGAAGATGCTTTACACCTCTCTTTTGAGTGTTATTACTTACAAACTGTGCTATGCGGAAATTCGCATTTGAGTAAGGAAGAGCAAATCCAAACATTAGATTCTATTCAAAACTTCATATTAAAAACTGTCAGATTTTCAATTAAGTAAATGAATTGTTTAATAAACTGACGCCCAAAAGAAACTTTACCAGAGTTTTAAATCACTCTTGCTCAAAAACAACAAAACATACTTGCATGAAGTAAAGTGTATTGAGAAGATCAATATGTCAACATAATCAACACTGAAAATCCCCCCCCACCCCCTCGAGCTTTCAGAATCATAGACAATAGGTAGAGTACAAAAACAATCCTCCAATAACAAGTCATTAGTAGCGTGTGTGACCACCAAGTACCTCAATACACGCAAAAACTCTTCGACGCACAGAAAAAGTCAGTCGTCTGATGAAGTCACGTTGGATTTGACGCCATTCTTCTTGGAGGGCCAAGATCGAACACGACGATCCATCAAGTTCCAGAGGTGTACTATGGGGGACATGTCGGTTGAGCGTGCAGGCCACGGCCGGATGTTGACGTTGTTGGCTGCGAGTTAGTTAGTGACAATTCTGGCTGTATGGGCTCTAGCGTTGTCATGCTGATAAATGACACCACGTGGCTGCTGTTGGAGAAATGGTAGGACAACTGGACGAAGAATGCTATCCATGTAACGCTGAGCTGTCAAGTTTCCGTCAACGATGACCAGCGGTGTCCTCTCCTGCCCACATATCCCTCCCCACACCATGACACTCCCTCCACCATATGGTACGACCTCCTGCACGCAACACGCCGCCGTTCGTTCACCCCTTCGGCGGTAAACACGTTGTCTTCCATCAGCCCTAAACATACAGAATCGACTTTCGTCAGTGAAGACAACCCTCGGCCAGTCACGTCGTTGCCAACGTCGTACAGTCCGGACCCATCTCAATCGCAGACGACGATGTTGCGCTGTCAATAGCTGTCCTCTATATGGTCTGAAAGCCCTGATTCCATGAGCCCTGAGTCTCCTGGCCACTGTCTGTCTACTAACCCTGTGACCTAAGGCATTTGTCGCCGATGACGTTACTGTCATTAAGCGATTTCGGAGGTGCAAGGTACGCAAGTACCGGTCTTCATAGGGCGTGGACACCCTGGGTCTGCCTGTTCTTGCGCTGTCAGCGGTCCGCCCTGTCTGTCTGTAACGTTGCATCAAGTTGGAGACGGCAACACGGGAGCAACCGAAGGTTCGTGCAATATAGGCGTGGGTGGCTCCCATCTGTACCATACCCAAGGCTCGTTCACGTTGTTCGACCGTGATTCGTGGCATTTCTTTTGTGTTTTTTATCACTGTGGATGTCTGTCTTGCCGTTGCAATTGTATACCCGTGTATACGCGTGTTATCTCGCAAACATGTAACAGACGATTAACATTTTCTGCATACAAAACTGTTGTATTTAGGTTATGTGTTTTAGATATACTTCATCGAAAAAAAATTATACTTTGTCTGAAATTTATATTTTCAGTTGGCAAAGTTTCTTTTCTATCAGAATAATACATGGTATCGATTGGTTAATTCGCAGCTCGCCAGAATCCCATGACAGTTCGCTCGAATCCCAGATTCTTTACTTATCAGCACAATGCACGTGATCAATTGTTTCACCAAAGCAGTAAGTGTCAAGGGCTGCTTCAAGAATTTCTCTCGCATTGAATTGAACTGCAGTGTAAAATAAATGACGTACTGTTCAAAATGACGTTAATCCTAACTCACTTACTTCAATTAGTAAATGAAATACTTTGTAAAGTCAAAGTAAAGAATTCGTTCTTACTTCTCAGGTTTCCAGAACTTTTCTAGGACAGGTTCGCACTCTTCAGTGGATAACATATTATGAGATAAATATATTCTACGTATTTAAAAAGCTGACATGTCTGTTTATAGTATCGTATCAAATCGCTTTGTATGTGTCGCTGATGCAACCACATATGAGCTTGCCTAAATGGGAATGTACTCGATATATTTATGCTCTTTCATTCACTTGGCTTGTAACAAAGTTGAGTCAATATCATTACTGAAAATGGCATTTACCGTTCAATTAACATGAATTTGCTTTTAGCAATGAAATTAATTTGGGACACTGACAACACTGAAATCGTTTATTTGTATCAACGTTTTTTGGTTAAGACACTAAAGCGGCAAAGATCTCTTCATACTTCATTTAATTAAAGTGATATGAATAATCACATCAAGCTTGTTGACATCAAGCGAGAATACAATATCATATGGTATTGTATTTGTTTTAGTGTGTGTATTCCAATAGAAGTGTGATTTGAGACTTCAAAGCACGCACCGGAACAGATTTGGATTTTGTGGACGATGATATCGTGTCAGCACTGAATATAGTAATTGTGATTTTATGTGCGATTCTCTGAATACGTTTTTCCTGTGCCAGAACTACCAACACATATGGCAAGAGGTTGATAGATTTATGTTCATCTTTTAATCTTAATATTTTGAATGGTCGCTGTGGTGCCTATAAATTAATGAGTGACTTCACTTTTATTCCTAGAAATAGAAATGTTTTCAGATTCTTTACGTCGAGCTGCCGATTTTACTGTGATAAAGGTAAAGACTATGGGTGTTAGAGATGATCAGCCTTGGTTTGATAAAGAAGTTCAATATTTTCGACTAGAAACCCGGCGATTGTTACAAATATTCAGAAGAAGAAATATTTGTTTCATTACAGTCTCACATTGAGAATACAAATATGAATTTGCTTTGGGTTAAAAAAAAAGACAATACTACACATCAATCCAGGATGAATTGCTTAAATATATCAATAATCCCAAAGAGTTCTGGGGTACTTTTATAAGGATCACATTTTGTAATGTACTCAAAGCATCGGTATCCATGGATGAACGGTTTTCATTTTACTGCATTCTTCAAGGCGAGCGTAATGATGATGAATCATGTGGGCAGTTAGGTTATGACTGTGACTTTGCCTTTGATTAAATGACTACTGGTATTCTGGACTCACCAATTACGAAGGAGGAAATAAGCAAAACTTCTAAGTCACCTTATGAAGATAATTTACTACCTGAATACTTCAAGCACTCAATGGATGTATTATTACCTTATATTGAACTGTTGTTTAACATTTTGTTTGACCATTGTATAAGGAAGATGATTTTGAAGACCCTGATGACGATAGAGGGTTCTTATGGAAACATTGTTGAGTTATAAGTGGGTTCTAGGCAAGGGTCCAGCATGTTTGATAACATATTCATCATCAAAGCCATTTTCAGCGTTATTTATCAACGCTTTATGACATATTCGTTGATTTCAGAAAGGTTTGGGATCTTATTGATAGATCCAAGCTATGGTTTGTACTGAAACATAGAGGCTTTTCGCCGTAGTTCCTAAATGCTCTCACATCCATCAATAAGTGTGTAAAGGGCTGAGACGCGAATACAATAATCTGTCCCAATATTTTGATTTTCCATTGAGTGTGAGATGTCGATGTGATAAAGTCCACTATTATTTTCTATGTTACCTCGTATTATCGAGAATCGGAATCAAACTGTGTATATGGGATACAAATAACCCCGGATATATATGACGTAGTGCTTCTCGTAGATTCTGTATTTGGTTTACAAAAACTTTCTGTGAAAGTCACCAGTTGTCTGTGACATAGAAACAAAGAAAATTGTTGTTTTAAAAAATGATGGTATTCTATCCAAACGTGAAAAATGGTATACAGCTTGAAACTGTTTTATTTTTAATGTTTTTGGTGTTGTTTTCGTAAGATACTTATCATGGTCTCAACACGTAGGTAATGTTCCTGTACAAGCGAAGAAGATTCTTTGTGGTGTTTTCAAATCCTTGTATATGATTAGGCCACTCCCATATCATATATGATTTAAAATTTGTGATACCGCAATTAGTCCCGTTTTACTTCATGCTTCCAAAATATGGGGACAGGATATTCACAAAGAAATCGAAACAATACAAATGTTTGCTTGTAAACGCTTCTTGTGTGTTAAAACAGCGTCCTCAAATCATGTAGTTAGAGGTCAATGTGAACGATATCCTTTGTAAATATTCACATATAAAAGATCTGTTAAGTAATGGTGTAAAATAATTGATATGCCAGACACCAGATATGTGAAGAAATGTTACAACTTATTAGTTCTAGATTGTGTGAATATAAAGGCTAACTGGGCTTAAAAGGTTAAAGACATGCTACATAGGTTGGGTTTAATGTATATAATATTGTATATAATGTATCTAGTTTTAGATCTGTATTTGTATATAGACTGAAATCGTCCTACGAACAAGATTTGCCTGCTGCACGTTTTTTCAAGTTCTAAATTGGTAACCTACCCTTCTTTCAAAGTATCCTTTGCCCTCGAATTCTATATTAAAGAAAGTTCCATTTAAAAATTTCGCGCTGCATAAACCTTCAGTCACACACACAATGCGACCGCGATGCAACCTCTTGGCGACTGATTTCCTTTGCGACCGACTGGCGATCGCTGAGACCGGTGCAACTACTTCTGCCCACATTTGGAATTAGTGTATGATCGCCGACCAATCAGCGATTGGTTTTGCAACTTGTCAGTGATTGATCGGCAACTGTTCGGTGATTAGTCAGCGAATCTTCGGTGACTTGTTGCAACTGAACAGGGACTGGTCGGTGACTAGTTGTCGATCGATCACCGATCAAAATAAATGCGTATAAAAAGGGTGCTTTTCTGAATCAAATCAATTCTTTGCAAGTTGTCCAGATGTTAACAGCAGAACAGTTGCAGTTGCTCCGTCTGCAAAGAATAAATCAAAATGCTGCAGTTGCTGCCATGATGATGTACAGAAGAATGAGACTGACAAGGCGAAATCAGTATTGGCTGAGATCTTGGATCGCGAGAAGGCCATAGTTTGGAGACTATGTGAATCTGATGGCAGAGTTGGAGAGAGAAAGTCGTGGTGATTTCATGGGCTAGTTCAGAATGGAGCCTGTCAACATCGGACATCTCTGGCTCTTCCCCCTCAGCAGGTATCCGCCTCTTCTTTTGTTGAGATGTTGTTGGCTCTGGCTCAGTTGTAGCAGACCTGTGCATCACATGTACAGCAGTTGTCTCTATTGTATCTTCTACAATTTCTGGTTCCTTTGTGTTCCTGCCCTTAAGGACCATAGTGATGAAAGGAAATAATTGATGTGAACTCTCTGGGTACTTATGACAAAATGATGCTGTAGAGCACAGACAGGTCTTTTTCCAGACGGTGACATGTTGCAAACCCAACGGCGAATGATCGACGCACGCTTAGAAACCACTTTGCAACCGATCGACAACCAGTCACCAAGGAAGCGCCGGTGGATCACCGCCTCATCACTGATCAATCACAGATAGGTCGCCACTAGGTTGCCACTGGAGTCAACACCCTTGTGTAGACGAAACCGATCGCCGCACAGTGGAAACCAATCTGCGGTTAGAATAACACCACTTGGGGACCTCTCCTGTTTGCTTTGTACCTTAATGACCTTGAACAATTTTTATCTGAAAATGACTTTGAAGGACTGCATAATGTAAATAACCTTTTCATAGATTCACTTGAACTGTACATAAAACTTTTTCTCATTTTGTATGCCGACGATACTGTTTTAATGGCCGAAAGCCCAGAAGATTTAAGAAAGTGTCTCACTATATTTGAAGAATATTGTACTATCTGGAAACTTAAAGTCAATGTTGACAAAACGAAAGTTGTTATTTTTGCCAAGCGCTCCACAAATAGAGTCTTCAAGTTTATGCTAAATGGCTCGTTTCTTCATGTTGTTAAAGAATATGTTTACCTTGGTATTTTATTTACAAACACTGGTAGATTCTGTAAGGCACTAAAGAGACTGACAGATCAGGCATCTAGAGCAATGTACGCTGTATTTCGTAAAATTAGAATATTAGAAATTCCTATTGACTGTCAACTGAAATTATTTGATCAACTTGTTCAGCCAGTATTGTTATATGGATCTGAGGTGTGGGGTTTTGAAAATGCTGTTGTCATTGAACGTGTACATCTTAAATTTTGTAAATATATTCTCAAGTTAAAACAGTCAACACCCGATTACATGGTATATGGTGAACTAGGGAGGTATCCTCTCAGCATTTTCATTAAGATAAGAATGATTTCATATTGGTGCAAGCTAACATCATCACAAACTAGCCTTTCTAGTATAGTATATAAACTTATGTTTCAAATGTCCATTGCAAATCCAGATTACCATTTCCCACTATTAAAAGAAGTAAAATGCATTCTTCAAAATATAGGCTTTAATTACATTTGGCTGTCTCAAACCGTTATTAGTGCCGCATGGTTGAAACAAAATGTGAAACATGTTCTCATTGATAATTTTCTGCAAAGATGGCGAGAATCAAAGGAAAATTCATCTAAAGGTTACTATTATAACATGTTTAAAGAGTTACCATCTCTAGAACCTTATTTACTAGAACTACCAATCACCTTACGCATCTCTCTTGCTCGTTTTAGAACAGCAAATCATAGATTACCCATTGAAACAGGAAGATGGTATAATATTGTGAGAGAGGAAAGAAAATGTACATTGTGTAAAAATTTTATATGTGATGAAATGCACTTTTTATTAGAATGTCCAAAACTCTCAGAAATTAGAAACAAGTTTTTGCCTCAATACTACTGTATGTATCCTTCTGCCGTAAAATTCTCTCATTTGATGTCCATTACTTATAAGCCAACTCTATCAAAACTGGCAAGTTATATAAGATCATGTATGGAAATGTTCCACTGACATGTTTTCTTCATTGTATCTTATTCCTGTGTCCAATTACATCTCTGTATCACTGCCGTGATTTACGAGAATAAACATCATTCATTACTGTGCAAGATAACAGTGATTAATCAAGGAGACCAATGAAACCTCCGAGCGACCAAATCGGCCGCAGCTAGTCTTTTGTGCATGTTCAAAAGACTGGTTGCGACCGAATGGGTTTTGCGACCACTCTGAAAATTTGTGGCGACCTCAGTGAAACCTTTCAGAGACCCTTGAAACCTCATTGCGATTGTCAAATATTTTTGTCGCCAGGAGGTTGCATCGCGGTCGCATTGTCTGTGTGACTGAGGCTTCAGCTCAGCTTAGATGATCTTCACACCAGCTCCGAATTGAAACTGGTAGATACTCGTATGTTAAAGAAGCAAAGTCAAATAGAATTTGTCTTATATGCAAACAAAGATACATTGAGGATGAATTCCATTTTGTACTTGTATGTTATGCTGAGCCGTCATATAGCTAGAATATTGCTGAGTGCGGCGTTAAACAACCAACAAACTAACAAGCTTGCGGCAATCTCAGGAGTTTGTATATACCCACAAAATCCAATAACTGTTAAAAATCTTGCAACGTTTGTGTATAATTCAATACAACGAAGACAATTATTTTGGTGAACAATGTATATATATATGTATATATGCGGTTACTCTCTCAAGCAATGATGGAACTGTAAAATGGGCCTTAAGGCCTCCACCATATATATACAGAGAGACAGAGAGAGAGAGAGAGACAGAGAGAGAGAGAGAGAGACAGAGAGAGAGAGATTACAAAACGTATCCGTCACATATCGTTTCTTATTACGAGTGTATTTCAAAACATATCTAACGAGCGAAATTCTGAAATCGGAATCTTACAGTGCCCTCCGATTCCAGCTGATATTTATGATTTTGATATCTGGGATTTGTAACAAGGAAGATACATAAACAGCGACAGAGATAGATTGCTTAAAATAAATATTAGCTTTTAATTACGAGAATGACGAGATTAAATATAGTCTCTACTATAATATAACACGCCGTATTTCTCTTCTCACATAATCATACATTGTGTCAAGTCAGAAGGTCTATTAAATCTGTCGCCTTGGGTCCTTCATTCATTAACTATAGATTTCTGATGAATATGGAAATGGTTTTGTCGCCTTTTTTACAAATGCGCAGAAAACTAAGTACTGTTATTGTTATATATTTTAAAACGTCTTCCTTATCCGTAACATTATAAAATCTCCGTATATTTAAGCAATCGTATCCCTTGGATAAATGTCCATGCTATATACAATGTAATAACAATGTATCAAGGGTGTTAGGGTCTATGGTGATGGGTATCGTTAAGTCTACCGTCTTACTGCATGTACACAGGGACGAAAGAAAGTCTTCCCGGGCACTCGGGGTGTAATTATTATGCCCGACATAGTTATTGACATCATTGCCGTCGCTGACATAGCAGACACTACAGCATTGTCGTGCAAAACACCGGATCATATACACTTGCGTAAAAAGGTAAACGCACTTAATATCAAGTGGTGTAAATGTTATTGAAAACAACAACAAAATATTTTGTTATTCGTCTGATCATTTTATGTTGTAACAACTTTATTGACAAAACCCATTCCTAAAAGATGGGTTGGGTAACAACTAGATTGAAGACACTAGATGATTGAAAACAGCCTGGGGGATATTACTGGTTCGGTCCTGTCGTGGGCTTCGTTTCGTGTCATCTCAGACATGCTCTATGGGTAAGAGGTCTGAAGAAACGGCCGACCATGGCACTACAGCAATGTAACGCTGCCTCAAAAGGTATGTTACAACACGTACAACGTTACGTCCCTGCATTTGCGAAAACGGAAGAACATGATATCTCGAACTATGTTGTCAAATATCTACTTCCAGGTCCAAGGCGTTTGCTAATGTCACCACTTGGGACATTGAGAATGTCATCATTGTTTCCATTGAAGCATGTTTTGTGACACTGTTTCTGAAACTCTTTATGGATGAGCACTCGGCCAGAAACTTTCAGAGGCAAATCATACGAATCCTCTGTGAAAATAGTTATTGTATGGCACAATGCATCCGAAATGTGGACAAATACATCTCGAAATTAATTCCCGCGCGAAACGCAGTTACTACCAGACCACATTCTGATGCTGAGTGTTCCCTTCGTTAAAAACAACAAATTAGACCATATCCAATTGAAAAACATTTTATTCAGTATAAGGCTATTAGTACTTGGTCTATAAACTTTAAATTTTTTAATCCGTAAATTTCATCATTCATTTCATTCATTTCTCTTGACACGTACGAAGCACCAAGCTACTGCGCTAACGAGATATCTGATAGTGGTGGCACTCAAACTTCTCTTTATACAATATGTATATCAACATAGTGCCAGTCGCGATCATGCTTCAGCGTCTGTAAGTGGGACACCTTCACCATCACCTGGTCATCAGCATCTAACTGAGCCAGTCCACCAGCATCACTCGGGTACTCCAGGTGAGCTCCGTCGTTGATACCCTCTCTACACTCAGTCACGGCATTCTGAAACAACACGACCTGTGTCTGTCTGGAGGCGCTATAGCGGACAACCTGGTGCTGGAATGTTTGGAGTTGCTTGTCGTCTTTCCTGTTGTCTTCGACGTAGAACTTGACATGACTTGTGATGTGGTACACTCCTGCTGCCGGTACTGTGATGGAGCCGTTCTCGTAACTCATTCCAGTGTACCAATTCCTTAATGATCCCAACTGAGTCCCATGACCTGAATTAAGTAAAATCGGGAGAGAAATTGGGTTTTTGTAGAATACTAGCTTGTGCTTGCCCGTGAGGTGCGTTGTTTATGAGATTATACATACGTATAATGGAGTGCCATTGAAACATAACAAACAATGCATTTCAAAATGTCAGTTGTTACATCAATTGTATAATAGAAGATAGCATACCCGTTACTTTGTCAAAGTCAAGACCAGAGAAATGTGCCACTGGTTTCAGCAGGCTGAGAAGCTCCAGATCTGGATGGACGTCCCCAATATCCACATCATCTGAAGGTTGATGGAAGATGTACGTTATTAAAGGTTTGTAGTTGACGAATGATACCAAATGATGATCTATTAACGACACACTCATATTTATTTCCTCATACATTTTAAGCTCACATTTATGCAACGCTCAAATATAGAACGTGTGAGCAGAAAAGGATGGTACATCATTACATCGGGTTTCATAACAGTGAAACTATAAGTTTTAATCACACTTAGGGAAAACATCAGTTGCGACAGATTCTGACAGTAAGTGTCCATGTTTAATACAGTTACAACCATGCATTGTCCGTTTCACTAATGCTTTGAAAAATTGGAAATTCATTGATGACATAATAAATGTTTCAGAAAGAAGGATCGAACGTGGTTGGCATTGGGCCCTTTCTAAAATAATTATGATAAATTTAATTTGTGATACTCTATTAAAGTTAAATTCTTGGAAGAATATATATCGAATTTGTCAAAGGGCGTGAACTAGACATCAGATGTTGATATTTCCAGGCAATATTGTTAAGTTTGTATTCACCATGCTCTGTGTCTGTGGTTCGGTGTATGACGAGTGCTGCAACTACTACGACAGTGAGTATGTTCAGGATGAACAAAAGAAGACAGGTCCATTTTGTGGCACTTTTGTTCCTCACTGGTGCAGTTACAATGACAATCCACTAAAATAAAGCAACATCACCCTTATAATAATCATAAGAACTCTGCTAAAAGTAACCCAAAATGTTTGTATGAAGCATGACTATGAAGAGTTAAATACATTACATCGAAATATTTGGAAAGTACGTTCAACACGTGTCAAGTTTACAATACAATAATACCGGGGTTCGGGTCCATGATTGAATCAGTAAAATGGGGATCTGGCCAAAAAGCGCGGGTCCATTTCTCAGGCCACTGTGATGTAGCTGGAATGGTGCTTGCGTTGTAAAACAACAAATAAGTGAACAGGTATAGCACATTGTATCAATATTATACTCTCACTTGGTTAAACACTACATATGGGGCACGGCTAAGACGACGCAGTTCGCAACGCTGAGTTGCCTCCTTTAGTCGGGCCAGAATCCAATGATCGTTGACTCGACTCCCAGAATCTTTACTTGTCAGCACAATACCCGTGATCATGTGTTTCACCAAAGCAGTAAATGTATAGACTCTACAACACGCAAGGGCTTTCTCTCAAATAAGGATGAATTGCTTTGTAAAATACTCAATCACCTACAAGTAGCACTTGAAACACTTTGAAACAATATAAAAAGTAAATAAATCATTCTTACTTCTCAGGTTTCCTGTACTTTTCTTTGACAGATTCGCAAGCATGAGTGGAGAAATATGTGAAGAATACAATATTTTCTTATTTATAAATCTGACATGGATAAGCGACACACACCCTGTAGTTACAATTATGGAATTTGAAAGGCTTTCCTGTAACCTGTATAGTATTTCAGGCAATACAATTGGGGCGTTTATCTGTGGGTGTCATTGTTATCAAATGGTAAATTGCGTCACAGGTGTGGTCCTGCTTAGATAAACACCAATCTTTTAGAGAGTGTTAAAAGTGAGTACGTGAGTGAGTGATTGGGTGAATCTTATCCAATGTCGGCAATAGTCGAGTTTTTCACAGCGGCATGAAATAATGTGTACACCATTGATGTGGAGCATCAGGAACTATCCACGCAAAGTGGCACACAATCACCCATGTCACATGGCCTGACCACTCGACCCTCATCTGTTAGCACGGTTAACAATCACCCATGTCACATGGCCTGACCACCCGACCCTCATCTGTTAGCACGGTTAACAATTAGCAATGTCACAAGGCCTGACCACCCGACCCTTATCTGTTAGCACAGTTAACAATCACCCATGTCACAAGGCCTGACCACCCGACCCTTATCTGTTAGCACGGTTAACAATCACCCATGTCACATGGCCTGACCACCCGACCCTCATCTGTTAGCACGGTTAACAATCACCCATGTCACAAGGCCTGACCACTCGACCCTCATCTGTTAGCACGGTTAACAATCACCCATGTCACAAGGCCTGACCACCCGACCCTTATCTGTTAGCACAGTTAACAATCACCAATGTCACAAGGCCTGACCACTCGACCCTCATCTGTTAGCACGGTTAACAATCACCCATGTCACAAGGCCTGACCACCCGACCCTTATCTGTTAGCACGGTTAACAATCACCCATGTCACAAGGCCTGACCACCCGACCCTTATCTGTTAGCACAGTTAACAATCACCCATGTCACAAGGCCTGACCACCCGACCCTTATCTGTTAGCACAGTTAACAATCAACCATGTCACAAGGCCTGACCACCCGACCCTCATCTGTTAGCACGGTTAACAATTAGCAATGTCACAAGGCCTGACCACCCGACCCTTATCTGTTAGCACAGTTAACAATCACCCATGTCACATGACCTGACCACTCGACCCTCATCTGTTAGCACGGTTAACAATCACCCATGTCACAAGGCCTGACCACCCGACCCTTATCTGTTAGCACAGTTAACAATCAACCATGTCACAAGGCCTGACCACCCGACCCCCATCTGTTAGCACGGTTAACAATTAGTAATGTCACAAGGCCTGACCACACGACCCTCATCTGTTCGCACGGTTAACAATCAGTAATGTCACAAGGCCTGACCACCCGACTCTCATCTGTTAGCACGGTTAACAATCACCCATGTCACATGACCTGACCACTCGACCCTCATCTGTTAGCACGGTTAACAATCACCCATGTCACAAGGCCTGACCACCCGACCCTTATCTGTTAGCACGGTTAACAATCACCCATGTCACATGACCTGACCACTCGACCCTCATCTGTTAGCACGGTTAACAATTAGTAATGTCACAAGGCCTGACCACCCGACCCTTATCTGTTAGCACGGTTAACAATCACCCATGTCACAAGGCCTGACCACTGACCCTCATCTGTTAGCACGGTTAACAATCACCCATGTCACATGACCTGACCACCCGACCCTTATCTGTTAGCACAGTTAACAATCACCAATGTCACAAGGCCTGACCACCCGACCCTCATCTGTTAGCACGGTTAACAATTAGCAATGTCACAAGGCCTGACCACCCGACCCTTATCTGTTAGCACGGTTAACAATCACCCATGTCACAAGGCCTGACCACCCGACCCTCATCTGTTAGCACGGTTAACAATCACCCATGTCACAAGGCCTGACCACCCGACCCCCATCTGTTAGCACGGTTAACAATTAGTAATGTCACAAGGCCTGACCACACGACCCTCATCTGTTCGCACGGTTAACAATCACCCATGTCACAAGGCCTGACCACCCGACCCTTATCTGTTAGCACAGTTAACAATCACCCATGTCACAAGGCCTGACCACCCGACCCTCATCTGTTAGCACAGTTAACAATCACCCATGTCACATGACCTGACCACCCGATCCTCATCTGTTAGCACGGTTAACAATCACCCATGTCACATGACCTGACCACCCGATCCTTATCTGTTAGCACAGTTAACAATCACCCATGTCACAAGGCCTGACCACCCGATCCTTATCTGTTAGCACGGTTAACAATCACCCATGTCACAAGGCCTGACCACCCGATCCTCATCTGTTAGCACGGTTAACAATCACCCATGTCACAAGGCCTGACCACCCGATCCTCATCTGTTAGCACGGTTAACAATCACCCATGTCACATGGCCTGACCACCCGATCCTCATCTGTTAGCACGGTTAACAATCACCAATGTCACAAGGCCTGACCACTCGACCCTCATCTGTTAGCACAGTTAACAATCACCCATGTCACATGACCTGACCACCCGACCCTCATCTGTTAGCACAGTTAACAATCACCCATGTCACATGGCCTGACCACCCGATCCTTATCTGTTAGCACGGTTAACAATCACCCATGTCACAAGGCCTGACCACCCGATCCTCATCTGTTAGCACGGTTAACAATCACCCATGTCACATGACCTGACCACTCGACCCTCATCTGTTAGCACGGTTAACATTCACCCATGTCACATGGCCTGACCACCCGATCCTCATCTGTTAGCACAGTTAACAATCACCCATGTCACATGACCTGACCACTCGACCCTCATCTGTTAGCACAGTTAACAATCACCCATGTCACAAGGCCTGACCACCCGACCCCCATCTGTTAGCACGGTTAACAATTAGTAATGTCACAAGGCCTGACCACACGACCCTCATCTGTTCGCACGGTTAACAATCAATAATGTCACAAGGCCTGACCACACGACTCTCATCTGTTAGCACGGTTAACAATCACGCATGCCACATGGCCTGACCACCCGACTCTTATCTGTTAGCACGGTTAACAATCACCCATGTCACAAGGCCTGACCACCCGACCCTCATCTGTTAGCACGGTTAACAATCACCCATGTCACAAGGCCTGACCACCCGACCCTCAACTGTTAGCACCGTTTACAATCAACCATGTCATCACATTATATCTTCTTTATGATAACCCAGGGTATTCTCAAATAATACAGACTGTGTCTGGTTAGAGACGCTAAAATGGACAAAATAATGTTATGATAATGAAAGCAATTTAAAATAAATAACTATATATATACTACCACATAATCCAGTTCAATGATTACTCAAATGCTACTGATTCAGTATGCGAAATGGTCTACCAACATTTCTGAAGATGAAGGTGATACAACCTTTTCCATGGTCATCTAAAAGCAGAGTTAATTGCACATAAGCATGTGTTAATGAAGTACTGTCTAATTGTGGTGATTTCAGCTGTTCGCAAAAAGGTCAGCGTATCCGGTGGCACCCGGAATAAACACACGCAAAGGCAAGACGATTTTCAATTGACAAATGGCACGGGAACTGATAGTTCTAATCAATATAGCTGATTTCATCAGACGTCATTTGTGTCAATTTTGGAATGACCACATGTCTATAATAAAACGTTTTGAAGGCTTTACTGGGCCTTGACGTTGTAACCCCGATCAAACAACGTTTGACTCTTTACAATCTTCACAGAAGGAGCATACTTCATTGCACCTCTCAATTGACAACAAAGGCTATAGCTGGAATAGTGCTCATATACAGAGAACGTGGAATGTTGGCTATAGTTGACTGAAACAAACTCACAGCTTCGTGTGTCATCTTTGAGGTTCATCCGTGTACAATTCAAACTCGACAAATGAAATAGACAAGAAGAATCTCTCAACACAAAATCAGAAATAAGCGGGCTACTGTAACTTGACAATGCCCTCATATTACTTGACGACGGGCCAAGAAACAGCAATATCACGGCGGGGGACAGCAGAAATGGGCTTCACACATTGTACCCATGTCGGGAATAGAACCTGGGTCTTAAGCGTGACGAGCGAACGCTCTAACCACTAGGCTACCCGCCACCCACAACGTTCTTCAAGTTCCTTATACTTGCGGCATTACACATTTGGGATACCGCAAAAACAAATTCAATTTGTGTTATTTAGCTCGGACAATATGGCGACAGTAAGTAAACCTACGGAGAGAAGTAACTGGGCTGCATATAAAGTGGTGTAAATGTTATGTTATTGAAAATAACAACATAATATTTTCATCATTCGCCTGAGGTCGCATTGAAGACACCAGATGACTGAAAACAGCCCGTGCTATGTTGTTCCAAATATCAACTAAAGATCGGTCCAACTGAGCTAGCGTTACAGGCCGGTTCTGATCCTGTCGTAGGCGTCGGGCTGACTCATCCCAGACATGTTCTGTTGGGGAGAGGTCTGGGGAAACAGCTGGCCGTGGCAGTACAGCAAGGTTATACTGCCTTAAAATGTCTGTTACAACACATGCAGCATGAGGGTGGGCATCATGCAGCTGCTACGTGACGTTACGCTGCACTAAAACCAACCATACTGTGGAGGATTTGAAGCTGAAACTTACAGACTAGAATGGCCATCAATGCATCAAGGCCATCAATGGAGCATCAATGCAATTACGTTTACGTTTCCGAAACATCTACTAGCTACAAATAGTATGGCGTTAGAGGGTCGAATCCCAGCAACAGTGGCTGAGCGTTCTTTTCTGTAATATGTAGAGCCCATAAATCCCTGTGAAGATTTGGGTTACAATTGGTCTTCAGCAACCCATGCTTGTGTTAAAAGGCGGCTAACTGTATAGGCTCGCTGACATGGTTCATGCATGCCTTCGTCTTCAAGTTATGTAGATCAATGCTTATTATGTCAATCACTGGGCTGTCGTGTCTATACACCGATCGCTGTCATATAGCTAAATGCAGTGTTAAACAAAAACAACATAGCATTGAATTAAAAACACTTCCTGATTCCACAGATAGATTTTTCAG